GTGTGTGTGTGCTCTCCACAAGCCCTAACACAGACACTTGACTTATGTAGGGTCTCCTGAGAAACACGATAACCAACAACAATGTCGTAGTCCAGAAAGTTGGCTTGAGAGTAGGTTGAATGTGGATTAAAAAAAAGTAAATCGGTTCAATGTGTGATCATCTTTTGGGCAGTGCCGGATTAAGCTAGTGAGGGGCCTGTAGCGTATGTTATGAAGGGGCCCTAAATGAAAAAAAAATATATACAAATATTAAAACATTCATTTTTTGTTTGCATAGTAAAGTAATTGTATTTTTTTCATTTGCTACACAGCCAGATAATACGACAAATCGCTAACCTTAAACACCCAGTCGTTCGTAAAAGTTGAAGGCAGTATAGTACTATAGTAGTAGATAGCTTGAAAGCATTTAGCGCGGGGCCCTTGAAAGTGCGGGGCCCGTAGCATATGTAGCTCGCTTTGCTTACCAGTATAATCCGGCACTGCTTTTGGGGATATAGCATGCAATTATTCCTAGAAATTGGATTGTAACCTGTTCCGATATTTGTCCTCTTAAAATACGGCGTTTGTGGCCACCCGTCACCGAAGGGACATCAAGATGAAACAAACTCAAAGTTTATTTTTTTTAATTCACTTCACAGAGCACTTACAATTCAACGCACTAGAATGCAAAAAAGAGTGCCGACGTCAACCAGCGCGGAGTAAAATAGCCACCAACGTCGCTCCCCGGCAGTCCCCAGCACGAATAGGCCACTTGTACCATCACATATACAGCAACAAGCACCCCCCCCCCCCCATCCGCCTTCATTAATTCATCACGATGAAATCCGGATTGTAATTCCGCCATGCATCATGTACAACAAAGCTATCTACTGGACTGTATAAACACACTTTTATAAACGCATGTATACTTTACATAGTGTACAATCGACCTCTATATACACAGATGTACATATATGTATAGGATGCTATTAAACAGTGCTCTTATCATCGCAACAATAGATTTTGTTCATTCGTCATGCAGCTTTTTTTTTAAAAGAGACTTGAATATTGTAATTAGAACCGTCAAACCATTTTTTGCGACACTGTGGCACCGATAAAGATGTCGATTTTTAGACCTAAATTTGAGTTCAACGTCCAAGCAAGACTTAATTGGCTACTCCTTCTGGCTAGCATACTCTAACAATACTCTAGCAATAATTCCTTCAACCTTCCCAAAGCTAGCATAATTCTACACTTTCATACGACACTTTTTGTACGACTGTCATTCGCAAAGACGGCTTCAATAAACTGCGCGATTCAAAGGTATTGCGCGCTGTTCTCCAACGCTTACCGAATATACAGGGTGCTTCAAAAAAACGTTAACTTATACGGGACTATCGTTTTTAATGGAAAAAGAACGGATAATACACGGTAGCGTGATAACAAATGTATGTTTTAATCGCTTAAAAGAGTCTCCACTTGTTCGCCATCGTTGTCAACACGTGGCCTGGGATCTTCTCCAGGTGATCTCCAGAGCCCGCGGGCAGCAGCACATGCCACGTGCTGTTGTTGCAAATTCTCGGAAGTGTTAACATTTTTTTTAAGCACCCTGCATTTTCCATGGATGACTAACGTGCTTCGCATTTCTTCACAAAATCCCCCGACCTTCAATAATAACAAAACAATAGGCCTTTCTAAGTAATCTAATGCCCTCCCCGCTCGTAACATAATTTTTCATTCCATTTGAAAATGTATACGTATCATCTCATGCATTTATTACAGTAGGACTCCACTAACCTTCAACCATATTACCCACAATTCCTGTCATTTGTGGCACCTGAAAAGTTCCATGGAAAAGTAGTCATCCGTGTCCTTATTTTTCCTGTTATCCACGATTATCCAAGGTTTTTGTTCCAGTCGTTCAAAGATAAGTGGAGGTGAGTGGCGCATCCATAATCTCATCTTAGCCTCTTCATGGTTTTCTTTTCGTTTAAGAAAGTAGAAATAAGTTGTGCGCTCTTTCATAAAAGTGACGATGTGCTCTCGTGTAGATAACCAACCTTAATCGGTTTTAATTTTTATGAAAAAAATACATCTAAAACTCACACTGTACTCCACCAATGTGTGTGTAACTAAGCTAAATGACAAAGGGAATCTCACTTGGAAACATGAATAATAGCATATAGTACATACAAATGTATGTATTACATTCATGTGAAGCAACAACGTTATATAGAAACGTTTTTAAGTAAACCCAACCAGAAACATTTTCGTGCATTTTAAACAGGCAGAACACAATTACAAACGTAATCATCAATAATATTCAACTGCTATGTCGTGATTAAATAAACGTAGGTTTTTAAAGAGAAAATCTCTGCTTCACTAGTAAACATTATTAATCACAAGCGGATGATGGACAGTGGTCAAGAGTGATAACAGAGCGGCAGTCAAGCAATGGAATGCATCCGAGGAGATGGAGCAATGAAAACGGTTCACGTGCTGGGTGGATTGTTACATCGAATAATTTTTGACTGGTGGCAATGGCTTGGGGAGGCCTTCATCCAGCAGTCGATTGACCATGGCAGACGATGAAAAAAAGAATATATATACCAGGTGGAACAATACATTTGTAAGCAAAAGTGGGAGATTCCTTGTTCAAAAGATTCTGAGACCTGGGATCGCATTTATGAACCGGCTGATACATACAAACAGATTTGTGATTGTCCACATTATCCCCATAAAAATGAACCCACAGACCAGTAACCACCGTGTCCTATGCATTGCATCACACAAAACACCATTACACAATGCATTGCAAATCCTTACTCTAAATGTTTGAGAAATGCCATTAAAGCAATTACGTAGAAACAGTATTACAATTACAGTTTACCCATCCCACCAATTCCGTTTTAAAAAAACGTTGAGGATCAATACAAAAGTAGAATAGATGAAGGGATTTTTCGGCGTTTAGAATAAAACATCAAACTATTTTGAAAACAAGCTATTCAAGGTATGCATGCGCACATTATTTTCCAACACAGTAACTACTCAAATCAATGCATTACAGTATTAGGGTACATATATTTAATGTATGCTCAGTCCGACTTTTTTTGGTATTTGTTATAAAAAAACGACTGATTTTGCAATATTATATTTGTAACGATACTTTCTATTAAATCATTGAATGTTAAGATTAAATACTGGTATTTGGTAGGTCAAAAATGAATACTATTATATTACTCTTGATTTCAGTTATCCACTTACTGAAGTAGTGTGCAACTATAATTAATCACATTTCTATATCAAAGTCCAAAATTAAGTGATGCAAAGAACAGTGGCAGTGTCCCAGTACAGGAAGATAATATATAGAAACAGATGTCTACCAATGACACGCAACCCTCTTGGTAAACTTACGTAGCGCTTTCCTTATGTCTAGATACGTCACGTATTCCCAAGAGTGTTCTCCTAAATCGTTGACCAGTACTTTTAGATACAAATGGAGGATGTAACGTCCAAGCAATACTGAATACATATTAAAGCACGGTCCCATGTGGCAAAGGAGATCGATTTAAGCAACTCACATTTGGCTTTGTTTTTTTTGTTCTTCCCGTTCATTTGTCCTCTATTGTCCAGGCCACGAGGGTCCCCTAACCGTTACACATTTTATGTTACACATTAGGCCATCGTGCAGTTTGATTCTGTGCTTTTATGTTTTGTGTCGAATTAAAAAGGTAAATTTCGATTTAAAGCTTTCGTGACTGCAATGATTCATCTTCTTTGGTTCTTTCGGTAAAGTCACGTAGAATGAGAATAAAATAATAAATTGATAAAATAAAATAAATAACACAATATTATTGTGTTATTTTATAGAATGAGAATAAAATAATAAATTGATAAAATAAAATAAATAACACAATAATAAATAACACAATAATATTATTGTGTTATTTTATTTTATCAATTTATTATTTTATTCTCATTCTACGTGACTTTACCGAAAGAACCAAAGAAGAAAAAGGTAAATTGTTGTAAAAGCCCAAATGAATTATAAACCATGACTAGGCATCCTGAAATCAAATACTAAAGCGATAGCAAGATAAAGGTGCAGCCTTTCGATTGATTGCTACTGGCATTAGGGCCTCTACTAAGGAAAGCGCTCAATCATGTTTAGATATTTTGGTCTACTCGTCAACGCTGGACATACGTCTTGGAAGACATGAGCGTACCCACACTTTACCCAACCGCACGGAACCTGCTGATGAACTGTGGCATTTATACTGCTGCGTGGACCGATGCAAAGGGCTTTAATAAACTTTCGACGTTTTAACTGCCACGCCGGGAGATCGAATCGAATGAGCGAGCTTTGGAGTGCAAGTCCAGTGTGCTAGCATTATATCACGACAGCATCCCTACCCTCCTATGATACACTGGGCAGTTTGTCACTGTTTTGGTGCTAAAGAATTGTGCTTTGGTGCTATCACTCGACAGGTCAGGTATTCCCACCTTTTTTAATAAGATGATCCACACTTAAGAACTTGTGGCTTACGAATAATTGTGATTTCCACGAGATGACTTCAATCAGGTGCTGTATTTAAAGCCAAGTTGGGCCACATCTTTGTGAAATTTGGCCAACGGATGGAAAAGGAAGGCCTCGCCAGACTTGAGCTTTGAGCAGCTCATTGTTGCTACCCTGTCCAAAATCATGCAGGGAAATGTTCTAAAAATCACACGAATCAATTGTATGATCATTGATTGCATAAACTGTCTACCCAAAAATACAAAAACTACCACAATTTAAACATTAACTGTCCAGGGGCAGAGAGTAGTACACACCAAACTATGAGAATAGGTTTTCCCCTTTTTTCTGGCAATAAGCAGGTGTTAAGATGTTAAAACACCAATCTGAAACCTTTTACAAGGAATCATGTCTGCATTAACCACAATACTTGCGTTCAGAATGCAAACAAAATACAATCTGATAATATGATGCATTGTCTTTGAAACTGATTGGTCCACACCAGAGACAGCTTTCTTTTGAGCCTAGTCTCAAAACGGTGTTAGACCAGAGGACGCCGTTTTGAGACTAGGCTCATATTTTGGTACTGGCAAAGGAGGTCCCATGAAGTACACACCAAAGCAAATGCTATCATATAATTTCAATGCTCGTTTGTAATACACCATAAACATATACTGCTGTACAATCGCTGCAACCAGTGCAGCTGGCTCATATATATATAAACTCACACACCTGCCACCAGGTGAGGCTGCCAACCTATTCCCCATGGGTGGCATGTAACTCAAGAGGCTAATTTTTTACGCACAATAATGGTCTCCTGAGCAAAGGTGTCACTTTAAGTGCTTATTCGAACGGTTGGAGTGCATGTGTAGATTTTTGAGACAACGCTGTGAATGCGTCACATGTTCACAACGTAACATTATCAACACATCCCGTCAGCTCGGGTGCGCACCTGTGCAACGTGAGTAATAAACAGGCTGTGGATATATATTCTTGGTTCTTTCGGTAAAGTCACGTTGAAGGGAAACAATACAATTTTATTGTTTTATATATATTTTAGTGTTTCCCTTCAACGTGACTTTACCGAAAGAACCAAGAATATGAATCACTGCAGTCAAGAAAGCTTTAAATCAGGCTGTGGATAATTGTTTATTTTTGGCTTTCCTTTGAGGTGGATTCATCTCGTGCCCCCCTCTCAACCCTGTAAAACATCATGAGCTTCGGCTATAATCCTCTTGGTATCTTTTGGAATGTTTCCCAAAGCCGTCGTGTCTCTGAGGTTCCCTATCCTAAGTAGTTGTTTGTGATGGCTCCTGGCAAAGTGTAGAGAAGCAGGGCGATGAAGAGGGCGAAGACGAGGAGGACGAGGGCGGTGATGATGTACCACTTGTAGTTTTTCCAGATGACGAGGAACAGGGACTTGAATGGATTTGTCAGCCACGAGATAGAAGTTTTGGGGCGACTGCGAGTAGAATAAATAAAACAATACATCACATCAACTAGAGAATAACGGGACATGGATATTTTAACATTTTTTTGTCAACTGCTTCAATATAATGATGTTTCAGAATATTATCGTTACTCTGCGTTGGACCAAGGCAACACAGACACACACGCTCATAGTGAAAGTAAGCGTATCACAATCAAGCAAACACAATGTGTAAATACTTAAAACGATTGAAAAAAAGGACAAGGTTAAAGAAAATAGGCAGGCAATGGGATAGGTACGAAAGCAGGATTAGCTATAAAGATTATTAAGCAGGGAATAAGGCATGCAAGTGTGAAAGGAAACCCACCACCACTAGGCCCCCAGCAGCTTTTTGACCATGTAGCCAGGCATGTTGTAGATGAAGAGACCGAGAAGGACCAACATCAACAAGGCCACCACGAGTTTGATGATAATCCACTTGTAGCGATGGCAGATGACGTATTTGATGGATTTGAGTGGGTTCAGGAACCAGATGAAAGACGTGTCCGGCCGACTGTCCGTGCCGGCGGTAAGAGTGAAAAGGAGAAGAGAAGTTTTTGTTGTTGAAAGAAAGAGAAAGTATCAAGAAGAATAAACATAGCATCACATATTGCAGCAATACCAAACGCTGAGAGAGTGCAAAGTTGTACAAAATACCTGGCAATTCCCCACTGCTCTTGATACCTAATCAAGCATCAATGTTGTTCTCTCATCTACCGACTCACCTTGCCCATCCTCATCGGATGGCTGAGGAGCAGTAAGGGCAGAGTTTTTAGTATAGAGGCAAGGCAGGTGCTCTCCTAAATTGTCAAGCCAACCTGCTAGTATTACTATTGTTTGTTAATTGAGACTGCATCATCATTCGCCTTTCGGCAAGATAAACTGTGGGGTCAAGCAGTTGGCTACGTGGCACTACACTGAGGTGCCATCCACGTGCTTTGTCGTCTGAGCCACCCTGCAACCCTGTTCTCTGGTTATTCTAAATTTATTTGACATATGAAAGACTCCTTAAAGATTTGGTCAACGATCCAAGTGCAGGACCCTACTGGAAAAAGGGTAATGAGACTGATGCTTTCCCAGATAAAATTGATGTTACTATTACAATGAATGCTGACTACAATCCTGTTTTAATCTAGACAAGGACAGTGTGGAGTAGTGGTGAGCGTACTGTGCTCTGAACACGGCAACCCATGCGTGATTCCCACTCAAGGACCAAGGTTCTGGGCCTCTCCTAGGTGGACTTAGCCTTAAAAAAGCCCCCTGGTATTGTGTGTAAACATCAACACTGGGGAGACAAAGTTGGCCAGACGTGGTGCTGGCCACACAACCTCTATGTGCACTGTGCCATCCTTCATAGCTGGTCGCGAACAGCATTTGCCCCAACACCCTACAGGGAAATCTTTGTCTACGTTCTTAACTTTGTCTTTGGCTGCTGGCTACCCAAAGTGCTTGTACTCTGAGCTGCACTACACGTTTCGGTACTGAACACCAAGTCGTAAAGCAGCAGAATGTAGAAGCGACAGACTTAGGCTTCTCGAGGGGGTCCGGCTCGTTGCGGCCCAGCCCTGCTGGGTTCTTCTCCGCCTCCTCAGCCGTCAGCAGATGCAGCTCGGCCTCCACCTTCCCCTGCAGGGTGCACGCACACAGGGGTCGCGCAGAGGTTACGCAGTGGCCACGCAGGGGTTATGCAGGGATCACGGTGAGCAGAGCAAAAACACAATTCCTATTCGCCTACGTCGGCACTCGTCCATTCATGCAGCCTTGCAAACCGTGCAACCGGGCCACGCGTTGGCTCCCGTGGGACTCATATTTGAATAACTCTAAAGTTATAAAAGTCTGATGGAAACGCAAAGAACCGGGGGACGCATCCTCCAAATAACTGACTCATTTGAGCATAATCATAGTGATCCCCAGCTGTGATCTTGCGAGTGAGGGAGACGGTATGTACAAATGTACGTGGAACTTCTTTTGCACCGTACGTAACCAACCGTGCTAATCGGATAGAGGAAGAGGGAGAAGAAAAGGCTGAAGCAGAAGGAGGACAAAGGAAAGAGTGGGATGACTGGCAGAAAAAAAAACACAAGTGGTAGTCAGATCTGAAGCAAAAAAAACCGCCACTAATATAAGAGATTAGTTGGTGATTAGAATATGCCAAAACATAATTTTTAATCGATTAATCATGATTGTCATAATCATAAATCAACATGTGCTCTATATATACTGTATATATATGTGAAATACCGTTTTTATTTTCAATAATTGCACAGCCATTGCACTTGGTAATGAGTTATTTTATATGACACACATCGGGTTAGCATTGAAGTTGGAGTAAGTTATCCGTTAAATCCACCCAATGGTCAGCAGTGCATAGCGGTCTTAAAGATGATCGAGTGTCACACAAGGCTGAGTTAAGAGGGGCGACCCCTTCAACCTGCGCATGGTCACTGCCGTGGATTTCATCACGGACGGTGGCGTTGATGGCCGGGCGAGTAAGGAAGCTACATTTCACGTCTAGAGCTCTTGAGCTGGTACTTGCAAAGCGAGATATCCTTCAAAATGAATCCAGGCACAAATTGCATGATTAATCTGGGTTCCTTCAAAATCTAGCGAGCTGACGGGCTCAGCCCAGTCGGCGACGATTCCACTCATAATTTGCTTTAACTTTTGTTTTTCACTTGCTTTTCAGCATTTCAGCTCTGAGAACTTCATTCATTTGGTTTATTTTATCCACATGCCAAACACTTCTCTACAGCACAGGATGTGAGAAGGAGCTCCGTCCACTTTCTGCATGCAATTTTGAAAGGACATCTCTTCTACCCGTAACACCGCAGTGAGAGCACAAATTGGAATCTGAGAGGGAATTGATCAAACGAAGTAAAAAAAAAAAGACTCGCTTTTACCCGTTCTGGTAATAAAACAGGTGTTAAGATGTTCAATCACCAAATAGTTACCCCTTATTACAAGGCATCAAGTCTGCATTAACCACATGTAGAATTTTTTTTCCATCATTTTGACACTGGCATAAAGGTCCCATAGATATAACTGGTCAACCCGAACTTTAAACACTTTGATACTTGCATTGTGTTTGTACTCTTCGCCTATTGGCATTCTCTAGTCTTACACTGGTGAGACAAGGCCATAACGATGCCTGTCTCTGGTCTAGGCCAATCAGTTTCAAAGACAATGCATACATATTATCAGAGCATGTTTGTTTGCACGTTTTGCCACAATTATGTGTGGTTAATGCAGACTCGATGCCTTGCAACGGCTACCTATTTCGTGTTTGCACATCTCAGCACAGCCTGTTTTATTTCCAGAAGGGGTGAAGCATATTCTTGTTTTTTCATCATTTTGAAACTGCCAAAAAAAGATCCCGAGGATTTAAAAAATAAAATAGATATGTACGGACGCGGTACCGTGAGCTCCTGTTCGTCGTTCTCGTCGCGGGAGACAAAAGGCCACCAGCCCTTGACCCGTTTGAGCTTGAAGATGGAGATCATGGGCACCGAGCCGTCCATCTTGAGCATGTTCAACGTGCACTGCTTGGAGGACTTGGCCCCTCGTGGGAAGCGGTTGAGGTCCAACTCAATGGCACCTGGTCGTGAATGCACAACGGTCAAACCACTGCAACAATGTCGTTGACGCGGGCACGGAGGTCCCCCAGTTTACCCTCGTGAACATGCCCAGTGAGCGAGTGATGTCCGTGAGCCTGTATAGAACGTGAGTGGGAAGTGTGACGAGCACGCTCGGCTGCATTAGTCTCCGCCTGTGTGTATGTTTGCACATTACACCTGGAACACATTTTATTGTGAGTCATCCTAGAGAATTCCCAGGCCCGGCTAAGATTCGTAATGCCAATAATGTGTGTATGTCCTGGGATTGTTGAATTTAGGTTGCTTTCACAGGGACATTCTAATACATACAGAGGACTAAAAGACAAATACCCCCCATAAGTGCTGTTAGCGAGCATCACTGAGGGCCACCACAAGGTACTCATTTGAGGCTGAGTCGACCTAGGGGAGGCCTAGGACCGAATCAGATCATTGTCACTGGTGTTGGCCGTGAGCAATAATCAAACCCGGGCTGCTTGGTTCGTAGCACACAGTGCCGCTAACTGCTACACTACCACCCCCCGCACAACACAAAGACAGAAACACATTCACCCAAACCAACACACTGACACACATGTATATTCACACACACGCAACCGCACACACGCATACACAGAACCATGCAACACAAAGACAAAGATCCCCCATATAGCCTTAACAGACTGTAGGGGCAAGTGCTGTTAGCGAGCACCTATGAAGGCCGGAACGGTACACGAGGGGGTGGGTGGCCAGCGCCACGCCCGACCGCCTTTGTCTCCCTAGTGGCAATGTTTACACACCGCACCAGGTACTCATTTGAGGCTGAGTCGACCTAGGGGAGGCCCGGGACCGGTTCAGATAATCGTCACTGGTGTTGGCCGTGAGCGGGAATCGAACCCGGGTCGCCAGGTTCATAGCGCAGCGCGCTAACCGCTACACAGAACCATGCAACACACACACAGAACCACACACACACAACCGAGCAAATGCACACACAGAACCGCGCAAACACACAAAACTGCACGTAACTACACACGGAACTGCACACACACACACACGCGCGCACACACAAAACCACACACGCACACAGAAGCACAAACGCCGTAGCAGGGCCTCACCAAGAAAGTCGTCGGCGGAGAAGTGGTCGGCGTCCCACACCTGCAGGGTGAGGCGAGCCGGGATCTTGTACTCAGTCTCGTCCCACGAGAAGAGGGACTCCTTCTTGGAGATGACGATCTTCTCCTCAGCCACCAGGTAGTCGAAGGGGTAGATGAAGCGCCAGTTGAAGTTGCCCTCGCCCGTGAGCGAGTGGTAGTGCACGTCCGTGTCCTGTTTGTCCTCCTGCTGCCCCTTGAGCCAGCTGCCCGCGAGCGCCGCGCAGACGCGTATGTGTTACAGCGGCGCGGGTGAGTTTGGACAAACACCGTGAGATTTGTCGGGGGGGGATCCCGTGGCGCTTGCATGCAGCGGGGGGGGACACGAGGTTCATTGACCTCTTTACGGTGGTGTTTTTTGCACATGCCCATGCTGTGTGCCGCTTCTATTCTTGCGTACGATGGCAATATGTTCAGGAGCTGATTAATGTCAATGCCGAGATCTGCTAGCCACGTCAAGAGGGCTTCAACAGAGCGAGAGTTCGTGTAGCTTTGCTGTTCCTCCCCCGTTGAAGGAGGGCAGACTGCAGTGGTTTAGTACCGTATGGTAAACCACTAGCCTGCGTGTACACTTGCATTATTCCCATCGTCCCACTTGTATATTTTGTCTACAATTATAAATAATGCATTAATGTAGCCATACCCCTCCCCATTCATCAAAATTATATTAACTTTGTGGCAAATATATTTAAGCATTGGCATATGTATATGCATAGGTTTACTCATTTGTGGATACAGTAACCAATTGTCCATAAATATAGTCTGTAATTATATCGGTGTTACATGCATATGTCATGAAGTATGGTGAAACACGACCAACATGGTGTTGGGGAGGCCTTCGCAATAGAATTGTGAAAGGGCTGAACAATATTTTGTTTTATGATTAGACAAACAAAATTCATTGTCCTCCCCTTGTCCTAAAACTTCATTAAAATGAAAGAATACAAAATCAATTACGCTGACAATTATACCTGGGCATTGGTAGCTATAAATAGCAGTGGTAACAGTCTACATATAAAAAAACACATTTAATGGCACTTGAAGTGTGGTCTTCCAGCAGTGATTCTCAAGCGTTTGCGTGGCACTGAACACATAATTTATTTAGCAAATGGCTTTTAAAAGAAATTAAACTGTACAGCAATTAAACTGTACAAACAACTGTCTGTCACTGAAACGCTGGTTTTGAATTCTGGTTACTTGGATATGACCATAAATACCATACACAAAGGCTATAGCTGCAATGCTGAAATTAGGATGATCCATGCCAAAAGTGTACGTGAATTATATTTTAATTCATAACTTGGGATAAAATAATGTGGCTTTCATTTCAACCCATTTACACAGCACCATGATGATCAGTGCTGATCGCAGTGCTAGATGTAACATACCCCACAATGTGGGATAATATGTACATTATCTAAGGTGTCACTTAATTTAGCCACTTTCACTGATTTAACAGCAGGGTCATTGTACATTTATATAAAACTATTCCATCCTTCTTTAATAAAATACTGTTCAGACAAATAGTAAATCTGGTAAATATCCTTACACACACAATTGTCTTATGTTATAAAAAAATATATAAAATATTGCAATTGCTAATGTTTTAGATGGGCATAATATTGCTAGCAATCTTCACGTGGCAAATGAAAGGACTAGCACTGTGTCAATGAATACATCCGAGTACAGCTTTTACAGTAAAGGACTGAATTTAAATATCTGAAAAACTGGACTATAAACCCAGGGTTCCTCCCCCGAGCGATTATGTCGAATGCACAGCTCACAGCTTGAGAAGCAATGCTTCCAGAACCCATGAACACACACGACAATCGACTCCCCACAGTGCTATGGGCATGCTGGGAAGCATGGGCGAAAAGGACAAGCTCAGTAAAGTCACTGCGATCGCAACAGGAAATAATCACAGGCAAAGGGGCAGTCAGTGCAGAGAAGAAAGTGCATAAGGGCATGTGGCACGGTTTGTGCACGTTGTGTAGCGAATAGGGGATAAAATAAGCATTACTGGGACACTGCAATTTGAAATGATCTCACACCATTAACTTTACAGTGTAGTCGTTTGCCAGGGATGTGAGAGACTGCAGTGCATATTTTCGCTGTTGTGCTGTATAGGTCTCTAAAAGTTTTCCGGTTGTACAGAGAGTGTAGTTCAGCATGATGTCTGACGTTTCGGGATGACAGAAATATGTTCAGGGGCTATTCAGTTCCTGAAAAAGCTCCGAGCACATGCAGTGATACTTGGGGCATCACACCGAACTACGCGCGGCTAAAATGTAGCACACATCGGAGAGCCGCACAATTGTATATGAATGCCGAATATATGCTTCGATAACAAAAGAACATTCTAGAGTTAAAGAAAATTGCTGCGGGCATTGCATTACAGTCTGGTGACGGACGATCATGGTCACAGCAGCAGGATGCCATGCCAGTTTTCACAAAATTGCCGTGACTTGTCAGGGAGGAAAGGGACCCAGGAAGATGTGTCCATGCCGGAGGAGGTGTCCAGAGTAATCCTGGACACTTTCACAGAACGATGGCACTTGGCATGGCACAGGGTTCATGGGTTACCGACAGTGTCATCCATTTTCATTGTCTTGAGGAAGCGCAGAAATCTGCGGAGGAGCTGATTGATGTAAACTTTGCAAGGTGCATAATTGTGATTAGTTATAACTGTAAAGGAACAGGCATGTACACTGCACACTTGTGTTTTGGCAGTGACTTTCAATTACGAAGTAGAATGATTGATACTGGAAAGTGAATCAAAATGATTTTCGACTAAGTTTCATCCTTCCACAGATTTCTTTTGGGGAGGGTCTCACTCTTGTTAAGAAGAGGTGTTTCAGGGACAGAGACAACAAGTGTAGAGACAAGGAGTTCACGTTCATGCACAAAACATTCATTTGCAATCGCATTCATAGATCGCAACTGCACATTTAAAGTGACACTGTATACTCCTATTCAAATTGTTAAAGATACACTTAGCGGACCATACTCTATTTCATGTGACTGAAAGAATGACTATGTTTATAGTCACATACCATCTCATATATTCATTGAATATTTCGATAGTTCTAATGGGCAAAAAAATATTACCTCTAAAGATGTCACGCATTGTAACATTTGCCAATTGTTTTTTCCCCCATAACACGAGATGTAAATACTGGCAAATAATTGGCGATAGAAGCAGAGTGAAATTAAAAACAGTTGAAAAATATATATTCATCATATAACATAGGGCACCAAATAATGCTAAGGGTCAATGTGGCCCATGCATAGAGGCACATGGGATATTTTGTTTTATTGTCGCCAAACAAGAGTCTGTTAAATTTGATTTAAAGCTTTCGTGACTGCAGGGATTCATATTCTTGGTTCTTTCGGTAAAGTCACGCAGAAGGGAAACAATGAAATAATAAAAATGTTAAACAATAAAATTCTCACGACGTTTCGACTGCAACACAAGCAATCATCATCAGGTGTGAAAACCACAGCAAGAAAATTTGAAAAAAGTGGCGATTTTTTTAACGTTAGCACGATGGAGAGCGATTTGGCAGTTATTCAGATGGACGAGTCCATCTATGTTCGGAAAAGAGGAGGGGGACACGAAAATAATGGATGCGGTCTGAAAGCCACCGTGAGCGTGAACAATCAATTAAGACCCGAAATGGTTTATCAAATCCTTCCAATGATTGCTAAGCCAGAATCTATCTTCTCGGTTGAAATGGTCTCTGTGTTTGTATATGTGGAGAGCCTCATGAACGAATCTCTCATGGTAGCCAGATGGCTTGCAGAGAACCTCTGTCTTGGAGAAGTCAATGTCATGTGAGCCTACTGAATTATAACAGTGATCTGCCACGGCCGAGGTGTTGGTCCTACCGTATTTTAGGTCTGCTTTGTGTTCACGGATACAGTCCGAGACATGTCGTTTGGTTTCTCCAATGTAACTACTACCACAGAGGCAACTTAGTTTGTAGATGCCAGGGTACTGTATGTCCGGAATCACATCTTTTACAGACGGAACCAAATCACGGATTTTATGTAAGGACCTGGATCTTGTGTTTAATCAAGATTTTGGAGATCTTTTTTGTGATCCCCGCAATGTAGGGTAAAGTGATTGCTTTGAATGGCTCCTCAAGAGGGTCCTTCTTCATGGTTAGAGTGATAACTTTGCGGATTGTGTAGTCGGAGTAACCATTAGCCTTAAGAGCTTGGTGTACGTGCTTGAGTTCACTGGCTATGTGTTCCTGGTCGGATATGCATTGGGCTCTATGGTGCAGAGTCTTGATGAGGGAATTCTTCTGGGATGGATGGTGGTGGGAATCCGGTTTCCATATACCCAGCCATCAGATTTACCATGGGAAGTCAAAAAAGATGGCAAGCTACCTTTTTTGGATGTCCTAATAAAAAAGAGACCTGACGGTTCAATGAGCCACTCTGTCTACAGGAAAGCTACCCATACGGATGCTTACCTGAAACCGGATTCCCACCACCATCCTCCGTGGTGCTAACGTTAAAAAAACGCCACTTCTTTCAAAATTTCTTGCTGTGGTTTTCACACCTGATGATGATTGCTTGTGTTGCAGTCGAAACGTCGTGAGAATTGTATTGTTTTATATATTTTTTTTATTTTATTGTTTTCCTTCTACGTGACTTTACCGAAAGAACCAAGAATAAGGGTCTGTTATTTTGCATCCGCTTTCAAGTGAACCAGTCGAGGTCGCATATTTCACAATAGGACAAAAGCATACAGTGTTTCTTTTAAAGGCGAGGTTGCTTTTACCCTCGCACGTAGATATCCGACATCTTCTCTCCCGTCATGAAAGCATCGTCTTCCAAAATCACCTCGTCGGTGTTCCAAATGATTATACGCAGCTCATAGCTTCCAGTGAGAAGGCGTTAAAAGGGCAGAGGAGACGAGAGGAGAAATTAAGAAGGCGAAATGTATCGCGGCCACAGGGAGTGGCGGAGGGGCGAGGCTGTACATACCCGCGCACGTAAATATCGCTCGAACGCTCGCCTGTGAAGAAATTGTCGTCCTCAAGCGTAACCTCATCCGTGTTCCATATCACAACCTTGAGCACGTAGCTGTGGGGGCGGAGGGGGTGTGAGGGGGTGGGGGATCGTGTCGGTGGGCAGGGAGGGAGGAGGGTCAGCAGGAGTTTCCCAGCAGGCAGGCGACAGGGGCGTGTTGGTCGATGATGTGGAGTCGAGGCTGTCGCACACGTGAGTTTACAACATTCCCGTCTCGCTCGTCAAGGTGGGTGAGAGAAGATGAAAGGGAGCGACGTTAATTATGAATGTTCACAGGTTCGCACATGGCCGAGGCGTTTGTGGTGCACACACACACACAAGTATGGCAATTCAGGGACCTGAAAAACATCCAGGGCAAGTGCTCAACCAATTGCTGAATAATTGCACCCAGTATTTTGACAAGTGTCTCATTTGACACAATTAGTAATACAAGGGCACAGGTCCACCTCCCCTCCCTCAATATAAAAACTAAACGACATTTTTTTATTTTGCCAGGCAAGGCCCACTGAACTATATAGCTCTCTTTCAGAAGTGACCTGGTCACAAATAATAGCTCATCAAAGTGGCTTATCATCTTGACATTTCTAACAGCCAAATACTCTAAACGGCACGTTGATTCTAATTCCACGCGACCACGGGGAGAACGTGCAGACTCCAAATATGCAGGCGTCAGGATCTGGATCGAACCCACGACATCCTGTATACCAGGTGAGGTAGTTAACATCTCACTACCGTGGTGCTGTTACAAGACATGTGGTTTGCCACCAGAAGGGTGAGCTCAGCACCAAATCAGGGGTCAACTCAGGCCTTCATTTCTCCTGGGTAACTAAAATAAGTATCACTTTTGTCAATGTTAGTCGTCCTAAGGATGACTTTCCCCAGCCATGTAATAGGTCGTGTTCGCTTTGTGTGCAATATATATACTGTGTGCAGCACTGCGTAATATTTATTGTGTGACTGGAGTACAGTATGTGTACTGAGTATGTGGCCTTTGTTGTGGTATGTATGAAGTGTACAACATTGTGTACTGTGCATTGTGTTTATGTCGTCTAAACGCAATGCAGCTGCTGCGGGGTCCACTTTCTGCCCCACTTCTCTCTCCCCCTCTACTGCCGAGGCCTATATAACCTCGTGCCACGGCAGATATTTAGCCTACTTCAGCAGTTTTTTCTTGCTGTGGTTGTCCCACCTGATGACGATTGCTCGTGTTGCGATCGAAACGTCGTGATCTATTATTTTTCTACCTACGTGACTTTACCGAAGGAACCAAAGAGTATGTGTACATAGAGTTTGCCATATGTGTGGATGGATTTGTATGTAATACATGTAGCGTATACCGTGTAATATTTAGCGGCTGATGCTTTTTTGTATATACAATGTATCTGTAGAGTAAAAGCAAATGCTGGCACGTATATATAAGTTATGTGTATGTAGAGAGCCATGTGTGTGCGTCTGCTATATATGGGTAATTTTGGTTTGCAGTGCATGTGCTGTGCACATATGGCACGTGTAATGAGCTTGTATTGTTTTATTCATGTAAACGCCGCTCGTGTTTGCGAGGGTTGTTTTGTATGCGACAATAACATTGGAGTGGTGCCACACAAAGGCCTGCGCACGTGCTAAGGAATAGAGGCCTCTAATGTCTGAACCAGGGGTCGGCAACCAACATAAGAAGAAGAGCCATTTTTTTGTTCGGATTCGGTACAATCCTCGATATTTCAAGAGCCGCAATGCACACGAAGCGGTCCGTAAGAGATTAACCAACAGGTTCACAAAGCCAACGTGAAGTGTACTGTCTAGTTTGGGAATTTCACAACTCTGCAATCCACAAACCCTGGCACTGGGTCAGTGATTTGCAGGTGTCTATCGTCTCACCTGGTGTCACATTTGTGGCATTTATTTTTCAGATGTTAAATAAGCAATAAGCAAGGTCGAGTGTGTGTGTGCTGATGTTGCATGCAAGGAGTGTTTTTGTGTTAAGTATGGCCTTGAGCCAGCGTATTTGGAATTAAAATCCCTGGTACGTTCTAGATTTAGTGCTGATTAAACTTTCAAGTCTCTCCAGAATGTCTAACCACATATGCTGGCTTGGCTAATTCTTTTTCCCCCTCGAATATAAATGTAAACGTACAAATACTGCGACTCATTGCACATGTGAAACTCAACAACGTCTAAGCTCTGATGCACTGATATTAAAGCCAAACCCATAAAAAAGGACATGACCAACATGGGAAGTGTTATATCCACATTCTATTAACCTGCAAATAGAATTCAATAAGTTCATTAAAAAAAGTCAAATTGAAATACTCTTTGATTATTTCGGTAAAGTCACATAGGTATAAAAATAAAACAAAAAATAATATATCACGACGTTTCGATCGCAACACAAGCGGTCATCCTACGTGACTTTACTGAAAGAACCAAAGAGTATGGATCCCTGCAGTCACGAAAGCTTCAAATCAATTGGACTTCACTAAAAAACAAATTGTTGAAACGCCAAAAGAGCACCTATATAATTACATTTCTTAAACCCCAAATCTTCAAAACGAATCAATTTGCTGTCAACTGGTTATAACACGTGTAACGTGTACGTGTGCTTAGCCACTGCAGGCTCTTTGAGCCCAAAGAAAACACCCCTTCTAAAGTGAGTTCCGACGTGTATTTGGACCCTGCAGATCCACGCAGACAACGCAGACCTCTTGGGTTTGCGTGGAGAGATGTCCACGGGTGGCCCTGGGTGCGGCATGTCCTTCGGAAACATGTCCACCCACATTTCCAGACGACCCTGCAACGGCACAAAAAATCCATTTCAACATTTGAGGCCCTTTAACACGTAGGTATTATGAATTTGAGGTCCTGTCAGGGAGCAATGCAGTACCTCAGTCAGAAATGCATTCATTCCAGAATTCTGTACACTAGCGCGTCACTCGTGATGTTAATGGGGTTCATACACCAAGGCGTACACCAATTTATTTTCTGTGATGTCACCACTGAATGGAACGTAACGATAATGCTTGTCGCACACGTAATTCCATTTTCGATGAAGACGCAATCCGAGAAACCGACGTATCTTTTGGATATGTACCTCGGCTTTATGAAACCCGGGCTATGCGCCGTCTTGAATAAATGAATAAATGAGAATGATAGTCTAAAAATCTCGGTCAGCCACTCTGTTGATGAGGCCACCACATTGATGAATTCAATCCCGTGGAGGTTATGTCACAGTGGGGCGATAATGGCATGTTTGACCATAACTCTAAAGTCTGACAGCCAGCCTGGATCACGCAGCCCATTAAAGGAAATGGATCTATAAAATACCAAATTTTGGGGGGTGAGGGGTACAGGGGGGTGGGGGTTACATCTTCCTGTACACCAGAAAGCAATTAATGGGCTTGAACCGAAGAAGACCTCAGACCCTTCCACTCGGCATGTCATATGCCATGGAATGTGTTCATAGTGTGGGTCAAGGGCCTGGGCGTGAATGTGGGAGGTGCCCACCTGCTCAATGCCAGTCTTGTCGGGGTGCAGTAGAGGCCGTGTCTCCACGTGCTCCGGTACCAGCTTGCAGCCCACACGGGCAATCTCCTCCCAGCTGTGCAGGACCTTCAGTGCCAGGTGCTCCTCCGTCTGCTTCTTGTGACCTGCACCATTGATGAATGCGTCATGGCACTGCAGCGAACGCTCTCCTCACCAACACGCGGGGGCAGGTTAGGATTCCAGTCCTTCTACTCCACACACAGCTCCCTCCTTCATCCACAGCTTCCTCCTTCATCCACAGGTCCCTCCCCGACCCTCCTCCCCACCGCATCATCACTACTCAGACGTCCCCTCTTATCCCCTGTTCCAATCCCTCCCCCTCCCCTAGTCCGTCGACCAAGAGCTAAAATGTATTATTATAATTATGTATCCCATCTTATGTACATATTCATACATGCTTCAACGAGCGTTGAATGGTACTTATCGGCAATGATGGATCCCAATAACATATGCAGTGTCTCTGTCTATCAAAACAACAATCAGTGGGGATGTTCTTCCAAATGGTGCAACCTCAGAAGATGTTACTGATTTTATGAATAAAAAAAGTCACGATGATGATGAGGATGATTACTGGGCTGGGTTAACCAGGCAAGGGATCTGAATCCTTCCAAATATTTTGGTGTGGTTTGTTTTTCTGAACAATTCAAAGTAATGATGGCACACTTCGCCTGGTATACAGGAGGTCGTGGGTTCGATCCTGACCCTGTTTATTTGGAGTTTGCATGTTCTCCCTGTGGTCACGTGGATTTATATCCGGGTCCTCCGGTTTTCCCAAACACATTTATAAACACGAGTTTTAGAGTATTTGGCTGCTATACATTTCCAAAAGACAAGCCACTTTGTTGAGCATTCATCTGTGGCCAGATCGCTTTTCTGAAAGAGATCTATATAGTTCAGTGGGCCTTACCTGGTACAATAAAAAAAAAATGCTACGTAGTTTTAGTTTCTCACCGCTATCATCTTCCATCTCAGTGGGTCCATTGAAGATGCGGTTGGCCACCTTGACACGGCCACCCGGCCCGTAGTGCGGCCCATCCACCTTGTTGTCTTTGCACAACTTGGCCAGGATCTGTGTCGGCTTCATGGGGTCGCGCCACGTGTTGTAGCCGTGACTACAGGCGATGCGCGAGGGGAGGGGAAAAGAGGCGCATTTATTTTTCATGCTACAGTCTACATTATAGACTGTCAGTGCGCTCACCGAGGTTAAGAGCAAGGCTTCGGTCTACATTATAGACTGCCTGTACACTCACCCAGCTTAATAACCATTGCTACAGTCTACATTATAGACTGCCAGTACATTTACCGAGGTTAAGAACCGGGCTACAGTCTACATTATAGACTGCCAGTACACTCACCCAGATTAATAACCATTGCTACAGTCTACATTATAGACTGCCAGTACACTCACTCAGATTAATAACCAGGCTACAGTCTACATTATAGACTGTCAGTACACTCACTCAGCTTAATAACCAGGCTACAGTCTACATTATAGACTGCCAGTACACTCACCCAGATTAATAACCAGGCTACAGTCTACATTATAGACTGCCAGTACACTCACTCAGATTAATAACCAGGCTACAGTCTACATTATAGACTGTCAGTACACTCACTCAGCTTAATAACCAGGCTACAGTCTACATTATAGACTGTCAGTTCACTCACTCAGCTTAATAACCATTGCTACAGTCTACATTATAGACTGTCAGTACACTCACTCAGCTTAATAACCATTGCTACAGTCTACATTATAGACTGTCAGTACACTCACTCAGCTTAATAACCAGGCTACAGTCTACATTATAGACTGTCAGTACACTCACTCAGCTTAATAACCATTACTACAGTCTACATTATAGACTGTCAGTACACTCACTCAGCTTAATAACCAGGCTACAGTCTACATTATAGACTGCCAGTACACTTACCGAGGTTAAGAACCAGGCTACGGTCTACATTATAGACTGCCAGTACACTCACCCAGCTTAATAACCATTACTACAGTCTACATTATAGACTGCCAGTACACTCACTCAGGTTAATAACCAGGCTACAGTCTACATTATAGACTGCCAGTACACTCACCCAGCTGAATAACCATTGCTACAGTCTACATTATAGACTGTCAGTACACTCACCCAGCTTAATAACCATTGCTACAGTCTACATTATAGACTGCCAGTACACTATACTCTTTGGTTCTATTTGGTAAAGTCACGTAGGTAAAAAAAATAAAACAACGTGACTTTACCTAATAGAACCAAAGAGCATGGATCCTTGCAGTCACGAAAGCTTCAAATCTAGAATTGCCAGTACACTCACCAAGCTTAATGACCAGGCTACAGGTTCGCCGATGCGACAAGATCATTGCGCGAGTCCATATGACTCGACACACGTAAACCCCCACACAAAGGTCACAGTCATTGATTAGTGATTTAAACATCAAGACTGCTCAAAAGGGCGATTAGCAAGTCCACCGATGTTACAGGATCGTCGCGTGAGTCCATTTGACTTGGCACACACAGATTCACACCCCGCGGAAAGGTCAAATTTGTTAAAATCCGTGAATTAAAGACGAATGTCGCCACTCACACAGCGTACTGCTGTGCGATCCCGCACGTGGCACGGTGCCGGCTGTAGTAGCGGCTCTCAAGGTCAATCTTCGTCTCTCCAATGAGGTCATCCATGCCCACCAGGTCCCAATCCATGACCTGCACAGTGAGCATCGACTCCATGGGGAAGGTGGCTTCGATGTCAAAAGACCTGGAAACGGCAAAGTGATCACATCATGCTTACTGCACATTGCTTTACCATAAGATAAACAAATACATTTTGAGACCTTCAGTATGTATGTCGAACTTCTTTCACACCGTACGTAGCCAACCGCGCTCATCAGAGGTGCGGGAATATCACTTTTATCGTAATAATTGCGCAGGGTGTATTTAATGCATCACTTCATTGATTGATATTTATTCTTAAGCCAATGCACATGTAAAAATCAACGGTTTTTTTAATTAATGTGTCATATATAATGGGGTCATGTGACCCTTCCAGCAACGAGAGGCTGCTATACCCTTCACAATGTCAAAAAATATGTGGTTATTTAATCAAAATGTCACAAAGAATTGTGACAATTTATCTATTTACTCAGTTTAACACGTAGGGAGGGGTACGACACATTTATAAATAACGTGATCTAACCCAAAACCTTTATTATGAATAATTTATTTACTACAGGACCAAATTTCTACACCGCGAAAATTAGCCTGTTACAATGTCAACGCTTCATAAATTGGTCGCCAATTCAAGGATAACCAACACTGTATTGACATCTTAAGCGCTATAACCAATGGGATCAGGTGAAATTAAAACCGCAATTGGCATGACAGACGTCACAGTAACATGAGCACGCACTTTCCAAAGATGGGGTTCAGCTGCTTGGAGATGTAGTTTTCATTGTCCTTCACCTCGGTCTTGCCCAGCTTGATCACAATGTACGGATCCGCCTTCCCATTGATGTCAGCCGGATGGAGGTCAGTGGCCTGGTTGCCAGATGAGGCAAACGGAACAAAGACGGCACAATATTGTTACAGGTGAAAGTGAAGTGGGAGCCCTGCAAATGTCTCATCTCATGCCACAGCAGCTGGTGGAAAGGCTTCCGTTAGAAGGAGCTCTGGAGAGCCCCACTCGAGGGTAATATATCCTTCTCTTTCACACTGGCTAGACTTCACGGAAGAGGAGGAGGGCGTACCCACACTTCACTCCACACACACCACCTGCCGATAGACCAGACATGGGCAAAGTACGGCCCCCGGGCCGTATACGGCCCGTTGGGCTTTTTAATCCGGCTCGCCGAACTTGTCCAAATTTTATTATTAAATTAAATTTGACCTTTCTACTGTAATGCCCCCATTTCCCCATTAGATGGCGCACTTTGACCGGGAGTGTGGTGTTGCTGGCCCGGCCCCTCTGTCAAATTTTAGAACCCATTGTGGCCCGCGAGTCAAAAACTTTGCCCACCCCTGCGACAGACTAACTGTGGTGAACCCATGCATGCTGCTGGGTGGACAACTGCCACGAAAGGAGAATGAAGAGGCGACTTCAGGATTGCAAGTTCAGTGAGCAAACCATTGTACCATGGGCCGCATCTCCAAAATCATTGGCAGGTTAACTTGCACTTGGTCTTTGGTTCTTTCAGTAAAGTCACGTAGGTATAAAATCAAATAAATGACGACGATTCGGGGCAACACAGGCGTCCGGTCATGAGGTGGGAAAACTTGTACTTGTCAAACGAATGAAGATGATGAGGGTGGCCAACTTTCAGTGGATTTTTCTCCGGGTCCTCTGGTTTTTCCCTCCACATTTAGGAACGTAAGTTTAGATTATTTGGCTGGTATAAATTTCCACATCATAAGCCACTTCGTTGAGCTGCCATTTGTGGCCAGGCTGCTTATGAAAAAGATCTATATAGCCCAGTGGGCCTTACGTGGTAAAACAAAAAAACTGTAACTAACACCCAAGTGAGTTCACTCAGTCAACGCCTCTGAAAGTCTGGTCGAAGTGATGGTTTTCCCACATGCAGTGGACTTGACGGTGACAAAAAAAACGTCCGAAGCAATCCACCACAAATCCCCCCGTGAATGTGGGTCATATTCACCTCTGAAGATATCGGAAAGTATCCAAGCCACGGTAAAAATGGCAATCTCTTTAGGGAAAAAAAGCCCAAATGGGAGCAGGCAATGCGAAGCCTCAGCAGCAGACCACGCTTTCCCCACCTGATGATGGATGCTTGTGTTGCACCCAAAACGTCGTGATTTATTTGATTTGATTTTATATCCACGTGACTTTACCGAAAGAACCAAAGAGTATGGATTCCTGCAGTCACGAAAGCTTCCAATCAAGATTGATGCGAAGATTATTCAATGGACGCGTACCGGGTGCCCCAAGTGGTGACCTAATAGGCACTTACTTTTTACAGCTGTTCTCTTAGCAGGTATAGCGAGTTCACTCAACTAAGTGAGCACTTAATTGAGGAGTTTGTTTAATTGCCAAAATGTAATAGCAATTGTCATCGGCCACAATGATAATGCATCAACCATCGACTAACTGGTCGGGATAGGTAGCACTAACTAGAAAGTACAGTTGTGTTCTCCGATAACGTGGTAGTTCCTGAAGAACACTGCGTTATGAAAAAATAGCATTATGATAAACAATATAGGGTACAGCACCATCCGAGACAACATGTGAGATGTGTATGCAGGATAAGCAAAGACTGAGGGTGCATGGGTATCATCTAAAAGCATCCAGCAGCATCCCGTCTTGTGTGACGCTACATCGAGGCAGCTGTATGTCCGTTTATTTATACTCGCGCGAAATAGTTCTGTTCACTCAATCACGTTATCTCTAATTCGCATCCGCGTTATAAAAAGTGTGTTCCCTAATACGTTCATCGCGTTATATCCAATTCGCGTCATGAATAAACACGGGTTATAGGAGAACAGACTGTAAGGTAAACTGTTCAGAAAAGAAAAGTGGGCGCAGACAGGACACGTTACGAGAAAGTCGATGATGGTCGAGAATAATGATGGAGTGGCAAACAGTGAAAGAAACGTGTCCGGGAGGATGCCCACCGAGATGGAGCAATGAAATCAGTTTATGTGCAGCTTCTAGGTGGAGGGTTGTATCTTCAGCATCATGAGATAAGGTGCCAGTTGTGCAAGGCCTTCATCCAGCAGTGGACTGACCATGGCCAATGGTAATTATTTAAACCTTGGACGGGTTTAGACGGATTATTATCAGCAGGGCATGGTCTATTAAACCCAGACTCCTGCGTATGCCCCAGTTAACGGCAAGGGCCAATCACAATGTGGGACCCACTCACCGTCCGTCCACAAGTGGGTTTCAAAATGATGGAACATATCAATGGAGGTTTGAAAATGGCCTTAAGGAAATACTGCATTGCTGCTGTGTGTGCCGATGGCGTACCCGCACGATGTAGACCCTCACGAGCACGTTGATGGGGTCGTTCGTGGGGATGCCCTGGAACATCCCAAACTGGGCGTCGTACCCCACCTCCTTCAGCACGTTGTCCGCGAGGGGCCACTTGTACACGCAGGTCGAGCCCTGTCGACAAGCACCACAATGACGACAACAATGGTGTACACAGCTGTTGACCAATCCATTCCTCGTGTATTCATATCTTTATAAAACTAAACTAAATATATTTTTTTAATTTTACCAGGTAAGGCCCACTGAGCTATATAGCTCTTTTTCAGTAGCGACCTGACGACAAATGATAGTTCAACGAAGTGGCTCATCACGTCGAAATTTATAGCAGCCAAATACTCTGAATGCATGTTTCTAAATGCGGAGGGAAAAAATCAGAGGACCCGGAGAAAAATCCACACGACCACGGGGAGAGAGACACGCAAACTCCAAATATACAGCAGGTGGCAGGGTCGGGATCTCCACGACCTCCTCCATATCAGGCGAGGGCGTTAAGCATCTCACCACCCTGATGGTAAGGTTGTTTGAAAAAAGGTTTAGGTCACTTCAGTCTCACCTTGAAACGTCCCACCACCCTCTCCTCATCCAAAATGTCATCTTCATCGCTGGTCTTGCCACGATACAGATTGAATGTGTGTAGCCAGTCCTCAAAGTTGTCAAACTCTGCCTCCAGCTCCTTGTCATAAACCTGCACAGGGGCACAGTCCATCGGCTCAGTGTGTGGCATGGACAAGCGTGCGGAGATTTTAAAAGGAAGAGCGATGGCACTGTTGAGTGGAGGGGCACTCACTAGGATATTTTCCCATAAAACAGAGCACCTTTATTGCAATGACTTGGCAGAGTAAAGATTAGCAAACGCAGCCAATGAGGTCCTCTTAACATGTACTTGATTAGGCTTAAGTTTGGCCTCAAGCTACTGGGGTTCTGACTTTACGAAACTGAGGATGGATTTCAGGTTTTTTTTTTTACTAGTCATTCCCATTGCTACTTTAGGCGATATTTCAACATCGCAAAAAAATGGGTGCAAAACAACATTAATCACCACACTAAGGTAATGTCGATATTTAGTGCAAGCCAAGCGCCTTTCGTTATGCAAACAGGTACCTTAAGAGTACACACGCTTTGGTCAACACACTTCAATAAAATGCGTGGCTTATAACTAGCGGGAGACGAGCCCCATTGGAGAAAAATAAACAGAAATAAATACCCAGAAACATTGGGGCATTTGTCTGTCTCTGTTGTGGACCAATCAGTTTCAAAGACAATGCATATATTATTATCAGAGCATGTTTTTTGTTTGCATGTTCACCACAAGTACGTGTGGTTAATGCAGACAGGATTCCTTGAATAAGGATTCTGTTTGGTGTTTCAAAATCTTGACACTTGTTTTATTGCCAGAAAGGGCAGCTTGACAAAACATTTTACGTGACCAACAGCTATACAATATCTGGAAATTGACTTGAAAATTGGTTTGGATGTGGAAATAAATGCACAAAGCCTATCTTTAAAGGTGGATGTGTTAAAGCAACGTTTCAATGCCATTGTGCCAAATGCGCCAACTCACTTATTCATGAATGCATGGGTGATATTATTTAGTTGTATAATATAGTCAATTAAATACGATTTGAAGAAAAAAAACACGTAATATTTTTTTGGGCCGAGTTGGGAATTTGCAGGTACAAATGTTATTCATTAGTAAATTGCCCTATTTGTGTAATTAACAAATTACCTTAATATGGACCTTTGCACAGTTGTGGGTTATTTTTTTTAAAAAAATGCGCCAATTGTTAAATGCTATGTAATTAGTACAAATTACCAAAAGAGTTGGATATCTAAATTGGCTCAGTTTCTACTGGATTAATAAACATCAACTAGATGTTGGCGGATACTGCATTAAAATTAAATTTAAAAAAATATATACGCATAGCTTGGCGATGCAATTAGGCACGACGCTTGTTTTTATTATTTTGTTCTGATACTCCACTGCCCGCAGTTTGCACTGCCATGCAGTGAAGAATATGCACGACTCCGTTAAAATATAGGTATTTTCCCCCTGGTTCTTTATTTCATATGCTCTCTGGAAAAGAGCAACAACTCATGAAGGTTTTTGGGTTAGATCGCGTTATTTATAAATGTGTCGCAACCCTCCACCACCCGACACGGGCAATCAGTAAAAAAAGTGTCACGTTGACAAAAGACAAATAGTTCACTACTTTAGCCCACCGGTGTGTTGAAGAGGGATGCGGACACATTTATAAATAACGCGATCTAACCCAAAAACCTTTATTATGAATAATACTGGTCGCGAAAGCCAACGTGTTAAGGAGCAACAACTGTATGTCGTCGCACAGGTCTTTGTTATTAAGCTAGCACCAATACAAATAAACAGAGGTGGTGAGCAAACGTAGACAAAATCGATAAGCCAGAATAAACACTGATACAAAAAAAATCGAGGTCTGTGCCTTGAACAGTGGAGGAACTTAGTTGTGCATCACTGCTACCGCCTCTAGGAATGCTGCCTCAAGATTAGAAAAACGGGCAGGGTAAAGTTTAAACCTGTGCCTTAGCGACATGCATTTAATTGGCTTCACTGATATTAGAAAACAATGTATGGCTCATTTACAATTATTTTGAATGAGTGGGAAAATGAAATTAATTTTAAAATCCTCATTATTTTGCAACATCCTCAATGCCGAGACTGTTCAGCAAAAACGAACCACATTCGTTTGGCGTGTAAATTGTGAACCAGAGGTGTGATTCGCTAAATGCTCTGCAATTCTTCACATTTCTTCGATGACCCCCTAAAAGCCTTCACTGAATAATCCCGCCGAAATATCTCTGTTGAAAAATGCATTTTGTTTCCAAGAGAAATAAAAATGTCTTGGGAAAATCTGGAAAGAAGGGGGAGGAACGAACACAGAAAATACACACATGCATCTCCCACCACCATGAACCTGTGCATGCTGTCACTGCCCACCGCATACATCGCTCCAGATTGCCGCAGAAAAGAGCTCAGCCAGTCAACAGAGAAGAATTAATGTTAAAAGAAAAAAAAATATTCGCATGATACAGTCTAGCCCAGTGGTTCCCAACCTGTGACCCAACGAGCCACCTGGTGCGCTCTTGCAAGGCCATCGCAATTGATCCGCGGAAATGATGCAGACGCAATTAACTTTCACTAAACACCATTCGTCTTCGCCGCCTGGTGCTCCGCGAAAATTCTTCGAGGGTTGAGCGGTCCCGCGGGTCGAAGAAAGGTTGGGAACCGCTGGTCTAGCCGATCATGGGATAGCCAGCCCTTGCGTACTGCCGCAAAACAAATGCATGTAACTGAAAGTAACATGTATTACGCAATGTACAACCATGCAAGATTTCAGCCACAATTCACGAAAAAAAACTGCCGTAACTTCCTATTGAATTGACCAAATAAAAATCTCTCCATTTGAAAGTCTCAGCGAGGGGATATTCCTTTCACATTATAGTCAATTTGTGTCCGGCAGTAAAATAATGATGTTATTTTATGTTATGCCATGCTGATGACCAAATGCATCTGTTAAATATTGGCACTTCATTAAATAGAACACGAACGTTATATTCTAGTGATGGGCATTAATCTAACGAAGTTATTTCAGGCTGGACTAATTTTTTTTGTATATAATATATTCTTTAATAACATGGGAAGGTGATGCAAATGGCAGATTTAATGAAAATTAACTGGAAAGAGAGAGGTATTTCTGGGGAATGTAGTATATTTGTGATTTGCAGCTGAATCGATTAAACCATATTCTATAGGTCCATTGCAGAGGGCTCTGGGTAATGAAACTCAACCAAAAGCCAGCCCAGGTTTTCCATGATATTCCACATCAGGTACGATAAATACAAGCCTGGAAAATGGCATCAAATATAATGTATCTAATGGTACCTTGTAAGGAATATGACTGGGCTGATCTTTGGACTGGGTAATCACTAGCCAGCACCAGTTGTCGCATCTACCAGAATTGTAGAAATGCACTGCCACCGAACGCAGAGGAAGGCACGGCCTATGACACCTGCATAACACCTGGCCCCACCATTAGCCAGAGGTAGGGTATGGTCATTACTGTACCATCAACAGTCCAGCAGACTTCATAACCATCAAACAGTGCTTCAGCAGTTCTGGGTTCATCCGATGCTATGGCAAGAAACATCGACCACCAGGGTTAGGGCTTTGTCGATCCACACGTAGACGGTGAACGCCACACCTTGGTGATCCAAGGCCGAGCGAAATCTGCAGGTGCTCATAATTCAAAAAGCAAACTGTACCACGTGCAGGTATTCACGGTTGTGCTGTGTAGTACATAATGATGGTGTTACTACATCATGTCGGTCATGATGATGTACGACGTCAGACAACTAGGCAGCACATCGTGATGTACTAACTCGTGTGTGTGTGTTGGGTCGGATCAAGGGGGCTAAGCGGACACGGCACGGGCTAGAGAAGCGATGGAGTGATGTGGTACAGGAGGACGTGGAGCTGAGTTGGCTTGTCGATGACTGGTACCAGCGGTGTCAAGATCGGCCTCTGTGGAGGAGGAGGCTCGTGAAGGATGCTACTCAGCAGTTGGAGGCAGTCGCCCTCCAACAACAACGGAGGGCGGAGGAGCGACGCTCACAACAACGAGCGGAGCGCTGGGTAGCTAAAGCACAGTAAGTTGGTACAGTAGGGGGCACAGGTGGTGCATCAGCCAGTCGTCTCAGTCAGTCGACCTGTGACACCTGGGTCTGCCCCGTGACCTCCTGCCAGTGGGCTTTCGACACTTCACGTGGCCTCAAGGTGCACATAGCCTGGCACAAGTGTCGTGGTGACGTCACCGCCACTTAGTGGCAAATGGCGGTTGTTGTTGTTGGAGGGTTACGTATCAATGACGTTGCCATTAAGATGTCGGTACGAGGTTTTTAAGATGATGGCGATGGTCGTTGATGGTGCTGGTGATCTAAATGAGGGTATGTATTTAGAAAATGAAATTGGTATTAACACTAAGGCAATGTTGTCATGTTGGTGAGGTTACAGAAGATAGCATTTAAAACGCTTCTGTCCTGTAAAATGTACTGAATTGACAAAACAAATCAAATAATGCCACCATACATTCACATGCAAACAATACACAGATGGATACACACAGGAGCATCAGATCCACACCTTTCAATAAATATTTGTAGCTCATTTCAATGGCTGGGAGCCATTTGAATCTATAAAATCTCTACAAAATCGGCAAAAGAAAATGGGATTTACCACTATGCAGCAACACACGTGCATATATATAGGCCATTAATACACTCAGTCCACCCCAGGTCACATGAAACCTTTTTGTTGCCATTACACCACGTGACTTGCATATTATTTTTTTATTTACCTATGATACACTGTGATACACTGGTAAAGAAGAAAACAAAAACGCATGTGTCAATAAGACGGCCCCTATAAGGAAAAAACGTGACGTTTCGGGCAATGGCCGTTCTTCATGGCAGAGATACTCTACAGGGCAGGTGTTATCGCCGAATGGGGCGCGGCTTTGTTATCGGTGCTTGTGCACCCGCTGCCAACGCAGCATCGCCAAGGGTTTTGTTGAACGGTAATATCACGAGCACCTCGCCCAGGCCTGGAGTTTTGTTTCCTGTCCGTGGCGTTGGTCGCCTAGAACGGTCGCCACCGTTGGAAGTCAGCCTCGGTGACGCATCAATGATTCCCAGGGGGGTTACAAATGCTTTTAAAACAAGCCGATCCATTTATAGACACCCCACTGACACGAAAGGGAGAAATTATAGGGAAAACCACATTTTGCATCAAAGCCTCTAAAAATCTCCTATCAATCTCAATAAATGTATTACATCTGTTCACCCTCTCGTGTGTAAGATACGAGCCATTGCTTTCACAACATTCGGTCGACTGTTGAGGATAAAATAGCAGGGCATTTTAGAGCACTGGTACATCTATAAATGGATCACACACTTAGTTTATTGAGCTCGACTGCAGTTGACAAATATTCATGGGACTGGCCAACCATCTCAATGCAGAATCCCCTTTAAATAAACATCTTCAAACTCAGCGAGGCCTTTCAGGTTGAACGAAAGGGCTCTGTTACGAAACTCGAAACACGTTAAAATGCAGCGTCGCTTAAGCATCACTTTTACACACGAGGGTAGTCTGACAAGTGCAAATGCCTTTCACAAAAGACACACACAGGGCACCAAGTGAACAATGTAAAAACAAATCTGTCGCATCTAAATGCATTTACCTAGCAGCCCTAAACCCATTTAAATCCATCCAATATTGAGCTTCCCCTGCCCAGAATGTGCACGAGCCCTTCTCAAAAATAGCATTCAATACAAAACATATATTGCATTGCTTTTTAAATTATATTACGTGTGGAGCTGCCCAGACAGTATGATTACCGGTTACTTTAAGAGCACTTAAATTAAATCGCCTACATTCGATAAGCTGCTACAAACAGGTGTAAATTGGTTTCTCCCGCCAGTTTGGTTCGTAGGGCCAACTGGAAATTGCTGATGAGGTGAACTTGGAAGTTTCATCGGAGCCCTTAATACACAAGTGCATTCTTACGGCGCTTATAGAGTGCCTGGGGAAATCTATGAAATAAAACAGCTAAATTATTTAAATCCGAGCGTTGAAAACATGCGCAATTCTCTTGCATTACAGATAACTGTGAATGGATTATGTTTTAAAGTCGTTACATTATTTTATAGTGTTGGAAAGTATTACATATAATCAGTGGTCTTCTGGAATGTACATTAATTTTGGAATCTGAATTCTGATTCCAAATAACCAGGATTGTGAATATAAAACCAGTTGTCGTGCAATGATTGTTTTATGTTCTGATCACATTTTCCATTCGCTGCATGGACAAATTGCAGTGTTTCCCTTTGAATTAAAATCCTATAGATAGGACTGGCTCATGAGCCTTGCAAGAGCTACCAATTACACACTGAAGACCAAGGATTATCTGTTAATGTAAACGTCACAGTCATCATTTCAACAGCAAAACCTGGTTCATTTGAAGCTGCAGCACATAACCACAGATTACATATTTGAACAAGATAACACATTCTTTATTTCCATAATGAATGCCTATTTATACTGCAGCTTGGTGGTAATTACAGTCGGTTCATCCTATTTATAAAAGCAAGCAGGTTTTTGCCATTTTACAATCATTACAACTGTCACTGTCTTTTTTTAAACCCACAATGGTCCTTACAATGACTAACCGGGCGGTTTTGAAGTTCTCAGAACAGAGAACGAAGACCACTCGTTCTAAAGAATCCTTGCACCGTGGGGCGTATGTTCATATACAGTAATCACAGCACAACGGTGTCCTTCAAGTAGCCCCAAGATGAGAAAGACCTTCAGTCATAAACTGCTGTGATGCAATCATGTGACCTGTACCATGTATTCCCAGTCTTTGTTAGCCCAAAACAATGTTCAGTGATCTCAGATAAATATCACAAATGTTATATTCTTGGTTCTTTCGAACCAAGAATATGAATCCCTGCAGTCACGAAAGCTTTAAATCAAAATCACAAATGTTCTTAAAAACAAAAACACACACACATTGTCACACCATGGGGAAATCCCATACTTGAACAAACAATAATGTAAAAGTTACATTGAACAACCCAGTGATTAAATACAGACAATGCAATAACAACGGTCACCCTTATGAATAAATACCTACACATACTGTACCTATGCAGCTGAATGGATAAAGATTTTAACGTACCCATATAACCACAATTTAGTACATACACCATGCACACAGTGCAGCCATGAGAACAATGTATGACTGCCACGTATTTTTGGACACAAATAATACAAAAAATGGCATTTTATCAATAGCTATATGTGCCAGTGATTTGGGTTTCTACAAGGCACAGGTAGACGCTATTGGCTGCACTTCAGTGTCACATTCATCGTAAGGCAGTCTATTAAAACACGGATAGATTGTATTAGCGACACTGTGGACTGCAGGAGTCAATAGCCGCATCCACTGTGTACCAAATTCAGAACAATGAGACTACAGTCTTATACTTTTGACTCAACTGTTACGTTTAATATGGAAATCGCTTTGGCTTTTGCAAAGAGCAAGAAAAGAAATCCATTTTGAAAATCGATAGCAGCCAAATAAGGTCAAGCTACTTATTTATTATAAAAAAGTAGCTGGGTGCGTAGAAACACCACGTCTTTGCTCATTTGGTGGGAAGAGGAAGGCCCATGAGGGATTTCAGTTTCTGTCTCGGCAGGAGACACAAATACAATTGGCTAATACACACGTGCACCTTCGCCCATCCCGTCGGGCCAGGTTTAGTTCGCTGGCCAAGGCGTGATGGCTGGCACGATGTGTTTTTTGGCATTAAGGCTCCACAGTGGGTGTCCCTGTATTGTACCTTCAACTCTTCCACTTGAAGGTGAGGTTTCTTCTTCAGCTGTTTGTCCTTGTCGGCCGCTTTGTGGAACTGCAGGGCCTTTCTTGGGGACTCTGCGCCTGCCAGTGTTACGTTTGTGTGGCGTGGGAATGTTACATTGTTACATTGGAGCATGTGGGCATGAGTTGGTGTAATTGCAAGTATGTGCACGTGTGTGTGTGTGAGATAGAATACATCACATCGTGAGTATGCTTGCTAAAACTGTTTAATATCATTGGTCTTGAAAGCCAATAGGCTGAGAGACTAAAACATATTTTTATTTCGTGTGAAAACACAGACTCGAGTTCTTATTATATTTACTTCTATAATCAATCGTAATGAACATCTCCTCATTTACATAGAAATGCTCCAAAGTGACCAGAGACTTTTAAGAGGGTCTTCCGAGCACCCCTGAGAAAATGTCTCCACGTTCAAGGATCTATGCTGCACGCGCCAGTCGAGGTTTGATTGTAGGGCATCGCTGCAGGAGGCCGTGGGTCCGATCCCGACCCTGACACCTGTATATGTGGAGTTTGCATGTTCTCCGCGTGGTCGTATGGATTTTACTCCGGGCTCTCCGGCGTTTTCCCTCCACATTTAGAAATATGGTTGCTAGAAATGTGCACACGATGAGCCACTTCGTTGAGCTATCGTTTGTGTGGCCAGGTCGCTTCTGCAAAAGAGATCTGTTGCAGCTCAGTGGGCCTTAACCGGTAAAGTAAAAATTAGTTCATCGTAAAATATTGAGCAAATAGCAGACAAACCCTGGACTGGCTCTGCAGTGGCTCCCTCCACTGCATCTTCACCTGGAGTCTGCAACCGACTCTGCAAAGCGAAATACACAGGATGCAATAACACAAAAAAGGTAGCAGAGGAAAACACGGGGAATGATTAAATGAATCAAAATTCTCAAAAGAATAACGATGAAAACCATCATGGGACCTCCTTTGCAGACGTGATTCCTTGTAAAATAAGTTTCAGTTTGGTGTTTTCACATCTTAACACCTGTTTTGTTGCCAGAAAAAAAGGAGAAAAACCTATTATGATGAAAAACATTTCAGTAGAAAGATGCAACACAAAAATTAGATACCTCTTAGCATTTATTATCATGCAGAGGTATCCATCTCATTGTGTATGCTGGGTTCGGGTGCAATATCTTTTCATGATATAATGCGATCTTGTGACAATATAGCGACGATCATGACATCAGTTTCACGTAATTTAAAAATTGTATTTTCATTGTTTTTGTGCTCAATTCTTGTCGATTGTGTTTACGCACCACTGCCAATACTGTGTTAAGTTTTCATTGAATGCAAATAACTATTTACCAAAACGTTAACCCTTTCCCATTCCGAGACGTCTGCAAGTTGCAGGGTGGGTCCCGTTCACCGCTGAATCTCGGAACGCGCAAGTAGTTCAGTGTTAATTTTATTTAGAAAGGCGTAGTGCTGCTGTTTTTAAAGGGATTCTCCTGTAGCGACACGACCGCACTCTACGATAGCTGGCGCCAAGCTGTGCCAGACGTCCTCCCACGTGGCCTTTTTACTTCTGATTCCGTTCAGAATCGATTCCGTTCCGATGACGTAAAAGTACGTAATCAGAACGGAATCGGGAAGAAAAAAAACTGATGACGTATGCCCTACATCATCGGAACGGGAGAGGAGTCAATTGCGCCTACGCACTTCTGCCAATACTGTCTTAGGTATTAATTGAATGTGACAATTCACCGCACGTTAAAATGCATCTCTCGAGAAACATTCCTTCCTGTAAAACAGAGAGACGCCAGCCCCACCCACTTCCCTACCTCTTGGAGCATCTCAATGGAGGCAAAGTACTTGGACCACCAGTCCAGCACGCTCTCGTCACGCTCTGCATCCTCTGGCTCCGTCTTCTTTTTTTTACTCTTCTTGCCCTGGGTGGCCCCCGGCTCTCCCTACACAAGCAACATGCCCGCAGATAATTTTTCACGACCGAGGGCCACAATTTGCTCGGTCTTTCGTTGAATCCGTTGTCCCGCTTGCGCACGCGCACACACACACGGCAAAAGCACTCGCATTGCAGAAACTTCAACACGGTAAAGGAAGCATCTAGGAAGGTGGATTAAAGGGAACTCTCATCATCTATTTTTTTTTTTTTATAATCCAGTGTGCGCACAGGCCCTTTGTCAATCTACTGCTGACTGAGGGACTTCTATACCAGAAGGGTTGAAGGTGTGATTTTACCATACTTTACCACGTTGGTCAGAGCGGGTTGGTGAGGGCACAGAAGCGTAGACATGGGAGCGTAGAAGCACGGTACAACAATGGAACTTGCTGCACTGCCCTTTGCTGCCAACTATGTATGCACGGAGATCAGACATCCGAACACTGGCCAGGCTCCACCGTTTACCAGACTTTGTGAATAATTGACGTTTATATTTTCTTACCCAAGAAAGTCTTGCATTTAAAAATATATATTTATACAGTATATGTCAGGAGCTGGTGTACCTGGCTAAACCCCATATTCACGAGGGGACACTAAAACACATTTATGTTGAACTTCTTTCGCACCGTACGTAGCCAATCGCGCTAACCGGATAAGCTGCTAGAAACCTACTTTGCAATGAAGGGGCATTCACTTGTAGATAACAACTTCACTATCCTGTAGGTAGGCACCTCAAAGAGGATCCATCTCTACAAAAACTATGAACAGGGCCGCACAGAGGGCGGCGGAGGGGTCGGGCAGAATGCCATATGGGGCACCCTAATGGCACCATCCACAGGACCAGTATTGGGGCCCTCCTTTTGTGCAAGGCCCAAAGCAAATTGCCCCCTTTCCCCACTTCTCTCTGGGCAGCCCTGCCCATCAACGCCAAGGTCAAGTTGCTGATTTTGACTTGCGTATTTGTGCCACCACAATACATCGAACAAAGATGCAGCGATCGTCTTTGTTCAAGCCACCGAACAAAGACGGTCACTGTGTCGCGCGCTTTCAAATGCGCTTCTGCGGCCGTCTGGAGCGCTCTCCCTTCCAATAATAGAAAGCCACTGGAGCTATGCAATTTTATATCTAAATTGTAAAACTAGGCCGCAGTAAAGGTTAAGAACGACTGGTGCAGTGAATGTGCTATTACACACGCCCTCGATGGTGATTGTCGTCTCTGTTTTCTTGTCGGAGTCTGCCGCGTTCGTCTCCACGATTTGCTTGATAATCTCAGCATCGCTGGTCGCCTGCTTCACTGTGAAAGCAACCAGATTGCAGCGGAGTGAACACACCTGCCCTATGCACACATTGCTGGCCAAATCTCAGACAAAACTATCCCTTACTTCATTGGCACACAGTGCACTTCTTCTACACTCACGCACAATAAAGCCATAGGGGGGCACTCACACTTCACCCCAGTGAAGCCCAGTGAAGCCACCAGGTTGACAGAGGCTATAGTGAATTAATACATGTTTAAGTCACCTGGACAAGGAATTGAACCCAGATTATGTATACACTGATGTGGTGTATTCACCTACCATGTGCGAACATAATGACAGTATTACTCATGTGCAGTTAGGTAGAATGCCCACAAGCAGAATAGTACAAATCTGTACAGATATCAATTGTACAGATTTTAGGTTGGCTGAATTGAGTACAGCACTGGGACCATGTATGCATGTGCCTGTAATTAGCTTTGTCAAGCTTCCAAATTGCTATAATGATAATGAATGCAATGTATGCATTTACCTATACAAATATGAATTAACATCTCATGTGGCACTGAAAGGCCAAGTTAGGTAGACACAACATGTCGGGAGTATACATGGGCCATGAGAATTCTTGTTAAGAATAACTGATGTAATAACGTACATGGTACATTGATGTGCCATACTATAGTACCAAAGACTCACCTAAATATGGAGGGAATGGATCAAAAGGCTATCTATCTTAGCCCATATATAGATTGTGAATCATGACAATGACGGCATGAGTCATGACGTGGACGTCGATGGAAATAAATGAATGATTGACATCGCGTAGCTTAATATGGCTCACGTTGTTGGTGATGAGGATGCGCGTTTGCAGCGAGGTTAACTGGCAGGGATGATGCACAAATGTGCGACTTGTGGTGTTGTCATCGAGTTCAAAAGGGTTGATGCAATAAATCGAAGGTACGATGGTTAAAACATGCAGCACGGGAGGATGGGGGCCATGAGCACACGGTCAGTTACCTCGAAGGACAGCAAACCGTTTAGCCAGGAATCGAGGCTTAGCTGAGCACAAGGTAGAGGCAAAGAAAGTTCAGGGCAAGGAAGGTAGGGAAGATGGTTTCAGGTCAAGGAGCAAAGGGTATAGGGAAACAGTCAGGGATCGAGGGCCAAGGAGGCAGGCATAGACAAGAACACGTGACAGGACTACCTGTGCATTATTTGTATTTAAGGTAAGGCCCCACTGGGCTTTTGAGTTCTTTTTTTCGGAAGCGACCTGGCTATCAAAAATGATAGCTCAACGAAGTGGACTACCACCTGCAAATTTATAGCAGCCAAATAGTCTAAAGGCTTGTTTCTAAATGTGGAGGGGGAAACCGAATGACCCGGAGAAAAAATTCACGCGGCCACGGGGAGAACATCCAAACTCCAAATATACAGATGGCAGGGTCAGGATCAAACCCACAATCTCCTGCATAACAGGCAAGGGAGTTAACATATTGCCACCGTGATAAAGCAAAACGGTTAAATTGCCATAAAAAATGATGAAACAGTGTTACATGTTTAATGTGAATTTATGTCCTTTAGCTAGATTACAGCTAAATAAGGTGCGTTTTTTGGGGCATAAATCTATTCAATCGTAGTTGCCCAGAATGTAAGGAAACACTTTTTCTAATTGTGACATTTTTGAAATAACACTGACAAACAACGGCGTATTCCCACGCATAATGACATCCCAAGATCGTTAATATTTGTTTTGAAGAAGATAATGTTATTTGATAACCTGCAGTGGATATTACTGAGTGGCCGTGAATCTGTCGGATCACACACGCCAAGCAGTAAACAGTCTTGACCACTTGGTTACTCAGCTGCTCAGGTTGAGTAACCTAGTGGTGAAGAAAAGACACGTGTCACTCCCAAGTAAGTCCACGCCGTATACCATCGAAAGAACAGCTTACTGAAGAGAGAACAGTCGATACATTTGCATTGAAGCCTTTTGCAGGTAATTCAAAGCAGTACATATACTATCGGGCCAGAGGGCATTGCCGCTATAACGGCTTCACAATTGGAAGGCTGCCAGTTATACATCTTCATTGAGTTTGCACTCAGCCAGCCATCACTCCAGGGACGGATGGCTGAGTATCTGCGAGAAGTACACAGTGGTCGTACCATACGGATTGGTTCACGTCACAGCAATGTGGAATTTCAATACCGTCACTGGATCAAGGCTGCCAACAGAGACGTCGTGTTATTATACTCTCCTGAAAGTCAGAGCAATTATTATCGGCTCACACGGGCATTGAGGCGGTGATCATCACCTGTTCACAGCCCTGAGCCAGTGGTGGAAATTCCACATTGCTATGGCAGGGGACGAGGGAAAACCACTGATATCTTCCCCAAAAAGTTGTCCTCAATTTACCAACCGCAGAGGAATGATGGGCTGTGTCAACCCCCGGCCAGAAGTTAAACTTGAAACTTTTCCGATTGCGAGCCGCTTGCTCTACCACCGAGTAACCTGGCCATGCACTGCCCATGCGGCGGGGGAAAAACAAATTAAATGCAGTGCTCAGTGGCAAAATGTTTGTGCGTAATGGACAGCGGGACACTTACTGCTGCCTTGGCGGCCCATGTCTGGCCCCGTGGTGTGGAAAATGAACTTGCGCAGGGAGGTGACCGTTTGCGAGCCCACGAGTATGTAGCGTCCGAACGCGCGACAGTCCACCACTCGGATGTTGAGTGGCGGGTGGAACAACTCGTTCTCTGGCAGATCCTGTGAACCAACCACACCGAACTGATGTATCCTCCATCGAGCCACTCCCTTCACTTAACCCCCCCCCCCCACCACCACCACTGCAGCTTGCGAATTACGGCTACATATTTAATCTTGTAACTCCTTACGAGTAGAGCTCCGCATGATGCGCAGTGTATCGGCATTCATGCATATTTTAGTCAATGGTTGCACCCTTTGCGTCCTTTATATCGGCTTCTGCGTCATGTACGAATGCGTTATGAATAAAACTGGTTTCGCGTTTTATTACCGCATAATTTAACACATCTCCGTGTAAGCCTTCAGGGGGGACCGTGATAGAAAATGTAATTGTTTGTATTATTTTGTCATAGGTTTAGACTGGACAATAATTGTGCCAAATATCAGTTTTCTAACCCCATCTAGAATATCATTTAAAATTAAATCACTCCCTTTTCACAATCATTTCAATGTATAAATGTACAACTTCATCGACAGAGATTCAAATGTGAAATATAAATAATTGTCGAGTCTTTGCATTATAGTAGTGATAGACTGTGTTGTTCAAGTACAGTATTTGTGTTTCCAGTTATGTTTTGCCAAGCGAAGGGCAAACGATATGTTCAGCATGATGCATTGTGCAATAACTTTGATGAATGGAGGAAACCAAAGTGTATGAACACAGGCTTAAATCTTTTTTTTTTAAACCAGATTATCTGGGATAAAAGTCAGAGATTTTGATTCAGTGCCTGGCACAGATATTATTTTTTTAGCACAGACAGTTTAGTTTTAACACAGACATTCGTTTTTCGACAGCCACACAGCCACCTCCAAAATTAGAGGCAAGCCGCTTGAACTGCACTTTGAGCACCGTGTCCAAACAAACCTGCAATGCCTGTTGCGACATAGCCCGAGAGAACAATCGTCACTTACCACTTCAAAGAACTTGACAAGGTGGCTGAAGTTGGGGTTTTTATTGAAGTCGGCGATCACCACCGACTGGATGCCCTTGCCCGCACACTCAATGTCAACGCGTGGTCGATCCACCGACTGCAGCTGCACTCGCTTGAGATCCCTCAGGCCCCAGAAGAGAACCTGCAGCGTGACACAGGCCAAGGGGGGTGACACTAAGCATTGCAAGGGAGTGGTGGTGGCGGTGGTGGTGGTGGCAGCGCTTGGCTTCAAGCAAACGAAGCAAACGCCTGCGTGTGTACGTTGAACTTCTTTCACAGCGTACGTAGCCAACCGCGCTAATCGGAGGTGCGCGGGAAGGACGAACAAACTAAACACAAAAAGCAGTTCCAAAGAAATGAGATCTCAATCTATATTTAAAAGTGCACAGCTCCAGTGGCTTCCTAATAAATGAAGTGCACAGGGCCCCAAGCAGCTGAAGGAGAGGTCCCAGGTTCGTGAAAAGTAGCGGTGAACCAAATGCCAGCTCGGATTACAATCCCATTGAGCACAAAAACTTCAAATTAACAAACAGAAATACAATTAATTCCACGCATCCCTTATTTGTCTCCATCGCTTCTTGCGTCCGCACCCACCTCTGTCGCTTGTGAACGTCTCTCATTTCCGCTACATCTCTGCATCATCCGTAACTCTAATCTCTCATCGCACTGTGTTTGTTTCTCTTGTCTATACAGTGAGGGAAAAAAGTATTTGATCCCCTTTTGATTTTGTACGTTTGCCCACTGACAAAGAAATGATCAGTCTATAATTTTAATGGTAGGTTTAAGTGAGAGACAGAATAACAACAACAAAATCCAGAAAAACGCATGGCAAAAATGTTATAAATTGATTTGCATTTTAATGAGGGAAATAAGTATTTGACCCCTCTGCAAAACATGACTTAGTACTTGGTGGCAAAACCCTTGTTGGCAATCACAGAGGTCAGACGTTTCTTGTAGTTGGCCACCAGGTTTGCACACATCTCAGGAGGGATTTTGTCCCACTCCTCTTTGCAGATCTTCTCCAAGTCATTAAGGTTACGAGGCTGACGTTAGGCAACTCGAACCTTCAGCTCCCTCCACAGATTTTCTATGGGATTAAGGTCTGGAGGCTGGCTAGGCCACACCAGGACCCTAATGTGCTTCTACTTGAGCCACTCCTTTGTTGCCTTGGCCGTGTGTTTTGGGTCATTGTCATGCTGGAATACCCATCCACGACCCATTTTCAATGCCCTGGCTGAGGGAAGGAGGTTCTCACCCAAGATTTGACGGTACATGGCCCCATGCATCGTCCCTTTGATGCGGTGAAGTTGTCCTGTCCCCTTAGCAGAAAAACACCCCCAAAGCATAATGTTTCCACCTCCATGTTTGACGGTGGGGATGGTGTTCTTTGGGTCATAGGCAGCATTCCTCCTCCTCTAAACACGGCGAGTTGAGTTGATGCCAAAGAGATCCATTTTGGTCTCATCTGACCACAACACTTTCACCCAGTTGTCCTCTGAATCATTCAGATGCTCATTGGCAAACTTCAGACGGGCATGTATATGTGCTTTCTTGAGCAGGGGACCTTGCGGGCGCTGCAGGATTTCAGTACTTCACGGCGTAGTGTGTTACCAATTGTTTTCTTGGTGACTATGGTCCCAGCTGCCTTGAGATCATTGACAAGATCATCCCGTGTAGTTATGGGTTGATTCCTCACCGTTCTCATGATCACTGCAACTCCACGAGGTGAGATCTTGAAAGGAACCTCAGGCCGAGGGAGATTGACAGTTATTTTGTGTTTCTTCCATTTGCGAATAATCGCACCAACTGTTGTCACCTTCTCACCAAGCTGCTTGGCAATGGTCTTGTAGCCCATTCCAGCCTTGTGTAGGTCTACAATCTTGTCCCTGACATCCTTGGAGAGCTCTTTGGTCTTGGCCATGGTGGAGAGTTTGGAATCTGATTGATTGATGGCTTCTGTGGACAGGTGTCTTTTATACAGGTATTAAGCTAAGATTAGGAGCATTCCCTTTAAGTGTATGCTCCTAATCTCAGCTCGTCACCTGTATAAAAGATACCTAGATGCCAGAAATCTTTCTGATTGAGAGGGGGTCAAATACTTATTTCCCTCATTAAAATGCAAATCAATTTATAACATTTTTGACATGCGTTTTTCTGGATTTTGTTGTTGTTATTCTGTCTCTCACTGTTCAAATAAACCTACCATTAAAATTATAGACTGATCATTTCTTTGTCAGTGGGCAAACGTAAAAAATAATCAGGGGATCAAATACTTTTTTCCCTCACTGTATCTCATCTGTTGCCTCGCTCGGAGTTTCTGCATTGAAGGGGTGGTGGAGGGGGCAGAAATGATTTCTGATTTTGAGATCTTAGCAGGCGGGCGAGCAGCACCACTCTGTTAGAGAGCTCCGTCTTTGACAGCAGTGCCTTTGATGATGGCCATGTTCACATAAAGCATTCACACCATTATTAACTCTCCATAGACGTGCTGACGCATTCACACACATCGGCTGTTAGGTCCGGACCAGGTTTAGTTCATGGTATAGCTTGCATTTAATTCCTCGGGAGAGCAGTAAGGGGGACTGCCACGTTCAACGATTGAAAACAATAAAAATGAAAATCGGTGAAAACTAAATAAACAATTGTGCACGTAATGGATCGAATGAGTTAATACAAAGATTTGGAGTGTAACGATATATATATGATTCAATAATTAATAATGAATGAGTATAATATGCAAATTATATGCGAAAAATAAATTTAGAATAATGGAATGATGAAAAAAGAAACTAAATTAGAGACAAATTAAATTCCAAATCCATATTGCTGCTCAATTATATCCAAAGCATAATAACTGAAGCAAATGCAATCACACATGTCACCACTTTAGAAACATCCTCCAATAATTCTCACATTTGTCAGAATTTACAATTGAGGGTAACTGCATTCCGTTAGCATTCCACCACATTCCAGTCTTTACAATGGCGAAATGTGATCGATTAATACTAATCTGTCTGCAGCAGGACGCACGGCAGTGTTTGTATCTCTTTGATCCCGCTTTCCAGGGGCACACACTACGTGCTCAAATGTAACTGGCAAAAAAAATTAGAAATTAAAACACTGGGATCAGAGGCAGTGTGTGTGCGCTTGCCTGTACAATGCAAGCATAGGAGGTCGTGGTGGGAAGATGTGGGGGGTGGGGGTGTGAGCTCACCTCTATCCTGTACTTGGCCAGGACAGGCCGAATCCCCTTGGGCACCGGGATGATGGGCCCTCGGTCTGTGTCGTTCAGTCCGGAGACTGGAGGGAATTTACAGTTGTCTGCTGGTGGGACCTATGAGAGCACAATCAATTGCAACACGGCACGGCTTTCCCGCACCACGCAGAGATGAACACTGCAAATCTCTTTCAGTGGACACGTGGACGACACATTTTTATTTTATGTATTTTGTCAGCGGCCTCGCCTAGCCTCTCTTAAGAGAATGCAGGCTAATTTTGAAAGCGGGGTACGTATTTGTTCATTGTGCAGGGTTGGTGTAATGAGATAGGGCATTTGGGCTGAAACTAACCCTGCGAGCATTTAAACAAGTCCTATAAATATCAGCGAAAGTCAAGGCCATTGCCGAGGCTTCGCCAAGGGCTATTGGTTAGCGCACATGTATGTAACACCTATTGTAAATGTACACAGCAGGTGATCCTTCCGTGCCACAGCAGTAAGTGCATCCTGTAAACAATGTCTTTAGCATAAGGCAATTCGATTCACACTCGGTAATGACATTCACGATTGTGGGGTGAGCAGTTGCAAGGACAGAGGTCAGCATTCATGTGATAGGAGCCAGTTCGGTGTAAGCGGGAGGGAGCGTGGTGGGGGGACAAGGTGAGCATCCCCAGGTTACACTGACACACTGGCGGAGCTAGTGGGGGGGGGGGGGGGGGGGTGGCACGTGGCCCCCCAATCATCCAAACGAAATCCCTCATTTCGATCAGATCATTGGAGTTTTTTAGTAATAAATCGGCATTTTGCGACCCCCACTGGCACAGTGTAGCATATTATTATGTGCCAGGGACTCTATGAGATGATAGCATAAGAGTCTGAGTCCATAATTGGAAATAAGTAACGGCAAAGCAGTTCTAAGTGACTCAGTGAATTGTGCGCAGTTGCGTATACAGTACACGACTTCCCTGAAGGCATACATTCAGCGAGCGCGATGCCGATAACACAAAGCGGTTCGAATTCGACGCTCGATCGATGGCTGCACCATCGCCACACACGCGTCGAATAAAAAGCAAGGGACAAGTCCTTACTTACTAACAACTCCTATCATTTTTCATTGCTGGAGGGGTTGCCCCTCCTACCTGAAAATCCTTGCTCCGTCATTGTACTGATGCTCGCATGGCCTTCAAGTAAACGCACACATGCTCATGCAAAATTGTAAGTTGCTGGTTCCCATCCTGAGGTCCGTGGATCGCTGGCAGCTCTGCCAGGCCACGGGGAAGTATATCACACATGGAGGTTCTGTGAACAAAGTAGAGGCCGACCGAAACTGAATTTATGGCTTCGGCTGAAACCGAAACCAGAGCAAAAGTAAAAAAAAATAACTTTCGGCCGAAACCGAAGCCGAAACCAAAAGTTTAACTACAATTTCGACCGAGACTGAAAAAGAAAGGGAAATAACCAAAGTTACCGAACACAAGATTTATGAAATGTCATGATGCAATGCTACTTTAATTAAAAATAAATCTAGAACTAATCATTCAGAGCCTGCAGTAAGAGTCGCTAAATATCAAATCTTTAAGTGTTACTTACTAAGTAATTATATCCAAACAAACGAATGTTATAGTTAAGAAACAACGGTTTTTCCGCATTCAGCCAGACAGGCTGCCATCTGTCGACCGGTCATATATACATTAGCAGACCAAGGTTGCGGCTGTAACCTCACTCCCAAGCTGCTGCTGACGTGTGTGTGTTTGTGTGTACGTGTGTGTGTGTATGTGTGTGTGTGCCGGATGGGCAACTCTGTCGTGGACAGTGCTGTGGGGGGAGGGCCAACTCCGATTGGCTCCTCCCCTCATGGCATCTGTGACCACCACAGGGGCTAAACGGGGGCTCTGGATGGGTGCGAGGGGCTGGTAACACCTCCACCTTCAAAAAATAACCAAAAAATTATGACTTAAATATATAACTAATAAGCTTGTGCCGGAGGCCCCGGGGGGACAGGCGTCTATGACGTCTCCTGGCCAAACTCCAATTGGCGGAGCCTGGAGATTGAATCTGTACCCTCGGGGCTCCTCCAGAAACAACGAAAAGCCACTTCGTGTGGCCACGTGGAATGTTCGAACGCTCACTGTGGAGGAGAGGCTGCCACTCCTCTGTCGGGAGCCGGACCGGTACCGCCTGGATCTCTGTGGCACTCAGGAGGTCCGGTGGACCGGTTCTGGCTCCTGCCACCATGAGGGGTGGACAGTCGTCTACTCAGGGCAGCAGACTGTCAAACAACAGGGTGTGGCTCTTCTTTTGATCAAAAGAATGAAGGCAGGCATGGGAGCGTGGCGGTGAGGTGTGGGAAGCTGTTAGCCCCAGGCTACTTTGGGCTCGCCTTCCCATCAACCGGAGGCGAGGAATGGTGGTCGTGGTTACTTATGCCCCCACCGAAGACGAACATCTGTGGAGGGATGCAGGCAAAGCCGATGAGTCAGATGCCTTCTATGACCTCCTGTCACAGGTGCTGGCTAAAGTGGCCCCTCGAGATAGAGTCATCTTGTTGGGTGACTTTAATGCCCGAGTTGGTCATGATGCTGGCACCTGGTCTGGAGTGATTGGAGGGCATGGGCCAGATCAGCTCAATAACAACGGTAGGAGACTGCTAGATTTTTGTGCAGCCCATGGGCTTGTAATTACCAACACGCTGTTCCGGCATCGGCGCATCCACAAAAAATCATGGATGCATGCCGGGTCCAAGCAAGAACATCTGCTGGACTACATAGTGACGGACCAGCGGATGCGAGCCCATGTCCTTAACACCAGGACCTACCGTGGAGCTGATCTGCCCTCTGACCATCGACTAGTCATCTGTAAGATGCGCCTGCCATTCTTCCACTCCGGCGGTGGGTGTACAGCCAGGACCCCATTCCAACCTAAAGTGGCCTGGTCTCAGTTATCTGATGAAAGTTGCAAGCGAGAATTCCATCATCGTTTGCGACTGGGGTTGGCACCTTCCCCCACTCCTCCTGATGTCGAGGGTATATGGGCGAGGTTCAGTACTATCACTCATGCAGCTGCATTGGCTGCTTTGGGTACGCGGTCCAGACCTCCCCAGAGACCCTGGCTGACAGAGGAGGTGTTCAGGATAGTTGAGAAAAAGGGACAGGCCCACTGTCATCGGCTACAGAATCCCACGTCAGAGAATGAGGAGGCTTACCACAGCCTTCGCTCGGAGGTTCGGAGAGCCGTGAGGCGCTGCAAGGATGGGTGGTGGTCGCGGGTTGCTGAGGAGATGGAGTCTGCCTCAGTGGCCCACGATCACAAATCTCTATTTAACTCCATCAAAAAAGTAACCTGCAGCACCACACCTATTACCATCATTAGGGGAAAAAACGGTGATCCAATCTCCGACCCCCAGGAACAGGTTTGCAGATTTGCTGAGCATTTCTGTGAGGTCCTGGGGGAGGGAAAATCCCTCAGCCAAGAAAACATCGTGGCACAAAGTGGGGATGACCCTGCTGAGGCTGCGGTGCCCCAAATATTGGAAGAAGTCACCCCCTGTGAGTGGCTGGCTGAGGTGCCATCTGTTGAGAAAGTACTGAAGGCGATCCGGAGTCTGAGACCAGGAAAGGCGCCGGGCAGAGATGATCTCCCAAGCGAAATGCTGAGGGAGGGTGGCGTTTGTGCACAGACTGCCCTATATGACATCGTAACAACAGTCTGGACGACTGGACGGGTTCCGCAGGATTGGAAGGATGCCCTAGTGGTCCCCCTCTTTAAGAAGGGGGACCGCACAGACTGTAACAACTACAGGGGCATCTCACTCCTCAATGTGCCGGGAAAGGTCCTGGCAAGGATTATTCAACATCGCCTTGCCAGGCACGCTGAGGAGAGGCTTGCGGAGCCCCAATGCGGTTTCAGGAAAGGGCGGTCCTGCACAGATGCCATATTTTCTGTTCGTCTGCTACAGCAGAGGTATAGGGAATTCCAGCAAGACCTATATCTCTGCTTTATTGACCTGGTCAAGGCCTATGATACCATCAGTAGGCCTGGCCTCTGGGTTGTTCTTCGTGCTTTTGGAGTCCCTGACCCTCTGCTCACGATCATTAAGGACCTTCATGATGGTGAGCGGGCCCAGGTAAAACTACGTGGCCGGGAGTCAGAGCCATTCGCTGTACACCTTGGGGGTGCGACAGGGATGTCCTCTGGCTCCCACATTATTTAACATCTTTTTGACCACGTCGTTCGTGAAGCCTTCAATAGCTGTACTGGGGGAATCTCCATATGGTACAGATATAATGGGAGGCTGATCGATGCCCGGGTGCGGTCAAGGGATGGCTCCCTATTGCTCAACCACATTATGTATGCCGATGATTTGGTAATAGCTGCTCATTCAGAGGAGGAGTTGGAGACGCTGCTGCTGAGACTGGAGCGTGCCACTAAGAGATGGGGCCTTACCATCAGCCCCACCAAAACTAAGCACCTGCCTGGGCACTTTGTACCATCGGACACTCCATCCCCACAACTGCCAATCGGTGATGGGGCAGTTGTGGAGAGAGTGGAGAGTTTCCCATACCTGGGCAGTGTGCTTATGACCGGTTCCAGTTTAACAGCAGAGGTCTCACTCCGAATCAGTCGAGCGGCAATATCTTTTCATCGGTTGCGTAACGCTGTGTGGAAGCTACCTGGTCTGTCGCTCAGCACTAAGCTTCAGGTCTTCTCGGCCACGGTCATTCCCTCCCTTCTCTACGCTTGCGAAACGTGGACCCCCCTAATGGAACATCTTCGCCGGTTATAAACATTTAGGCTAGCCTGCCTACGATCCATCTTGGGTTTAACCAGGCTAGATTGTGTGAGGAGCTCACAAATCCTTGAAAGATCTGGGCAAGGTTCCATCGGTGAGCTCCTCCGGCAGGCAAGGCTGCGTTGGCTGGGTCATGTAGCCCGTATGCCCAGCCACCACATGCCGAAACAGCTTTTGTTCGGCCGGATTGAGGGGTTTAAACGGGCGCGGCACAGGCTAGAGAAGAGATGGAGTGATGTGGTACAGGAGGACGTGGAGCTGAGTGGACTTGCCGATGACTGGTACCAGCGGTGTCAAGATTGGCCTCTGTGGAGGAGGCTCGTGAAGGATGCTACTGGGCAGTTGGAGGCAGTAGCCCTCCAACAACAACGGAGGGCGGAGGAGCGACGCTCACAACAACGAGCGGAGCGCCGGGTGGCTAAAGCACAGCAGGTTGGCACATTAGGGGGCACAGGTGGTGCATCAGCCAGTCATCTCAGTCAGTCGACCCGTGGCACTTGGGTCTGCCCCGTGACCGCCTGCCAGCTAGCGTTCGACACTTCACATGGCCTCAAGGTGCACATGGCCTGGCACAAGCGTCGTGGTGACGTCACCGCCACTTAGTGGGGAATGGCGGTTGTTGTTGTTGAGTTTGCAGCCTATCGCATAGGATTGCCTAGGCTCTAAGAAAAGCTGTCTCGGGTGTGGACCAATCAAATTCAAGGACAGTGCATATTATTATCAGAGTTGTCTCTTTTGTTTGCATTTTGACTGCTTGTGTTGTGGTTATTGCAAACATGATGCCTTGAATAAAGGTGTCAGTTTTTGTGCCAGTTAAAAGGGTAAAACCTATTACGATATCTTGTTACTGGCAAAGGAGGTCTCATAATATAAATGTGTCGTTATATCAATTAGTAAGGTTACAAAGAATCGGCACGTTTCGTTTACGTGACAAACCTTACTAATTAGCTATGTCAGGTGGGGAGGGTTACGACACATTTATACTTCCGTGATCTCACCAAAAAACCTCGATTACCGATGAATATTGGTCGCGAAAAGCCTACGTGTTAAACATACATGCGTAACTCTTGATTTAAAGCTTTCATAACTGCAGGAATTCATACTCTTTGCTCTTTCGGTCAAGTCTATTATTTTTTTACTCACGTGACTTGCCCGAAAGAGCGTCAAGAATAATATCGCGGCAAGGATAATCCGCATCTGGGAAACGTTTACTCTGAAAAGAGAGCGAGGTGAATCACCTTCAGTCGACACTGAACCGACTCGGCGCGAGCCAGGGGAGCGAGTTTAACGTCATCCCCATCACAGAGAACCTCGGGTCACGGACCCGGGGCAATGAGGCGAGAGGGAAAGGAATGACGATCGGCGGAAATGAAAACGGCTGAAGCGATCGGTGCCGGGAAAACGTTTCGGTTACAGACGAGAAGTGGCGATCGCGCGATCGAGTCCGATAGAGTTCCACGACCACGAGGATAAAAAAGAAGAAGAAAAAAAAGATCGATTTGTTACGATTATACACGAGACGCACGAGCACGCAAAACGCAGACTGAGCCTTCACTCGTGTTTCGTGTTGTCGCTTGGCGCGCGTTAAACTCTGGGCGCAGGGCTACCAACGCCTCTCGATGTGAGCAGCCAACATCGCTCAATCAATACGTACACCGCTGTTCGATTTTCATCTAGTATCTAAAATATACTGAGCTTTACTAAACCCGTCCAACGCTCTTCCCTTCCAAGGTGTGGCCCTTCCGTGTCCACAAGTTGAGCGCGCGATCACAACGCAGCCCTTGTTTCCGCCATCGCCTGAGAAAGAGTGACGGGACTGTTTGCGGACAACCTCGCCCGGAAGGGCAACGCAGCGCGTATTCCTAGAGCTCGCCGCGTAAGCATAGACTGCTCAATTGATTGTACGCCACTTCTTGGCGTCTCAAAGGGCATCTGGCCTGACACTGATGCCGTGGTGATGTCAGGGCCAATGATTTGGTGAATGACGTGGGGGAGGGGGGTGGGTGGTGATGCCGCTGTTATTCTGGCGAGTGCGTGCGTCACCTGCAGGAGCTCAAACGATGCCAGCAGCTCTCCGGCAGTGACCGGGCCTCGGTAGATCTGGTAGTAGTCGAGCATTGGAGGGAAGCGCGGGGGTTCGTACGGCTCCGTGCTGATTTTCACCACCGGCTTGGCCAGTGCTCGTCCAATGAACTCGGCTTTGCCCTAAAGGAAACGATATCACCGTCAAGTTCAAGGTTGTTTTGTGGGACCAGGTGAGAACTCAAGAAAGCACGATGAGTCTCGTTTGCGTGAGTGCCCTCGGATGACCAAAATGACGGACGCAAAACAAATACGATGAAGTAAGAACGACGAAGTGTCAGAAGCATCGGTCATTACAGCAACAAAAGCTAGATCTGAACGTCTATTTACATGCTTCAACTTGAACGCTCTATTGTATTCAAACACGAATGATTTCCTGGTGAAATTAGAGACCATTATTTTTTTATCAAAAGGACTACAATGTAACTTTGTTATTTGAGTTCATCATTACCATCATCATGCATTATTACAACACAAGGCAATTCTGGTTCGTAGAGAATATAATCGCAGGTCAGTTTCAGCAATGTCCTGCTACAATAGCGGAAAGCGCAGCAGAGCCTCCACTGTTTCGCTCATCACGAACCATCGCGTTCACCCACACCGAGCACTATTGTCGACGACGACGACGACAGCCCTCGACTCACCACGGTGTCTTGGTCGAACACCTCGATCACGACCATGGGGGGGTCGTCTCTCAGCTCGCGTGGCTCCCCGTACATGTAGACATCCTGGAACTGCAGCAGCTGGTCCCACGTTGGGCAGAGCGTCTCCTGGAAGACCTGGTTATGCCACAGGGTCGTGCAAGCCCGAGGGTTAGCCTCCCACGAGTCGCCGCGCTGTTTAGGCCGCAATATGGTTGAGTTTTTAATTTTTGTGCGTTTGGTTTATCTGTTTGCCTTTCCTTGCTTTGCACTCCTATCGTGTGTTTGTACTGTTTGTTGTTGTAAAGTTATTGCCCGCACCGAATGGACGTCTGTGAAAAAGAGCTTCATAGCTCATCGGATTCCTCCAGTATGAATAAATATTCTGATTCTGAAAAGCAACGCTGCTACTCACGCAGTGAAGCAACGTAGGACTCTCCATCGTACAGAAACCACGTTAGAGCGTTTGCAGAGAGATAGGCACGGGGTGACGCTGTGCAACGTTCCCCTTTGTTAATCCTGTGAATCGTGAAGTCTATCTTAGATGTGGAATATTTCCAGGAGTTTACCATGACAATATATTGAATACAGCAATATTACGTAATGGGAAATAGCAGGAAGAGCTCACTTGGTAGAATACCAAACAAGAGTTACGATCAACTGAGCCCATCGTTTTTCTTGCGCAAGTTGCATGAACACCACAAATCACTGGCAAGTGGTCGGTTAACACAGGCCGGTGCCCTGCCATGCGAATGTGAAATTCACACCAAACGGCTCAGGACTGGATCCGATGGATCCGAGCTGCGCCCGAGGCCCGACCAGAGCTCGACGACACAAACTCTGCAGCGTGGCGCGGGGACCCTCGCGGAGTCTTACGGTTGTCTCATCGCGCCGGTGCCGGTGGGTGGTCGGCGGGGGTAGATGCCGGCGACCTGCCGGGTACATTCACCGAGCGCGACGCGCGAACCCTCGTTCGAGCCGCGTCAGCGACGCGCTCTTCGGCAAACTTTCATTCGAGTGGGCAGGCAGAGAGAGGCCCGAGCAGCCTGGTGTACCTCGGTGGACTTGCAGTGGGTGGAGAAGATGACTCGGGCGAAGGGGTCGGAGAGCCCCGTGCTGTCGGCGGCGAAGAGGCTGCGAGCCTGGTACATGTGCGCGCGCAGCTCGAACTGCGACCTCTCTGCGTCGCGGGGGAGGGGACGGCACCGTGAGAAAACATTTCTGGTACGGCGATAAACGTACGTATGTGTGTTGAATTTCTTTCGCGCCGTACGTAGCTAGCCGTGCCAGTCGGAGCTGCAGGATAGGGTTGCTACTTTGTTTTGTCCCCGTGCAGTCTGGCAATTGCTGATCTTGTTAAGGAGCATAAACCATCACGCAAGCTCTGGTCATCCTTGGAGTGGCTTCTGGCTGGGCCATCGATCAAAGGTGGTCGCCGCATCGCGCGCTTTCAGATGCGCTTCTGCGGCCGTCTGGAACGCTCTTCTTTCCGATATTAGGCAGCCACTGCAGCTACGCAATTTTAACTCAGATTGAAAACTAATTTCTTGGGAACTGATTTCTGTGTTTAGCTTGTTGTCCATCCCCTGCACCTCTAATTAGCCACGGTTGGCTACGTACAATGCAAAATAAGTCAACATTCATACATACATATGTGCTCGGGTGCCAGGAATTGATTCGTACCGAGATTCGGTGGTATTGAGTTAAACTTTAATAAAGTGCGCTGCACAGTTCTGATAGACCTAGGCTGACTGAGAAACGCTTGTGGGTTTGGTCGATGGAAAATGTGGCAACTCCCTAGACAACGGGATTTTCAAATGGAGGGGGGGGGGGACACTCCAAGAGCCCTCGCTTAGCTATAATTGCAAGTCCATAGGCTTGCAGAGATCGTTTCTCAGTAGCAACTTAACCTATTCTCAGCAAGTGCACACACATGCATTCTAATGGATGAATGAATAAATAAGTAATGCATCCGACACAGCCAAATAGCAAGGGTCGTCACGTAAACAGAACGTGGCCAATTTGTCACTAGTACAGCAACACCGGTGTGCTGGAGAGCCAAGCCACAACATTTACAATCGGAGTACGACGTTTCACCAGTAATTACAACTAGCTTAATCAGGCGACAGCCAGATTTGTGCTGTATGAGTGAAGAATTGGCATGTTTCTGTTTACGTGACAACCCTTACTATTTGGCTGTGTCGGGTGGTGGCGGGTTTAACGACACATTTATATATTTACGCGATCTAACCCAAAAAAACATGTATTATGGATGATGTTGGTCGCGAAAGCCTACATGTTAAACCAAATAAATAATTAGTATGAAAACAAAAAAATACCTTAACAGGTGTTTAGAAGTAACCCTGTTTGAGAACAGCTGACAAGGTCAACACGGCACATGGCAAGGGAGCACCGCACATGTTCAACTGCCTTTGTCTTCCCAGTGCTCTTGCTCGCAACATCATATCACTTACTCATTTTAAACTGAATCGACTTGGAGATGGATCAGCCCAGGTTCAGATACCATATTCCACTGGCATTGCGTGTTGCCACACACACGTGGATATATATATAAGAGATAGAGATCTCCATTTATCATGATAGACCACAGGGGGAAGTGCTGTTTGTGAGCACTCTCGAAGATCAGCATGACATACTACCACTACATTCAGCCACCCCTTTTGTGCTGATGCTTATACACTGCATTAGTTACTCATTTTAGACTGAGTCAACCTAAGGGAGACTCACAAGGGAGCCCCAATATAGGTTTGATGCAGAGGTTGGAGTATCACATGCGAATGGCCACACTGCACTCATGACAACAACAACAACAGCCACCATTCACTAATGAGTGGTGGTGACGTCACCACGGCGTTTGCGCCAGGCCAGGTGCAATCCCGAGGCCAACGTGAAGTGTCGAAGGCTCGCTGACAGGAGGTCGCAGGACAGACCCACGCACACATGAAAATACCTCGCAAGATAAACAGCACGATATAACAGAATTCAATATAAGAGCATTCCCCAATTGACGTACTGTGGTAGTTGAGGACGCTCGGCGGAACACCGGTGACCCCAATTTTCTTCTCCTCAAAGCCGCTGGGCAGACCAGTGAGGAAGTCCTTGCGTTGCTTGTTGAGGCCCAGCCAGAGGTAGGCCTCCAGCTTGGCCTGCATGGTCCAACCGCCCGAGCCGAAGACACGTTTCCCCGGCAGCTACCAGCACATTGGGCACAGCAGGGCAACGTGAGTGCGCGTGAGCACGGCGAACCAGCCAGCCTCCTTCCTACAGACGCGAATGTCAAATGCTGCCTCGCTCACGCCGGCGCCGATGCCATTCCTCGACGACGTTAAAGGGCAAATTTGGCTAGATTGTGTGGCCTACCTCGCCACACTTTAGTTTGCTGTCCCCACGCCCGCACCGCCGATGCGCACGGTTGGCTTACGTACGGTGCGAAAGAAGTTCCACATGCACACACACGTACGCGTTTGCTTCGTTTGCAAATGCCTACAACCACCGCCGCTGCCTTGCGATGATCAGTGTCACTACCTGGCTTGGGTCACGCTGCAGATTCTCTTCTGGGGCCTGAGGGTTCTGAAGCGAGTGCAGCTGCAGTCGGTGGATCGGCCATGAGAAAGAAGTTCAGCATACACAGGCGATAAATATTTCAACTTGGCAAACAGAAAACTGCCAGTTGAAATTCTGGTTTGAGGTTAATTAAGCCCATCATATCCCTGGGACTGATCCAATGAACACCAAGGTTTGTGAAGTCACCAGTAGACATACGGTGAAGCTGGTCTCAGTCGCAGGAATGTGAAATGGCCACTCGTTGCTAAAAATGAGCTCTGCTTCCATGTCTGGCAGTGTGGGGAGGTCCGCATCCAGCAGTGGATTGACAAAGGATTGTAAATACTATATATTTGTTTTATTTTTTTATGGATACCAGAAAGCCTGTAATGTGTTTACCTGTGGTTACTGCCTAAAAAAAAAACCTCCTCTGAATTGTAATGCGTAGCTATTGTATTAACCCTCCTTGTGCACACATTGATTTGCAGTGTGTACCTATCCGAATAAAAACGGGGGTCCATTTCACCACCAAAGAAGAACACGTTTAGGGCCATCAGTCAAGGAGCCTTCTGGACACATTTTCCAGCAGCATTAGCTTCAGCATGAAAATCCTCTCTCAATCTAGACTTTGTGTCCCATAAGCCGGGTGCTGCCTATTAAATGTTGGGCCTCAACAAGCAACGCAAGGACTTCCTCACTGGTCTGCCCAGCGGCTTTGAGGAGAAGACTTAATGTCGTTTAAATGTTTTTGTTGTGTTGAAATGTGCCCTTGTCTGTTTCATTATTAAGAATTAGTCACAATCCACTGACAATAACACACGTATTGTTCTTGCCATGCACTACTGCCGAAAACCCATTGCAAACCCATGGAAGTCGAAGAAAAATAATAATAACTACGGATACATTAAACGAGCACGTCGAAAATATAAATAGCATGCGTGTGGAATGGAGGAGAAACTATTCTTGTAAATTATCAACGGATAATTCAACAGGCATTGTCGACCGACACGTGTGCAATTGTATCCTATGCCATCAGCAGTAGATGGAATTGGATTGAGTTGTGGCATTAACTCACCTACGGATTCCGCATGAAAAGAAATTGCCATTAAAATACACAAATTGTGCGCACAACATGAGCAGGCGTTGCAGAAAGCAAAGGGATGTCGGGAACGGTTAGCAAAGGAGAGAAGAATACTGAAGCGTTAAACAGTTTCAAAATCAACGGCTCGGTGAAACTTAAGACGGTAAAGTCACACTTTCCTTGCAGAAATTTCTAAAACTCTCTCTCTCTCTCTTTTTGCAGCCGTTTACACAACGCCAAAACACCCTTCACCCGTCCAGGTGGCTCAGCGGGAGAGCAGAGAGCCGCTCACAATCTGGGAAGGTTGCGATTTCGAATCCTTGTCTGACCGTCAGTAACAAGAGTGGCACTTTGTTGCCGACGTCAACCGGCAGTTGTTTTGTTTTTTTAGAGGCTCGCCCCTGGTCATATGGGGTGAGTTTCTCCAATGTTTTTCCACGTTGGTTGTCCAATGTGGAATCCCTACCACTGGCTCAGGGCTGTGAATGGGGGATGAGGACTGCCTCAACGCTCAGCTGAGCCGGATATCATATTTGACTTTTTTTTTAAACCACCCGAGTCGAACTAAAGGTTGTTGATATAACATTATGCAAATATTTAAACGCGATGTTTAATTAGTTGCAATAGTTACGTATGTTCCTACAAAGAATTGATGTGAATTTTATTTTTGAATTCGGCACATTACTTCACAGTGAACTCAATGGACATTCGAAGTGTTGATGTTCTATGTAATCTGACTGTTTTCTTGCTTTGAGGGCAAAGAAGATGTAACAAATGGGCTATAAAATATTCCAGAAACGTCTGTTTTAATTAATGAAAAATGTAATCAATGCCACCAATCATTGGCTGCAGAAGCCAACCTTGCTTAGCGCGATTTGAAAGCGACTGCTTGAAGAACGTAACTTGCCAATTTATTTGTATTTTGGAAATTAATCCACGCATCAGCCTGTCGGCAGCGAGATGTTAACTAACTCGCCTGGTATGCAGGAGGTCGTGGGTTCGATCCTGACCCTGACACCTGTAAATGTGGAGTTTGCATTTTCTTTCTGATTTTCCTCCGGGTCCTCCAGTTTTTCCCTCCACATTTAGAATCACGCGTTTAGAGTATTTGGCTGCGATAAATTCCGACATAATAAGCCCACTTCGTTGAGCTATCATTTGTGGCCATGTTGCTTCTGAAAGATAGCTATGCAGATCAGGGGGCCTTACCTGGTAAAATAAAAAATAGTTTATAGCATATATTTTGGTGTCATGTAAACAGCTCTATGCATTAAAATAAAGGCTACCGAGCAGAAACCAGATTTATTTTTACAATGCTGATTAATAAACATGACCAGATATTGCAGATTTATATAATTGTTAACATTTCAGTATCCTATTTCTACAGCTTCAAATGTGATATGAATGACATGATTGAAATGGAATTCTACTCTTGTACGAGTTATCTCTTTGAGAGGCTTGACCTAAAAAAAATACTAAATTGGTTTAAAAAAGTTGAAAATAAATTGTATTATATAGGGCTAGAAGGGTCAGATCATGCTTTATTGCAACATGCTTAATAAGGACTATCTAAAAAATGTATACATAATGTAAATGACTAAACTCAAGTATAATTGTGGTGATATGGAATGGGTCAGAGAAGGGGATCTGCAGTTGCAGCAGCCCTGTCTGTCAGCAGGTCACGTGATAAGCCAGAGAGAGGTATGTAGGGCAAAGGTGATAGAGGGGGGGGGGGTACGTCAGGTAAGCCCGGGAACTCGCGAGTAGGTTCTAGAAGGGGGGCGTGGCCGGGGCGGAGCGAGGCCACGCCGGGAGAATAAAAGGGGACCCCCAGCGAAGACTCGGGGCTGTTGCTGCTGGAGTGGGATCCCCTCATCGTGCTGCTAGAAGTCTTCGTCTACGTCTATGTCTTCACCTTCTCGTGGTCGTCAGTCAGGCTGTCTGCCAGCTGTCCTGACTGGGAGCTGTAGTTACCTTCGCAACCTGTGAAAGTTGTTAATAAATAGAGTGCCTCCTACTCCTAGTGTCTCTGAGTCAGTCACTACATAATTAACACGATAATCTACCTCTGGTTCAACTGCTATGAAAGCCAAAGCATGAAATTAGAAATAAAAAAGACAATGTAATTTGGCTTATTACTTGAACTGAAATATCTTTGCCTTTAGGCTGAACATGATCTGGGAAAAAAAAACAATCCAATTATAGTGGAGATGGACTTGATTATTTCTGAGAAGGAACATATTCTGTAAACTTTTCAGTCGTGACATAATCAATATCACACACTCAAGGCTAAAATGCAAATCGATAAATTGAACGCTGTAATACTGGTGAACTCGTGGCACTAGACTCCTAAAACAGTTTTGCAATTCCTATAATAAATGATAAGTACAGCCCTTCATCAATCCACTGCTGGATGTAGGCCTCCCCATACTCCACCCCATTACATAACTGTCACATTAATACAAATGCTGAAAATTCTAAATTTGCTTGGGCAAATTGTGCAAGATGACACTGGAAAAAGCGAGATTAGTCATGAAGCTAATTCGCCTTGATCCTAGGCACACTTTGGCTATCAATATTGAGTTACTAGGGGAATTGAGCGCTGCGCCAGAAATTAAAACTGAGCATTTGCACAAAATTCGATGATTGGTGCAATGACAACTTTAACCTCAGCGGGGCTACGCACAAAGCGATTACGAGAAGAATGTAGGAGGTTGGAATATGAAATTCAGCGGTTCATAATCAGCATAATAAAGACATACTGTATTGGGAACTGCAAGGCACCGAGAATCAAGAAGAATATTTTTTTCCAATGGCCTTTTTCAATTACTGCACATTAAAGGCATAATTTATGCCGTGTCAAACATAATGTCCCAGTAAAACATAATGTTCTTGTCGTACTCCAATTTTTTTTAGGTCCATTTTTAATATAGGCGAAGCACTATGTATATACTTGGAGATGTATGAAACGTACTGCGAGTACAGACGGCGGTCAGTAACGTGCAATTCATTAACGTGAACACAGTTTTGCACGGCAGGCAGAGCAACAATGATCATGCTCATTTCCTTGATGTGCATTGTTGTTTATGCCATCAACAGTGTCTGCCATCATTTCCAAAGGCACATGGTATTTTTCTGTTATTGTATTTTTCTGTTATTGAAGTATGACCTTGGGAAAAAAACGCGTAGACCCAGGTTGAAAATGCAAGTGAGTAATTTCAGGAATTTACAGTATGTTCTTTTTTTTATTTCAGACCTTTGTATGGGTTACATGAATGATTAATATCATTAATATGTGTACAGGGTTTAATAGCATGTTTAAAATATTATGCGTGGTTCCATAAAAGAAAGGTTAATTTATAAATATGCAGGAACAGACATCAAAGTAGCAGAGACGCTGAGAATGGCGGTCAAATTATTTATCTGTAATGGAAACATCTGTAAGGTCAGACTTCTCTCTTCAATAAGGTATTTTATTTTTTTAAATCAAACAAGGTAACGAATAAAAAAACCTCTTACACCCAGCAGTGGAAGCAGCCGATTTCTGAACCGCGTGCGGTATTTCTGCGCTGTGAGTTATTAAAATGCTCACGTTTTTGCCTTGCCGTAATGAGTCCTCAACGGGTAGACTTGGGGTCAAAGCATGCACTGGGCAAATTAATCAGGTGGGCAGATTTTAACATAACTGTATTGTCTGGATATAGAAGGTGCACTTTTATCCCCTGTATTTAATAGCAAAAATTCGGGGGGTGGGGGGATTAATTTTGTAATTCGGTAGGTGGTACGTGGATATGTGTGTGAGTGTGACCAGATTATGATAACCTTTCCGACACTGGGCACAAGTTTTTGGGTCTTACGTTCCAGAGCATCTTAAAATCCGGAGAATACGATAAAATATGTTTCTGTTTCTATAAAATGCAACAGTAAAAGTCATGTGCTTGTTGTGTTGCATGTGGACCCATAATTTATTGGAGATAAATTGAACATCTGAATGAAATGGCTAAACCATGTTGCTTTGGCAATTTGCTTCACTGTTGGCGATGCACACGTCTGTACATATTTTTTTGTTTGCAAAAACAAGACAAGGGACGTTCTTTAATGTGCGAAGAGAGGCATCTGGTGTGGCTGTCGATGTGTGCACGAGCTATTCAAATTGCAGCGTTTCCCTCCTGTTACTTCGTCGGAGATGTCGAATTCAATCAATACTAAAGTTCACAGGACAGGCCACTAATTGCAAAAACGAAATGAGCAACGAGGACTTTACAACTCCTGTCGCTCTAGTTTGACCATATCACTTGCAGTCATAACATTGAATAATTATTGACAATATTTTCTCGTACTAATCACCTTCCTGGGTAACCTACTCGAAGAAGAATGCAGCCGGCTTCAAGCACAATGACCACCACAAGCCAATGAAGCTGTGTGGCGTTTCCACTGCACGGTTGCGAAGGGTCACAGGTGCCCTGCACGTCTGTTAACCTCTGCTGGGGTGGAACGGTGGAGGGGTGGTTGGGTGCTGACATTTTCAACCGGGGGTACGCGGCCGTGCTGGAGCACGTGATCTGAAAGAGAGGGAATGCTTTAGCTCTTACCCTAAGGAAAAGCGTTTTGACTTTACCGCAGTCCTTCCCCGTCTCCTCCTCTACGATGGAATAGAGGATATCTTTGGCGGGGATGCGCGCGTACGCGACGCGCTTCGTCTTGTTGACCAGCATCCAGATGAAAATGTCCGGGATGCTGTCCTGGGGCTGCGGGGGAGGGGTACAAAACAGGTGCCACACGGACGCAGGCGGTTCATAGCTGGCGCAACGTGTGGTTCTTCGCCAACTTACATCGGCGCAGCGGAACCCGTGGGTTTCCAACCACCGCGGCCATCAACGCGGCCGTTGAGCGAAGCGTACTGGATGTGGTGTGCCGGGTGGAATGAGGCGCTGTGTGTATACGCGTCCGTGCGCGTCCAAGCTCATCGGCTGCACCGCCCAGTTGCGTGGGTTTTATTTTTTTGGTTTCGCGGCCCAAAGGAACGGCACCTCGTCGGCGAGGAACCGGAGCTTCTGCAGGAAGCCCTCGGCCGTCTTGAGCCGCTCCTTGAGGTTGGCCCGCTTCACCTGCTTCACCAGGCTCTTTGCCTGCGGGCCCATCTGTTCCTTTGGGAGTAAAACGAGAGAGAGAGAGAGAGAGCGAGAGAGCGAGCATATTCAAGTCACTCTCGCGTGTTCTGGCTCGAGGGACGACACACTCAATAAGCACGTGCTCTCTACAAGGCCATGCAGAAATGGCACTGTGATGCAGTTTTCTGCCAATAAAAACGAGAGTTTTTTTTTTACTTCACGGAGTGGAGCATTATTTTTGTCCAAAAGTCAGGTAAAGTAGTGACCTCTAGCCAATATGAAATGCTTTGAACCAGCACATTTATTTTGTATTAGTTCTCGGCTGAATTCGAAATTAAATGCATAGATTTTGATTTAAAGCTTTCGTGACTGCAGTAATTCATATTCTTAGCTCTTTCGGTAAAGTCACGTTGAAGGGAAACAATAAAATAATAAAATGTATATAAAACAATAAAAATTCTCACGACGTTTCGACCATAACACAAACCTGATGATGACCGTTTGTGTTATGGTCGAAACATCGTGATAATTTTTATTCTTTTATATATATTTTATTGTTTCCCTTGAACGTGACTTTACCAAATAGCTAAGTATATAAATGCATAGATGTTTTTGCAACCCACGTCAATTAACAAGTAATATATGATGTCTAATATGTATAATTAGCTTAATGTGTATAATTTTCGAAAGTGTTGAACACGTTTTTTTTTATATTTCTCAAAAAATGTACAGCACTTGACATACATTTTAGGCTGAGTCAACTTAGTGGCGGATCAAGCCAAGTTCAGATGCCAATTGTCACTCACACTTTGCATAGCTATGAACCCCCGGGAGTTGAATCACAGTGTGACAACCACTATGCCACTGACGCACAGACACAATCGCGGTCAATACGTGAACTTCATTACCAAGTGGGAAATATATTCTGAGCGTAATATATTCCGGCGAGGGTATAGTAATGTTTAATGCTTCTTACAAGCTCCCTCATGCATATCTTGAGACGGTCCCGGTCCAATCTCGTGCGCCCGAATGCAGATGGATCTTTGTTGGCAAGGGTAAGGAATCGGCTGAAAGAAATTGTATTTTTTATTACATCAGAAAAACCGACAGTGAAATTAAGACCAATGCAATCATCAATACACGAGTGACAGTCGCAAAAGATACGAGTGTAGTATACTGAACATATTCCCAGACTCGCACACAGATTCACGTACACTTTGGTGCTCAATTTCAGAATAAGTATTTATACTGGAGGAATCAGATTATTTATTTTTTCCAGATATCCAGTATTGCCAGTTCAATATCAATGCACATCAGTAATTTAACATTACATTATATGACGGGCTACAGAATAAGCATAAGATGTATAAACTAATCATTAGAAAAAACACTTTTTTAGGGACAAAAATCCTAATTTTTTTTTTACTCATATGCTCAGTCTGCATCTCAAACAGCAAAAGCCACATTCATCCAGAAATTCCCTGCAGTGACACCGACACTGTAAGTAGCCAAACATGCTAATCGGAGGCGCGGGGGCAGGAAATCGGAGGTGATTCTCCGCACGCGGTCTCGGCGGCTCTGCTCAGCGCCCTCCAGACTCACTCTCCCTCACCTGCAACCCACGCTCATTTCCTCCAAGGCTCCTCGCAGCCTCCGCTCTGGGTGTGGCCTCTCCATCTTCATCGTCTCCAAGACATCGCTGATGCCCTCCTCCTGCAGCATGTACATTCGTTGCGACACGTGACAGCATTATTTGCTGCTGCTGCAGCAGCAATTGATTCATTGTCCAGTTCATCAATCGGCAGGCCGTGTGTGGTGGTGGTGGTGGTGGTGGTGAAAGTGTGGCCAGTGTAGAAGAACAGAGGCCAAAATATCCTCCAGAGGAGCTCTCTAGGAGCTCCACTCTCTCTAGGAGCTCTCTAGGAGCTCCACTCCAGCAGATGGCCTTCCGCTTTCACCTTGCTGACAACGATGGTAAGTGGGAATGACAGCCAAAACATCCATTTGTGGCTTGTACATTTCATACGAGCATAACATTTAAATTCCCTATACTCTCTTAATCAATGTTTGCCCATTTTTCTCAATAAATGTCGAAGCTACCTTCCAAAATGCCTGCCCTTGATCCTATCTCAACTTGTAACACGCAAAAAACGTTGTTTTTGTTCACATGGGAAGAAGTCCTCATTGAATCGCACTTTCACGCGGGTTGTATTTCGTAAATATTTTAGGCAAATCTGTGGGTTGAGTATTTTTTTCTTTGCATGTGGATGAAGATTTTGAGTGCCTGTAGACGACTGACGCATGAGCAAAACATGCAACAAGCTCAAATTCTTGGTTCTTTCGGTAAAGTCGCGTAGATGGAAAAGAAAAATAATAAAATTAAAATATTTTTTATAATTTTATTAATTTCAATTTATTCCCGTTTTATTTTTTATTATTTTTTAATTTATCTTTTGTTTTCTATCTACGTGACTTTACCAAAAGAACTTTCCTGCAGTCACGAAAGTTTCAAGTCAAAATTTAAGGCAACAAGTTCAGAAAGAAGCTTGCTGTGCCGTCGCCTCCAAGTGAAATGTCGTACTGAATTTTCCGCTTGTCGCAGAGGTTCGCCGTTTGAGCCAAGCAACCACACCCTGGCTCACACCATGAGCACATTGACCACATATACCGCGCGCCATCTGCATCACGGTGGACGTTAACATATCCCGCGATGTTATTCGATAAAGAGTAGGCCGCTCGTGTGTGCGCGACTCCCATGGTCCAACTTTCCCGAATTTGTTAAATGACTCACCAAATTGCTTAACCGGATATAATCACAAAGCAAATATCGCCTCCAACCGGCATACTACACTCGTCTGTGATGCGTTGCGCCTTCGTGATAATCGTGCGCTGTAAGTATGGCGCCAATACCACACGTGCTAAATCGTTACGATCACGTTGGTGTCTCGCACAGCACCCGTCCCTGGACACACCAACAAACCCTGCGCGTCATTAAGTGTGGGGCACCGCATCGGGGGCAGCATGGCCAACGCGCACGTACCAGCTTGTCGGCGATCTTGTCGATGATGTTGGAGTTGTAGAGACGCCGTCGCTGGTCGTGCCACGCGCTCCGCACGTACACGCACGGCTTCTGCTCGTAGTAAGGCATGTGGAAGTACTGCCTGCCAGCAAACAGCCGTCAACGTGGGCACAGGTTAGCTCTGGAATACTGCAAGACTGGGCACCTGAGCCCAATGTGCATTCTGTCATCATCGCAATTTAATCAGACGCGGTCAATCCACTGCTGTACAAATGCCTCCCCTAGCCGCCTCCATCATGTTATGATCCTGCGATGTAATCATCTCCCCGGTTTATGTCACGATCTGTGCTTCTGTAGAGAGTTTAATTAAACTTGAGCAAAGGGCATTTGACATGGACTGTCGAGGGATTTATTTGTTTTGGGTAGCTTTCACACCAAGGATCCCGACCGTGACACACTTGATAATTAGTCAATGTGTAATTACTCACGACCATCAGGTAATCAGACACTGTTTATTGCACAGCCTGGGTGTGCTAAAGTGTCTGCTGATATTTACGCGGCCGCAGAGTCCAGTGATCGGTGCGCTCGCTCCGAGTCCGTTTCAATAGAGTCAAACCACCTGCCAACACCAATCCGCTCAATTCTCACAGCCCCACCCCCCCCAAAAAAAATGTTATCGACAGAATTACAAACATGGTTCAACTTGCTGCAAGCCGATGTCAAATATTCCTGGGACATAATTTACAAAAAAAAAACTATTTCCTATTAGTGCGGAAGTTCAAGCACAAACATTTGGTGGAAGCGGATTTTTTTTTTCTTCCCCACTGCGGAACCAAAACGTTTCTCTGGCGAAAACACGGAATGCCCGTTTGACGTCAGCGTCACGCATTCAAGTGCACTGCCTGACACGACGTGTGACATAAAACGATTGACCCTGCCTCTAGCCCCGTTTCCCGGTTTGGTTTCTCGCTTGGCTCTGTAAAATGCCGGTGGAAAACCACCTGTCACTCAGAATCGGAATGTTTATTCAGAGTGGAGGAATCCGATGAGCTGTGAAGCAGCTCTTTGTCGCAAATGTCCAGTAGGGGCGGGTAAGAACGTTACAGCAACAAACAGTACAAACACATAATAGGAGTGCAAAGTACAGAAAAGGCAAATAAATCACCCAAAAACAGACAAATAAAACTAAACCATCCACACCCTACCAGGCAAAGCCACCTGGGGTGTTACTGTGAAGGGCTGAATGCTGCAGTGATTCGGATGTGCCAGTGGACAACGGACACGAGACTCAAGTGGATCTTGTTGTTGTGTGTATGCTAATATATACCTGTCATTAGTCTCCGGCTTATAGGAAGGGGTAGTGGAGGACCCAGACGTGTCGTCATCCATTTCTGCATCATCCGTCTCATCATTCAGCAGCTCAGTCTCGTCATCCTCATCCCCCTCGTCGTATTCGTCCTCGTCATCGCTGCGGTCAAGAATATTTGACTTGTTCAGCCCATCCAAGCTGTTTCCGTAATTCCCTGTGAACAAACAATACATCAATAATAATGCCTTCCAAGTTGCACTTGATTATATACCAATATAGTGGGATGCTGCAACAGATATTCACGTGTTCTCTGATCCGTACGTTCCTCTGACTCTCAGTTTAATTGCCATCATTAATCTCTCCGGCTTCTTTGCTTAGAGGAGTCCATGTCTGTGATCCACAGGTCATGACAGGTAATTTGCAATGATTTATTTTTTAAAATACAAATTGCTTTGTTGCTTTTTCATTATCAAGTTTTACATTTTCCACACGCACTTCATCCTGCTCTCACTCACCTCTTTATCTCAATATTTGTTTTAATATCCCGGTCCGCCTTCCGCAATCGCCCTGGATATATGAATTTTGCGAGCATTTTCCAGCTGTGTTACTCAAACAATTGTTTTCCACTTGTTCAGCTAACATGTCGATGGTAGCTTTTGTTTTGGTCGTGTTTGTGTGTAGGCCCACGTTGCAGCCTTTGTTGCTAAGTTGCTCTACCGTTCCCATGTAGTTAATGCCCACTGGGTGTTATTATGGCTATGTCATAAGTAGAATTTGACACGATTAACAAGTCCTTACAATCGTAACTTCATTTGTCCAGCCCAATTGTCAAAAAAAATCTTCTGATGTGACTGTGCCTTGTATCTCCTTGTCAGGCTCCTCTTATGATTTAGATTTTGTAACGTTGTTATGATAATTTATAGTATATAATACACGCACGACCTGTTTGTATTTTTACAATGTGTATCTCATTATTATTATTATGTATATTATGAAGACCTTGATTCAATGATGCAGCATAGATAAATTAGCTCTTCTGGAGATCATACTGAGCTGAAATGTTGCAAGACATAAATTGACAGAGGAAAGATTATAACATAAACTGTTTTTATATCCACCCATGTGTACTGTAGGTGACACCCTCCACAAATTAAGAACAATCTAAAATTAACTTTACATATTTTAAAATATCCATACTGGAGTATTACGTATATCGGTTGAGTAGCGTGCTATAAATATAACATAGCAACATGCGGGCCTACGAATATCAAGCTTTGATTAATAATTTTGATGTGGCTTGGAATGAAAGAGGTGAAAAGGGTCATAGCTACAACTCTTTATATCAATATAAACATCACCAGCATCATCCTGATAGTTTAATAAGGTGAGAAAGGCATTTGATTATTTTCTGCACAAGTACACCGGCAGTCAGTCATCTCCTTATCACTCCTGCTATGGTCACTGTTGACTTGAACATCACTCATTGATTCCTTAACCTAGAGTAATGACTCGGTCTACCGGACTGACTGCTTCGTCTCAGCCATACTGGGATCATCCACCACCACACTGCAGGTCACAGCACTCACCCAATTAATTCACTCACTAACCCACTCACTAACCCACTCACTCACTCACCCACCCACTCACTCACCCAATTAATTCACTCACTAACCCACTCAATCACCCACCCACTCACTCACCCACTCTCACCCAATTAACTCATTCATTAACCCACTCACTCACCCACTGTCACCCAATTAACTCATTCACTAACCCACTCACTCACCCACTCACTCACCAACTCACTCACTTACCAACTCACTCAACACTCAACCACTTACCTAGCCACTCACTCACTAAACCAGTAACCCACTCACCCACTCACTCACCCATTAACTGACTCACTCACTAACCCAGTAACCCACTCACCCTCTCACTCACCCAATAACCCGCTCACTCACCCTCTTACACCCACTAACTCACTCACCCACTCACCTACCCACTCACTCACTAACCCAGTAACCCACTCACCCGCTCACTCACCCATTAGCTCACTCACTCACTAACCCAGTAACCCACTCACCCTCTCACTCACCCAATGACTCACTCACTAACCGGCTCACTCACCCTCTCACACCCAATACATCACTCACTAACCCACTCACTCAACACTCACCCACTTACCTAGCCACTCACTCACTAACCCAGTAACCCACTCACCCTCTCACTCACTCAATAACTCACTCACTAACCTGCTCACTCACCCTCTCACACCCAATAACTCACTCACTAACCCACTCACTCACTAACCCAGTAACCCACTCACCCTCTCACTCACCCAATAACTCACTCACTAACCCGCTCACTCACCCTCTCACACCCACTAACTCACTCACCCACTCACCTACCCACTCACTCACTAACCCAGTAACCCACTCACCCACTCACTCATCCATTAGCTCACTCACTCACTAACCCAGTAACCCACTCACCCTCTCACTCACCCAATAACTCACTCACCCGCTCACTCACCCTCTCACACCCAATAACTCACTAATTAACCCACTCACTCACCCAATAACCCACTCACTAACCCACTCACTCACCCACTAACCCACTCACTCACCCACTAACTCACTCACCCACTCACCTACCCACTCACTCACTAACCCAGCAACCCACTCACCCACTCACTCACCCACTAACCCACTCACTAACCTGCTCACTCACCCTCTCACACCCACTAACTCACTCACCCACTCACCTACCCACCCACTCATTCACCCACTAACCCACTTACTCACACACTCACTCACCCACTTGCTCACCCACTAACCCACTCACTAACCCACTCACTCACCCACTTGCTCACCACACAGCAGGTCACAATGCTTCTCTGTTTGCTTCTTCCCTCACACTGCTCGACTGTAGAATTCCCTCCCATCATTGTATTTTTTCTCCAAGCTCTAGTTAGCATAAACTTGCTCAATTAAAGAAACGTGTTCCACTCGTATCTGTTTCAACATTGATGATTCAGTTTATTCCTGCGGTGCTGTTTCACATGCTGGGTCTTTGGGCCTGTTTTTAGCAACAGTGTTTAAAAATAAAAAGGATAGGTAACAAAAATGTTCATCCCTTGGACAGCTCTACGCTTGAGGGGGTCCTCCCCATTCTGTGTTGGTCATGGGAGGTGTTTAGCCATACTTCACCCACTGGTCCATGCAGGTTGGTGGAAGCGGTATACGTATATTACACGGTGATTATTCAATATCATCAAGTCCACGTGCAACAATTTACCTCCCATTTTTTAGCAATTAAGTGTCATGCTTTGGTGTTGCAATTCAATAATTAAAGTATCTATTTTTTTTTTTTACCATGTGTTGCTCGCGCAAAACTACGTTGGCTGCTGGGTTTTGCATGAAACAATGGCACGGCAACAACTGCACTGGGCAAAAGAGATGCATGTAAGAATAATTCGACGGATGTCGAGTGAGCATGAGAACACATTTTAATCCGCGCATTGCTGCACGTTCACTACGTGGCATAGAGCATCTGAAGTAGGACAAACTTAAACTCAGTTACTTCATAACTAAACTGCAAAAAAATTGCATTTCGCTTAACAATGACAGTCACTAAGCTACATCGATAGCACAGCTCCAGTGTGGGAGTGGAAACTCACCAATGCTGATTTCAAAGCTGATCAGCTTGTCACTGATCTTCCTGTCAATCATCGTGGCCTCCAGGAAAGCTCCGAACAAAAAAAACTCTTCCATCTTTCCAGCTACAGACTGTCCGCGCAAGGGAAGAGGCGCACACGATGCATGTATGACAAGAAACACATATATATACTTCTTATATACACACACACAGGGTGCCCGACAATAAAAATACCAAAAAATGTTCAAGAGTGTTATTGCTATTCGAGATACTGACGTGAATTTGATATGAATGCACGAATTGGACTTGTAAGGTTAGGTTTGTTGTGAATATCCATTGGTACTTTCTTGCTGTTTCAGACCGCTCGTTCACCCAACTTAACACCATTATATTTGTATCGCTGGGGTTTTAAAAAGAGCACAGTCTTACACTTGAAAACCAAGGGTACCTTGAAGAACTCCTGCTATGGTCACTGTTGTATTGTTATGATAATTGGTTTTTTACCCTTTTATCTGGCAACAAAACTGACACCTTTTTTTACAAGGAGTCATGTTTACATTGACCACAATACCTGCGGTCGGAACCCAAACAAAAAACACAACTCTGATAATGTATGTGGCACTGTCCTTGAAATTGATTGGTCCACACCCGAGGCAGCTTTCTTTAGAGCCTCGTCCAATCAATTTCAAGGACAGTGCATACATTATCAGAGTTGTTTTTTGTTTGCGTTCCGACCGCAGGTATTGTGGTCAATGTAAACATGACTCCTTGTAAAAAAGGTGTCAGTTTTGTTGCCAGATAAAAGGGTAAAAAACCAATGATCATATTTTGGTACTGGCAAATGAGGTTTTCCAATAATGATCGTATTGTTATTCTTGGTTCTTTCGGTAAAGTCACATAGAAGGGAAATAATACAATAATACAAATAAAACAATAAAATTATCACGACGTTTCGGCCACAACGCAAGCAATCATCATCATGACTGCTTGTGTTGCAATCGAAAAATACAACAATAAAATTATCACGACGTGACTTTACCGAAAGAACCAAGAATATGAATCGCTTCAGTCACAAAAGTTTTAAATCGAAATCTACATCGTATTGTTGTTGATGATACTGCTGTATCATCATCTATCCCTACAGCTGTGTTGGAAAATGTTTTCTCAAAGAGTTTGTGCGCCGAATTAGATTGATGATAGTGAACGATGGACGACATGCAGAAGTTAATTCACGAATCGAAAATATCTAATCAATACAAAAACGTTTTTTAGCAAACTAAATCTTATACATCTATTACATGTATTCATGTTAAATGTAGGTCGGTATCGCAAGTAACAATACGACTATTCGACGTTCTTTTTGGTATATTAAATTTCGTCATCAACTGAGATGAGTGCCATCCAATTGCTCATTAGCTCATACTTTGTATTTTATTCAACGCGAATGCAACCAATGCCATCATCACATGTAACTAAAACACCAATCTGTGTCACCACATATAAAAAAAACGTCGTGTGTAAGTCCATAAGCCCACGTGTCTTTCCAACACCACTGTTATCAAGCAGCCTTTTGTTCAAGCGATGTTACCACGGAATGGCTTTAACCCGCTGGGTCTCGTTCGGCAGAGACAGGCTTGTGAAACAAATGCTGCTTTAGATTCCCAGATGTCATTGTCAAGAGCACTCCACGGTGCATCGACATGCATTTGACAATGGTGGCAGAACAACTGAAATTGAGCTTTAGATCCAGCAGTGGATGACTGTTCCCTTGGATGTGACAAATGCTAAAGCAAACAGCCCTGGTCACGGTTAGGTGCTGCAGAATCAGGATTTGTATGTATACTGGAGGAATCCGAGGAGCTATGAAGCTCTTTTTCACATATGTCCCAGTATGAGCGGAACAGAGAGTTACAATAATAATACAAAAACTGATAGGAGTGTAAAGTATAGGAAAGGTAAGCAAGTCACTAAAAATAAACAAAATTAAAAATAAAAATGAAATAAAGTATATCAATACAAATAGATTTTTCTACAATAAATGCAGCCTTGGACAAGGCAACAAAACAACAACAGTCCCAGACCACAGAAAGACAACGCCACAATCTGTCAATAAAAGTGAACTTTAAAATTCAACTCTCGATACGCGGGTAAGCATCAAAGTTACAAATCACATTGGCAAATGCGGTTGTGTCCAGCAGCAGTTAACCTTCTGCTCTGGGATATTTTTTTGAAGCAGGATTCACGACGGGGAGGTATGAAATCTATGTCTTTGTGTTCTCTGCTGGTGTGTCTACCTTTGTGTCTTGAATTAGATTTATGTCGCTGTGTTGTCTCTACCTATGGTTGTGTACCTGGGTGCCTCTCTGTGTGTGTGCCTGACAACTTATATCATGCAAATTTGTGTCCCATTGTCTATGAGTCCTAGCCCTCCTCCATCTCTGGCCTTCTTAAAGCCTCGGGACAGAGTTACTTTACTTAACTGTGCGCGTGTCTCCCCCCATAGGTCTCTCTACGGTAAGTATTCTATCACTATCTTAAATTTCACACTTAACTTACAATTTAACAATCTTTGAAACAGCGTATTCAACCAAACCATGCGTTAATTGTGTTTTAGCCGACCGTCTGTGTTGCTTTATATAGTTTCCAAATTTTGCTAAACCCTGTTTGATTTAGTGTGATGCTTCGTCTCTCTGTATCCCCTGGTATATCTGTGTTAATTCCCCCTACTTAAGGTCTGTATATATATATCTGCGGTTATGTGTTTCCTCTACCTGATGATGATTGCTTGTGTCGCAATCGAAACGTCGTATATTATGCAATTTAATTTTTTCTTATTTCTACGTGACTTTACCGAAAAAAACAAAGATTAATTCCTGCAGTAACGAAAGCATCAAATCTAGTTTGAGCTTCACGATGTCCACGAGTGAACGACCGAGCCTGCCAGAGGGACGAAGGGCGTCGAAGCGGCTCCCTTTGCTTACGTCGGCGACGTGAGGGATGGACTCCACCGAGATCTCGGTGTTGGTGCTCAACTCCGGAGACGTGATGTCCAGGATTTCCATGGAGATGCCCAAGAGGAGGCGGGCGCGGAACGACACGCCCTCCCCGAGGCCGTCATTCAGCTCCTGGTGCTCGTCCATGAGCGTGTAGTTCCGCGTCGAGCCGTACATGTTGACCCATGCCGGGCCGAACGTCGGCAGAAATCCTGCAGGGGGGGTGGGGGGGGGGGGGTGGGTGTGGGATGACGATGGCATCAGGGGTGCCCACGTTGGCGAGATGTTATCTCCCTCGCCTGGTATACAGAAGGTCGTGGGTTCGATCCCGACCCTGACGCCTGTATATTTGGAGTTTGTATGTGCGTTTGGAGCATTTGGCTGTAATAAATGTCCACGTGATAAGCCACTTCGCTGAGCTATCGTTTGCGATCAAGTCGCTCTTGAAAAAGAGCTGTATCGCTCGGAGGGCCTTACCTGGTAAAATTAAAGAAAGTCTAGTTTAGCTTAAGGTCTCACCGCAGCCACAGCTGTTGATGCCACCTCAACCTTGCCAACACTTTATACCCGCCACCAGGTTCCTGCAGCTGCTGCACAGCAGACACATGACCTCCAGGATCTGCCCAAAGTTTGGCCCGAGGATTTCCCCTTTGGGCCCTGGGCTCGTGGAGACCACTCAAATGCCTGTCTCGACAAATCGGCCCTCACCCGTCCTGCACATACGTGTCCCACCCAGTAAACGTTCTTTGCCGAACCATATCTGCAACACCTTAACACCTTTCGCATGCTCATTTGTGGATTGTTGAACCGCTTTATCCTGTTTCGCCACAACATGCCCTGCATGCGTCTAATGCACTCGTCCTCAAATGCCAGCAACTTATTTTTGAACTGCATATTTCGAGTCCAGATCTCTGCTCCATACAGTGATAGCACTCCCGCAAGACTGACATGATCAGTGGAATGTACCACAATCGAGTTTGTAACATCTACCCAGCTGTAACTCAGGACAATGTGAACCAGGAATGAACATTGAAGTGACAGAATACCGGGTCCATTAGATTACCAAGGAAGGGAGAATAAACCTCTGGTATTGGTGCAACACAAAGCATGCTATTGCGCAAAATCTGAATATGTTCAGATAAAATAACGCAGTAGGAGGGGAGGGAATACAAGTTTCCAAGATAACGAAAAGAGAATGAGGGTGGAAAGAACATCCAATTAATAATCAGCAGAGAAGAGGAGAAAAACGTCTGGCCCTGAACTGGGAGAGCAGGTGAGTAGTGCTTACATTGGGGGGGGTCAAATCACAAATAATGACCTTTCATTGAGTAGGGGTTGATTTGAGACATCCAGATTAAGCCTTGTGTACTGAAGCACGCAGATGGTGGGAGGTTAAATGATCTGAGATTAGGAAGATAGATAGAGGCAAACCAATGGGATTGTGCACAAACACTGTTATTATCTCCAAAGCACTGTACCAGAAACTGAACAGCTTACTGACAGTACATCCATGTATCCTGAATAGGCATCGAGGTTGGAATATACCGCACGACTTGTACGAATGTCTCATCCCATGAACTGCTCTTCCCTGCTCTGCGCAGAGACATTCAGTTAATGTTTAGCTCGCGGAGATATGTGTTTCTTTCACTTTGTCAGTGATTCCGGTTTCCTCACTCCAAGAGATGTGTGCACCCAAGTCAAGTGAGAATAGAAATTGATCATGGGATTTTTGTGTAATCGTTGGTAGCTGGGCTGGAGCTTTCCAACTCAATATATATTCAACAACCTTCACTCCAAGGGATTACCAAAGGCTTCAAAGCAACCATCTCGCATCTCAGTTTAGTTATCTAACATGGACATTAGGTGCTGATATGGTATTCATTTCCAATTGTTTTAAAGGCAAAGCGCTTTATTGTGTGATGGATAGGCAATCGAACACACCCGTCTTATCCACTGAATATAATTGTTACATTTTAAGTGAGATGTATATTAAAAAAAAAAACATGTAACATCATACACAAACAACATGTAACATCATACACAAAAAAAGATATTGTGCTAATAGGGAGCTGCCTAACAACTCATTGTCAACACGTACTTCGAAGCCCAATAGTTACGTATTTATTACGTATTCATTTCCCGCACTTACGCTTAGCACGGTTGGCTACGTACAGTGCGAAAGAAGTTTAACATACGTACATAACAAGTCGATTGTGTTGAAATGATCTACTATTGTATTAAAAAGTACAGCAATAAGATTGTATGTGTTTTTGTATCCTGCTTTGTCTCTAATACTGCAGCATGACCAGAGTCCCCCTTGGCTGGTCGAGGGTTAGGGGAGGTGGCCAGGTCAGCCACAGTCGAGAGCTAAGTGAAGAGAAGGGGTAGTTGTGGTGTTGATTCATTCGGGGGGGGGGGGGGTCCATAAGCAGACATTTATTTGGAGTTTGCCCCTCTCTGGATTTATAATCTCCTAGAGCAGTAATGGCCAACCGGTATCTCCCAAGCCACATGCAGCTCTTTAATCCACCACACGCGACTCTATCGCAGGGGTATAACGTGGAACATTCTTCCGCAGTAGCAAAGGATAATGAATGTCTCCCCATGCTGTGCCAAAAAAACTTTCAATATATTCACACACTTATATACATATACACTTGGCTCTTTGCAGAACGGATGGGTACTTTTTGGGCTCTTGGTCTGTTACAGGTTGGCGACCCCCTGTCCTGGAGTTATGGCAGAGGAGTTTTACGCTTATTTGTTTAGCCAGGTGAGAACTCAAGAGGCCTAGGATCATCTCAGTGTCAAGGGAGACCTGGGATAGAATGACAAGATAAAATCTGATTAAATAAAGTACAGCGGAGCAAAAACAACTGTCATATGAAGTATGAACAAGAGATACAGATGCACTGTGATCAGAGAAGCGTTGCAGTGGGACGAGCGGAGACTGATGTAGACGTTTCTATCGCCACGCAAGCAATCGTCTTCAGGTGGGAGAGAGAAACAGGCTGCCTTCCGATGATTGCTCAATGTGTACCCATAATTATCAAGTTCAAATCGGAGCAGTCTTATTCTCTCTGAGGTTAAATCTAGGCGAGCGTTAATACGCTACTCGCATTGAGGACATCTATAAGAACGTGTGGGAAAGAGATAATGGGAGCTAATTCTCACGTCGAGCAGTGCGTGGAGAGACGCAGAGAGAGAGAGAAGAGCTGTGACCTTTAGTGTGGTGGTTGAACACGCTGTGTGGATCAGACAAAATGGTCAGCGTGGTGGACCCGAGTCCTCATCATGGGCGGACTAATTGATGAAGGAAGATGGTGGTAACAGTCCTCACGGTAACAGCTACAGAAGGGTCGTACGGAGGCGACCGACCAGCGGACAGCAAGTGACTGGAGTGAATCACAATTCCAACGAGCGAGGCGGGGGGGGGAGGGCACCTTTATCCCCGTCGTTGCAAATCTTCTTGAGGTCGATGAAGTGAGTGCCGATGGCCGTGTCGTTGACTTTGTCACTGTCGCGGATTTGTAGCTTCATGCGGCGGCAGAGAGGGGGGAAGAGCTCGGTGAACACCACCTGCTCGTTCCACACCGGCTCGTAGCTGCTCCGCTGCACGGACGTCTTGCCCTAGGACCAGTGCACAGCACGTAGCACAAGGGTCAAACTTTTGTTTCCCCACCCCCCCCCAGGTAAGGCGCACTGAGGTACTAAGCTCTTTTTGCAGAACGGATCTAGCCACAAATGACAGCTCAACGAAGCGGCTTGTCACGTGGAAATGTACAGTGTCCAAATACTCCAAACGCACGTCGATTCTAAATGTGGAGGGAAGAATCGGAGGACCGGACAAAAAAAAATCCACACGACCACGGGGAGAACGCGCAAACTCCGAATATACAGGCGTCAGGGTCCAGATCGAAGCCACGACCTCCTGTATACCAGGCGAGGGAGATAACATCTCGCCAACGTGGGAGCCCCTGATGCCATCGTCATCTCCCACTCCCCCTCCAGGATTTCTGCCGGCGTGGTATTACCAGGCGAGCTCGGTAGCATCTCGTCACCGTGGTGCCCATGCCAATAAAGAAATGCATGCAGGGAAGGCACCTGTCTTAAATTGGTCCTTTGACCCTATTTGCTTTCAGGACTTAGTGTAAAAAGCTATAAGGGATGGCTGCCTTCGTGTGATGGATGGGTTCCTCGATTGAGAAGAAGGCCCGTGACAGAATAAGACCTTCTCCATCCTGTCCAAAACAAATTGTGGGTTAGCTGCCTCCATTCCCCAGATATATTCCTGTATGCACGTATTCAACAACCACAAGACACACTCGATTGCGCTCAACCATATTGTTCCTGAAGGTTAGCTGACCGAAAACTGAGATTGGGTTTGATGTTGGCCATAGCATCATCCTCAAAAGTCACACTTCAACAGCCAAGGAAGAGATTATCAAACAGCAATTGCAGACCTAAAGTAGGCATCATTACCTTTATGTGTGGATATGAATGTATTCACGTCAAATATGTATATATGTTGAACTTCTTTCGTAACCGGAGGTGTGCACATATTCACACGCTCAGCATAAAATGGGCGTTGCACGCAAATGTGCGGCATTAAGGGTTGCGACGATCGTTCCCCTTTACACCCCCCGCTCGCCGGCACCTTCTGTCCGGCGAAGGAGACTTGCACGTAGGGGTCGACGAGATCCCTCTCCTGGCCCATGAGGGCCTTCTTCACGTTGGCCACGATGGCGGTGTTCATCTTGGGCAGGCCCTCGGCCTTGTAGATCCTCACGAAGAAACGGGCCCACTGCCGATCTGCCGGGATGCCTTCCGGAAGCAGCAGATTCCTTCCCAGAATAAAATGAAAGTATGGACGACACAAAAGTGTTTTACGGGAGCAAACACATCTAAATTGTTTGTTTTTACCTGATTTGATCTGCTCGTAGAATATATGGTTCTACTTGTATTTGATGGAAGCTTTAATACTGCTGCTATTTTCTGCTGAATTGGCTATTTTCATGACAGATAAAGGCAGAAAATTCCTTTGCAAGCACATGATTCAGGCCAATATTTCATGATAAGTATTTACTATTTTTTTTCATTCACCTTTATTTAACCAGGTAATAAATCCTTGAGGTTAAAAACTTCTTTTGCGATGGGGACCTAGCAAGAAGTCAGCAAAAATAAATCACCACGCACATACACACAATTTTACTGATATTGGCATCGTAATACGAAGTATCCATTCTGAACGTTCGCAAAGCAATGCATCACTATGTGATGGAATGGCCCATCGAAGCAGATATTACAGAACTACTCCTGAGATTCCTTAAGGTAAATCTTCATTGCATAGCATTCACACCAATATATATTTTTAATTCTCAGTGCTGCCAATATATAAACTAAATTTAATGTGATTTTGTTGTTGTTATCTATTCATTGGCGGCCAGCCTGCCATCCATAAACTCACTCTACTTGAGAATTTTATACTGGAAACCTGAATCTCATCAGTGCCAGCTCAGTGCTCTGACTCCTGAACCATGTAACCATAAATTCAAGCATTTTTATCTTATTTTAAAAAGTGTATAAACGGCAAGAAATTCCTTTATTTAAAAAAAAGATTCTGTAGCATATAATTGTTTTACATCCAGTTATTTGGAGCATATTTTACATAAGTTAACGCACATGCACATTGAAACACTTTTTAAAGACACTACGGGATAAAGGTTGCACAATTATTATACTTTAGGCTCCCCTCTTCGTATTGACAAGAGTTATGAACATTGCAAACCAACTTTGAGCATGTTTCTCAATTTTGATGTCAATCACACAAAATGCCATGGGCTACCTCTACAAGTGGCTCAGCGGTAGAGTGAGCTTCACACAAAAAAACGTTGTGAGTTCAAATCCTGGTAGGAGGGGTTGACTCAGTCCACCCTCCCTCTGGGATTGATAAAATGAGTACCTCTTTGTGGGGTTGTCCTGTGGCTCGACTCATCCTTGCCATACGAACGTGGAATTTCCACCACTGGGCCGAATTGAATCCCCCTACTGAGACTTGAACTCGCAACCTTCTCATGCTTTGCTTAACGCCCCGAACCCGCAGCGCCACACGGCTGATACAGGCCAGTCGTTTTCACACCAATCACTCCCACTTGAATTGTTTGCAAGAGGCGCTGCCGTTATCACGTTTAGGTGCTGGTCAGGCTGTAAACGGGAGATGCGCACCACTTCAATTTGCAATTTGAGCCGGAAATCATCGACCTTTTTTTTGTTTACCCCCCCCCCCCCCCCCCTTTAACTTTAAACCTCCTGTGTGAAACGGAGCACGTGAAAGGTACAAACCCTTCAATGGAGTCGGCGTCGTTGTCGACGGACTTGTGCGGCGTCTTGATGTTGTCGCCCTTCCCCACCACGGCGATGTCGCAGTTCACGTAGCCCTTGATGCCGGCCGTGATGTCGTCTGGGTCGGTGAGCACGGCCCACTTGTGGTAGAAGCGGTGGTCTGCCGGCATCGACAAGGAACGCGGCGGGGACATCGCGGTTAAATTCACCGTCGCTACGAGACGGTGGCTTTGCGCCGTCTGCCTGGCTGGCTGAGGGAAACGGCCGGTATGGGCGCGCGTTAAAATCCCGGTTGGTTTCTCCCCCTGCTTTAAACCCAGGAGCACCGGGCTTGGGATTTTGTACGCGGAGGATCTGTGCCCTCTCCCTGCATGGTTACAGTTTGTGCTCTTGTTGAGTTACAATAGACCAAACAAAATCTCGGTTGGAGGTCAACTCGGGTCTACCATCCTTGTGCAGTCGATAAAATAAGTACCATCTTGTGGCAAGCTAACAGCGGTCATCCAACGGAGATGCCTATTGTAAGAAATATTCACCGCTGGCTCTGCATGGCCCATGCAGATGAGGGCACTGCCCGATTGCTTTTTTTGTTGAGCAAGAGACAGTTTTTAAGGTCGAATTTTTTTAACCATTAAGGTGTGGCACACAATCGTAAAAAAAAAAACACGTCAAAATATCATACACTTCATTTGCGTTTCCAATAAGCGATTACTTTGTGTACATGTAGAATAATGCTCATGGAGTTTTGATGCAGGCATTTTGCAATGCACCGACTCAAAATTCCACATTACTTGCGCTGGTGCCATTGTGAAGGGTTGATGACTGTGGGGGAAATGTGCACTTTATGGCAGATGCAGACAGTATGATAGAAACATATCAGTTTAATACAACAGGGATAACATACAATTGGGATTGAGCATTGCCCACTTTCAGACCACCGCCAGGCACTGTACACATCAGTGATGTATAATATTGTATCTCCCAGACTAATGGATTGTGGTGTAGCTTGGAACATCTGAAAATAAAAAGTCAGTCGAATTTGTGAAATTGTGCGTGGATTTCTCCACAGCAATACTATTTGATATACAAACCATCATTTATTTGCAGTAGCAGCGTGATTATCTCAATTGTACACCTGGAGCCAATGTCAACGCTTTAAATCAATACTGGTCAGTTACATTCAGCCACAGAGTCTCTATCAAGATCAATATGGGTCCCCATGGCTGCAGGACCAAGAGAGTTCGTTTCTCTTCATATTTTCAACAAAACAAATCGAGGAAAGCCCAGAACCAGGGTACACGGCATCCAGACGCCCAGCATAAATATATGCGACAGTAGTTTGTTCTGTTTCACCAAGAGCTATCTGGGTCACCAAAATGGAAGTGTGTGCCCTTAGTTGTGATCTAGGAAACAATATAAATACTTCTGTATTTTAATCACCTTAAGTGTACGAAATAGAATGGAAACAGCTGACCTATAATACCCCATCCCCCCCCCCCCCCGCCATGCAGGATATCGCACAATTTTCACTGCTGTTCGATTCACAATAGCAGAGTAGATATTAGGAGTATAACCAGTGACCTTTGCCCTGACAGCCAAATGCAATCTGTGAGCCTCCCTGGCCCCAGTCCTAACCCCTTTCAGCCTCAGAAATCACATTGGGATATCAAAAGAGCAAGAGGGCTGACTTTCTAAATAATGTCGCTCTGCTGATATAAATCAACGAACACAAATAATACTCCTCTTTTTATTGGTGGCACACGTGTGAAGGCATTGGAGAGCCACACACCCGTGCCTGGCAGCTGATAAAATTGTACATAACTGAATTATGCAATCATCTAAGGAATGTCTGACTGCTTCAAAAACCAAGCCATAAAGCAGATTTAGAAATAATGTAGATATCATTAAGCAGCCATGATCATGACACAATTTCTCCACCCCAACTTATTTTGGAATTACAACGTAATCACATTTCTGGACGGCAAGAATAAAATATGCAATCAATGTTCTGAGCAGAACATGTGCTGTGGATTTTTTTGTTTTTTACACTCAGTGCCAATCGGGGCATTTGGCGTACATTTAATACCGGGTTAATTTAACACAGAGGTGCGTCTGTAAGGCAAAAAAATTAATAAAGCCACCGCAGTAATGGTTAAAAGATGGGTGCACATTGGAGCAACCGACAGGGAATGTCTCATGGTTTTCATATTCCACCTTACTTTGAAAGCTAATCACACAGTGAGCAAAGCTTAATGAACTGAGAGATGTAATGCAATAAAGTCTTGCCAACTGATGATAATTACGACGACGATAATGATGATGGCAACATTGCTCCCCCCCAAACAAGCTCATATTATGTTGGAAGCTCTGAAAAAGTGGTACACACATTCCACATTGTTATGGCAGGAGCAAGCATTTTTATTACATAACCACTGCTGACTTCCCATGAAGTCAAACTCATTTTACCGATGAAGGATGGTTAATGGGCCGAGTTGAACCCCAGCTGAGATTCGAACTCGCAACATTCCCATGCTTAGCTCAACGCTCCAACCTTCAGCGCCACCCAGCTGGATAGGCAGTCGCTTTCACCCCAATCACTCCCATTTGAATTGCTTGCAAAAGACACTGTTGTTATCACTTTTAGGCGCCGCATTTACATTTGTCAATCTTATCGTGACTCAGAGTGACATTTTGTCGTGGCCAAAGGAGGGAAAGGCAGCAAATGTGCCTTGAGGAGGCAGTAAAGCAAGTAGGTGTCTGGGCGTGAGTTTGAGAGATATCTCCTCCTTTGCAAGGATTTTCCCCAGGCACTTCGGGTGCCTTTCACAAGGAACAAAAACGCAACTGTCTGATAACCCAACAAGGATGAACACCTCCGATTACCACCTCCGATGAGCACGGTTTGCCACATATGGTGCGAAATAAGTTTTGACACACACACACACACAACACTTTTTTTTTAAAGACTCTTTGCAACGTTCACGAGCCCAGACTTCAACAATTTCAAAGGACAACTCCCTTACCAGGCTGACTGTAGACTGTACCGACGTCTAATTTGAAGGTGCCCACAAGAGTTCCACTTCGGATTAAGTTCTTTGAGTGGATCACCTGCGAATAAATACACGAATACACGAGCGATGTGATCATGACGGGTAGGCAATTGGCATAAATCATCCACAGCTGTATGTATGTACACATGTATGTGCGTATGTATGTATGCATGTTGAACCTCTTTCACACTAAATGTAGCCAACCGTGCCAATTGGAGGTGCGGGGGATAGGACAACAAACTAAACACAAAAAAGCAGTTGTAAAGAAATTAGTTTAAAAAAAACTCTAAGCTGAACCTAGTTCTAACAACTGAGTTAAATATATCAGCAACAGAATACTTTAAACACCTTAAGCAATATTTTCCTCCAGTTTTTACTTTCTTGGACGGGATATTCGGAACTGTGCTTGATTTAACTGGCCATAGGCCGTAAATGGAACTATCGATCCACAGAGCTCTAATGAATATGGCACAATTTGAGATTTGTGTTATTTTTTTAAGTCAGACTTTTATTTCCATATGCATTCATGTGTTATGTTAATATTACAAGTAAAAAAAAACAAGTAGAGGACATTAATACATGGAAATTAGAGTATACATAACTGTCAAAAATAAAGTGTTTTTGTATAATTTTTGGAAGTTCTGCTGAACACTGTATCATTAAATAAAGCTATGCCATCGTAATTATTCTGCCGTCAAATGTCCACAGGTCCCACAAGACGAGCCGATACTTCAAGTGCACGATCCACTTTAAAAAGAAACGCTTATAACTCTGACTGCAGAAATGCGACGACACTCACCGAGAGCTTTATGATCTTGTCAAACATCATGTTGGGAGGCGTGTGGAAGTCAAACACAAAATACTGCAACGAGAGGGAACGGGTGAGCGAGTGCTGCAGCTCACTCGAGGCGCTCGCGAGCTCAGCGGCAAGCACACATTTACCCGAGATCGCCACGACATCACTTTGCCAAAGTGTTACTTTTTCACGGCGGGCGGTGACGCGGGCCCAGCGGCAGCGCGTTCGCCGCTCATTGCAGAGGTTCGCGGTTCTAATTCCAGCGGCCGCCCCGGTTAACTACTGCAGGTGTACTCTGGTGACCACGGTGATATACCTACGAGCCGTCCGCTTCCTGTTGGACGTTACAGATCCCCCTGACGTCAGGGTCCAAATTTGGCAAGTTTGAAAATTACCAATAAATTACGCAAATGGCGTTTTACGCACAGCGGCAATACATCGCCCCTGACTGACAGACTGATGCCCCAGGTCACTCTTTCAAATAAGACTCTCCTGGTCTATTTGGTTCTCACATGGTTAAACAAAATAGCTTATACTACGGTACAATATACATGTTCACAATCGGATGATTACAACAGTATCGTTTTTGTGCTTTGCAGAACTTCAAGCGTTAATACACCTTACCGAAATGTTATTAAACTTGCTGTTGAATCAACATAAACCTACCACGGGTCTGCTAATCATTGCAACGTTACAAACTCTGATGCTTATAACGCAGATGAAATCTGTTACTCAAGAAATACAATCACAGCACGATGACAATTATATCATATAATCACCATGCCGTTAATCACTCCGGAACACGTTTAGCAAACCACTAATATAATGGGTAATAGCTAATGTCTTTATTTAATGCATTAATCACTGCGCTTTGGCTATTTCATTAATATTGTCAGGATTTATTCGATTCACCATTCGTTTATGTGGGTTAGATCGTGTAGATACGATATCATTTTTAAATGATTACCCTTCACCCCATGCACGAGCTGAGCTTTTTCAACACCTGAGGATGCTGGTTGTAATCTCCAGCGAAAAAGTCATTCATAGAAAATCGAAAAAATGTTGCTTGCTCTTGAACGGTTCAGTTTTGCTGATAAACCAAATCAATGGGGATATTTGCCCACACGACAGATTGATTTTATTAACTGTGTTGTGTGGTGGAGGGGTATAGTAATATTTTTTTTAATCTCCACGTTCTAACCCGAAAGAGACATTACGAATCATATTGGTCGTGAAAGCCTACGTATAAATATGTAATATAAAATGAATACAAATAATCATAGTACTGTATCACGACATTTAGCAGAACGGATGATGCAATTATTGGGTATCGTATATATCAAACGAGATATCGCAATGTCACCCTGTAGCGACGACCCTAACATGGATCTGTGGGGTGCCACGGTGGCGAGATGTTAACTACCTTGCCTGGTATACAGGAGGTTCATGGGTTCGATCCCAACCCCGATGCCTATATATAGAGAGTTTGCGTGTTCTCCCCATAGTCGCATGGATTTTTCTCCAGGTCCTCCGGTTTTTCCCTCCACATTTCGAATCAACATCCGTCCAGAGTATTTGGCTGCTGCTGTAAATGTGCTCGTGGTAAGCCCACTTCGTTGAGCTATCATTTGTGGCCAGGTCGCTTCCGATAAAGAGCTATGTAGCTCGGCAGGGCCTTACCTGGTAAAATAAAAAAATGTTTGTTTAGTAAATATGCAAAAAAAATCAGAAAAATGCCCTCACCTCGTTGTAGTAGGGGCAGTTCGTGGACTCCTTCTGGCTCGTCTGTTTCTTCTCTTCCCCGACCTCCACAATCACAACCGGGTCCATGTTGAGGCCCACCAGCTGTCGGGCCTCGATGATCATCACGCTCACCTGGCGGACGCAAGGACGCAAGGACACTGGTGGCCACTGCAACCGCTGCATGATGCCTCGCACAGATCACCCGCTGTGAGTTCCCAAATGGGGAAAGGGAAGTCCATGGTCCGCGGAAAATGGAAAATAATGGTAATCGTTGTACCTTGGGGTCAACATGCGGGGTCACCAATAACGTAAACTCCTTATCCAACAGGGGGCAGCAGTGGTTACGGCATCATGGGGAAGGAAGGCTGTGATTTCTTGGTTGAACCTGGTCGATGGAGCTCTTTCACCCTTCGGGTGAGCAATGAAACGAGTGCCACTTTGTCAACGACGAAAAGTCAAAGCGATTTCCTGCTCCAATGAGCGTTGAGCTCATCTCCTGTTAACAGCTCTGAGCCAGTTGCAGAGATGTCATATTCCTATGGTGGGTGCAAGTCTATCCTGTTGACTTCCCCATAAAGTGGTACTAGCTTTATCAACCCCAGAGGAATGATGGGCTGAGTCAATGCCTGACCAGGATTTGAACTCGCTACCTTCCGATTGTGCGCCACTCGCTCTACCTATGTACAAACACTGGATAACCTGCCATGGGAATGTGGAATTAGTATCACTAGCGCAGGGCTGGAAATAAGAAGTGAGTGCCATTCGATGCCAATTCAAGGAAAAATAAACTTTTACTTTTTTAATTAACGGTCAACTGCAGAGTTACCATAATGTAAAATTCTACATTTAAAAAAGCTGCTCACTGGAGAGCGTTTATTGTATTGGCCACAATTTTGTCAGTTAACTTTGCACGCAATGTCATATCATTCATAAAAAAACAGAACAGAAAGCCATTGTGTCCCTGCTTCATGTGCAATGCAATTTGCCGCAACTAATTAGGAAGGCGATTTGAAAGTTGGGTGGGCGAAAGCTTGTGCCAAAATGCCCACCGCTTTCATAATTGGGATCATATCTGGAGGGGACACCTTGACTCAATTGTGGGACGCAATACAAATGCAAATATTATTACTTTAGTGTGAATGACTCGATGCTACAGGTGCTTCAGCTCCATGTGGAGATGAATAACAGTGGCCTGTCTTCTTGTAATAGTATTTTGTGATTTATTAAACTCCAGCCACTTTTAATTAGTACTGAGCAGACAAAGTGGATAATTTAGTAAATGTAATGCTGCCGCTGGAATTAAACAGGACATTAAATATTACAATCAAGGTTATGCGTCATGCATGTTATGCAAACTGGCAGAATTACATTGGACTCCTAACACAAAGTGGTACACAGTCACCTGTGAGACATTCCTCTGTGACCTCTGTCCAAAATGTCACGGAGAAGGGCGAACAACGAATTCTTAAAGAGTTGCACAAGTGAGGGGTTGAGCGACCACACGGTACTGGCGAGTCCTAATAAGGACGAAAACCAACCAACGCCTGTCTACCTCCGCTGCCCGTCAGTCTGTCACGTTTGCTCATGTTTTTTTTATTTTGATAAGGACCGTGATGATAGTTTGTTGCACACTGCACAAAGGCTGTGCGAGTTCTTCCACGTTTCTGTTTGTCGTTCGACACCTACAAATTTGCACCAATAATTGTGCGGCTAATTACCGCGGAGCTAACGGACGAGGAGTGGAGGAATGCGTACAATGTTCTGGCTTGTGTCATCAACAACGTATCACGATTTATTAGTTTCCTTTGTTACAGTGCCTGTGATTGTATGAACATTGGGGAGCCCTTTGCCGAATCGTATTAAGTCTAAGAGTGCCTCTGTTCTGCTTGATAGGCTTTAGTGATTTCTACTCTACTATGACAATGCAATGTTCGCGAGACAAACATCCAGGAACTAATTACACGACAGTTCGTATTGGCACTGCAGGAACTATACAGATGCTTCATGTATTTATTCTGACCTCAATTAAAGCAATGTCATTATACACACCAAACAACATGATTCATTATGGCAATACTGCATTGCCGTGCAATTCAACGATAATTTCTTTTTTGATTGTTTAATCTGCGTTGTTTCTCAGGTTTATTGATGAACCAACACTATTCGCTCGTCAGGGGTCAGTCACCTCCCCGTTGCTCTCCTAGCGCTGCTGCCGTGGTTACTGTTTCCCGTGAGCGTCACTCATTGATTCCTCCACTCACGTTGAGGACTTGATCTGCCAGACATTGACTCTTTGGTCTCATCCACCACACTGTGTTAAAACCACCACCACCACACAGCCGGTCACTACATTTATCTTTCTGCTTCTTCCCTCAACTCCATAAATTTCCTCCCATCATCTCTTCTCCCCGTGATCCTGTGGATTGTTTTTCTCTAGTTTTCCTCCGTTCGTTTAGAAACGTGCGTCTGGAGTGGTCGACTGCTGTACAATTTACGCGTGACAAGCCGCTTTGTTGAGCTCTCATTTGTGGCCAGGCCGCTTCCGACAAAGAGGCGAATGGCTCAGTGACGTCCTGATGACGATCGCCTGTGTTGCGATCGAAACGTCAAAGTTTTTTGTAATTTTTTTTGTTATTTTCTTTGAAACTATCTACGTGACTTTACCGAAAGACCCAAAGAATATGAATTCATGCAGCCACAAAAGCTTCAAGTCAAGATTTAAAGTAAAAAAAAAAGAAGTTTAAGTTTAGTTTTTCTTTCCCCAAGCTTTCATTATAACTTTGCTCAATTCCAGAAATGTAATAAGCATTCTTATCGATTACAACGTTAATCGTGCTCTGTTGTTTGACTACTTGGTGTGTTGTGCCATTAGGCCTGCGTTCAGAAAATGCGAACGAAAATAAACGCCTGCAGTTTTTTGTTGTTGTTTTTATAACACCACATGGTGTAATGGTGGTGAGCGGTCTTCCTGATGATGCCGTGGCAAGTGCCCGTCATGTGCCTTGGCTGCTGTGCGGTGGGGGAGGAGATGAAGAGAGCCGTGATGGGACACCGCCACCATCACCGCCACCGTCACCAGTGTGTGTACCTGGTAGCTCTGAGGCTTGCCCGCAGTCGGATCGACCCTCGGCTCCGGTTTCGATCTGTGAGCAAAGCATCGCTTCGCCGTTTAATGCCAGCTCCTGGCGTTGTCAAACGCCTTGTACGGTGATGTTAACAAACACGGTTTGTAACGCGCACGTGTTTCTGGAAGCAGACGGAATGTTTGGCTGGTGTCCATAGACACACAAGTAAACATCTTGGTATACGCACATACCATTAACACATTACATGCACACAACATACATAATACAGATTTTTTTTTGTTAAATCGCGTAAATATATAAATGTGTCGTTAAATCTGCCACCACCTGACACAGACAATTAGTAAGGTTTGTCACGTAAACAGAACGTGCCAATTTGTTACTAGTACAGCACACCGGTGTGTTGGAGAGACGAGCCACAAAATTTACAACATACATACCCGTCACAAACATATTACCGCACGTTGTAATCTTCCTGTTCTCCTCTGTGCGGTAGATGATCGTATTCTCTCCTCAGAATGTGGATCATTGTCACTTCTAGTTGTCAGTTATCTCAGATGCTTTGGACACCATAGACGCATCCGACGTCCTTGAGCGCCTCCATAACCATTGAAGGAATCTCCAAGTACATTCATCTCCTGCTTCCACTCTTACCTCTCAGACTGCTCTTTCTATGTTTCCATACGAGGACTGACTCTCACTCAGACACCCTCGTGCTAACGCATACCTGTCAAACCCTTATCGGTGTCTACCTTATTACGGACCAATTCAGACCTTATTGGTCACCCCGTGCCCTTATAAATCTTATAATTCATCCTAGCAAGTCCCATCACAAGGGAGAAACCCAAACAATTAGGCAAAAAAATGTCGTGCCCGTATTGAAACGGCTGTACGCTGTATGGACCTGAAAACTCAATTTCCCTGTACAAAAATACGGCGTAAACCGTGCGGGTTGACAGGTATGCTATCGTGTCCTGCAAGATCCCATGCCTGACCCCCATACACCGCAACAACAACAATAATAACAACAATAAAACAAACACGTATCATTTCAACTTGGCTTGCACGCAGCATTCGCTCACTCTCAACGAGAGGGACGTGGTGATCCAGTGCTAACGATTGCCCAAGCTCTACAATACTCTATATATTGAGATGTTTTCAACCTGCCCAAGCCAGCTTCCTCTTAATGGACTTTAACATTTTACGTCTTAAACTCGCACATGTTCAATGATCCATATTTTCCTCTTTCCGCAGACCAGTCTAATTCGAAGCATGCATCTCTCCTGGTGCAATTTTCAGCACTTTTCAGCTAATCTCTCAAAATATCATCTCACGCATCGGTTGGCATCATTCCACCACCCCCGCTGTACAAAACAAACAGTGAAAATGTCATTTCGGGCGACTTTGCTCCTGGCAGTTCTCACCCAGTGATCGCAAGTAGGAGAGTGAAGTGGAATGGCATCACGCTGCTCTCCAATGCGTTTTTTGGGGGTCCGCTAATTGTAATTTCTTTGTCAAAGTCCACGTTTATGATCAATCCTGTTGGTTTGACCACCGATGTCTACACCTCTCGCCTCGTGGTCTGTCATTGCCGGGGGGGGGGGGGGGGGCGACGGAGCCGAGGGGGGGGGGGGCGACGGCGCGAGCAGAGGGAGCCGACACTGACTCTCTCACACACCATACACTGACTCACACCATGCACTAACTCACTCACACACCATGCACTGGCTCACTCACACATCATACACTGACTCTCTCACACACCATACACTGACTCACACCATGCACTAACTCACTCACACACCATGCACTGGCTCACTCACACATCATACACTGACTCTCTCACACATCATACACTGACTCACTCACACCATGCACTGACTCACTCACACACCATACACTGACTCACTCACACATCATACACTGACTCTCTCACACATCATACACTGACTCACTCACACCATGCACTGACTCACTCACACACCATACACTGACTCACTCACACCATGCACTGACTCACTCACACATCATACACTGACTTTCTCACACATCATACACTGACTCACTCACACCATGCACTGACTCACTCACACATCATACACTGACTCACTCACACACCATGCACTGACTCACTCACACACCATACACTGACTCACTCACACACCATGCACTGACTCACTCACACACCATACACTGACTCACTCACACACCATGCACTGACTCACTCACACACCATGCACTGACTCACTCACACCATACACTGACTTTCTCACACATCATACACTGACTCACTCACACATCATACACTGACTCACTCACACATCATACACTGACTCACTCACACATCATACACTGACTCACTCACACATCATACACTGACTCACTCACACATCATACACTGACTCACTCACACATCATACACTGACTCACTCACACATCATACACTGACTCACTCACACATCATACACTGACTCACTCACACATCATACACTGACTCACTCACACACCATACACTGACTCACTCACACATCATACACTGACTCACTCACACATCATACACTGACTCACTCACACCATGCACTGACTCACTCACACATCATGCACTGACTCACACCATGCACTGACTCACTCACACCATGCACTGACTCACTCACACCATGCACTGACTCACTCACACACCATACACTGACTCAGTCACACATCATACACTGACTCACTCACACCATGCACTGACTCACACATCATACACTGACTCACTCACACATCATGCACTGACTCCCTCACACCATGCATTGACTCACTCACACATCATGCACTGACTCCCTCACACCATGCATTGACTCACTCACACATCATACACTGACTCACTCACACATCATACACTGACTCACTCACACACCATGCACTGACTCACTCACACCATGCACTGACTCTCTCACACATCATGCACTGACTCACTCACACACCATACACTGACTCACTCACACATCATACACTGACTCACTCACACACCATACACTGACTCAGTCACACATCATACACTGACTCACTCACACATCATACACTGACTCACTCACACATCATACACTGACTCTCTCACACATCATACACTGACTCACTCACACATCATACACTGACTCACTCACACATCATACACTGACTCACTCACACATCATACACTGACTCACTCACACATCATACACTGACTCACTCACACATCATACACTGACTAAATCACATCATACACTGACTCACTTACACCATGCACTGACTCACTCACACACCATGCACTGACTCACTCACACATCATACACTGACTCACTCACACCATGCACTGACTCACTCACACCATGCACTGACTCACTCACACATCATACACTGACTCGCTCACACATCATACACTGACTCACTCACACCATGCACTGACTCACTCACACACCATACACTGACTCAGTCACACATCATACACTGACTCACTCACACCATGCACTGACTCACTCACACACCATACACTGACTCACTCACACATCATACACTGACTCACTCACACATCATACACTGACTCACTCACACCATGCACTGACTCACTCACACCATGCACTGACTCACTCACACCATGCACTGACTCACACATCACACACTGACTCACTCACACCATGCACTAACTCACTCACACCATGCACTGACTCACATCACACACTGACTCACTCACACCATGCACTGACTCAATCACACCATGCACTGACTCACTCACACATCATACACTGACCCTCTCACACATCATACACTGACTCACTCACACCATGCACTGACTCACTCACACACCATGCACTGACTCACTCACACACCATACACTGACTTTCTCACACATCATACACTGACTCACTCACACATCATACACTGACTCACTCACACCATGCACTGACTCACTCACACCATGCACTGACTCACTCACACCATGCACTGACTCACTCACACATCATACACTGACTCGCTCACACATCATACACTGACTCACTCACACCATGCACTGACTCACACATCATACACTGACTCACTCACACCATGCACTGACTCACTCACACCATACACTGACTCACTCACACCATGCACTGACTCACTCACACCATGCACTGACTCACTCACACCATGCACTGACTCACTCACACACCATACACTGACTCACTCACACATCATACACTGACTCACTCACACATCATACGCTGACTCACTCACACATCATACATTGACTCACTCACACATCATACACTGACTCACTCACACATCATGCACTGACTCCCTCACACCATGCATTGACTCACTCACACATCATACACTGACTCGCTCACACATCATACACTGACTCACTCACACCATGCACTGACTCACACATCATACACTGACTCACTCACACCATGCACTGACTCACTCACACCATACACTGACTCACTCACACCATGCACTGACTCACTCACACCATGCACTGACTCACTCACACCATGCACTGACTCACTCACACACCATACACTGACTCACTCACACATCATACACTGACTCACTCACACATCATACGCTGACTCACTCACACATCATACATTGACTCACTCACACATCATACACTGACTCACTCACACATCATGCACTGACTCCCTCACACCATGCATTGACTCACTCACACATCATACACTGACTCACTCACACATCATACACTGACTCACTCACACCATGCACTGACTCACTCACACATCATACACTGACTCACTCACACCATGCACAGACTCACTCACACACCATGCACTGACTCACTCACACATCATACACTGACTCACTCACACCATGCATTGACTCACTCACACATCATACACTGACTCACTCACACATCATACACTGACTCACTCACACCATGCACTGACTCACTCACACATCATACACTGACTCACTCACACATCATACACTGACTCACTCACACATCATACGCTGACTCACTCACACATCATACATTGACTCACTCACACATCATACACTGACTCACTCACACATCATGCACTGACTCCCTCACACCATGCATTGACTCACTCACACATCATACACTGACTCACTCACACATCATACACTGACTCACTCACACCATGCACTGACTCACTCACACATCATACACTGACTCACTCACACCATGCACAGACTCACTCACACACCATGCACTGACTCACTCACACATCATACACTGACTCACTCACACCATGCACTGACTCACTCACACATCATACACTGACTCACTCACATCATGCACTGACTCACTCACACATCATACACTGACTCACACCATGCACTGACTCACTCACACATCATGCACTGACTCGCTCATCATGCGCTTACTCACTCACACATCATACACTGACTCACTCACACCATGCACTGACTCACTCACACATCATACACTCGCACAACCACTGACCCATTCACTAATCATACACAGGTTCACTCATCGTGTGCTGGCCCACTCGCACGTCATACACTGACTCACTCATTATGCGCTGACTAATACATCGTGCGCCGACTCACACATCATACACTCACTCAACCTAATACTGACTCACTCATCATACGCTGACTCGCACATCATACGCTGACTCGCACATCATACACTCGCTCACGCTGCTGCTGACTCACTCACACATCATACACTGGGAGTGTCGTGCTGCCAGCTATGGCTGCAGGTTTTTTGTCGTACGTGTTATGTATATCGTTTATTGTTAAATTTAAAATCACAGTTCCTATGATTACTGTTGTTACATTGTTTTTGTAGCTTTATTTTGGTCTGGCTGTGGTGTAATAGTTTTCTGCAATGTAGATTCATATTTTGTTTGTTGCGGTTGCACCCGACTTCAGAGCCGCATGGCTCACAGGGCTATACCGAATAAATGAAACTTGAAACTTCTTGTCGAGCTCACCATCACGAATCCCTACAGCTCTCTCATCTCCGTCTCATTCACAACCCTTTTTTTCATCTCACCCGTCTGTATCACGTGACGTCTCAGTGAGCCACGTCTCCCCCCACGAGACCACAGCTCAATGGGCCACTCTCCAAGAGCCTTCGGGGGGGGGGGGGGGGGGGGGGGCAGGTATGTCCCGTGGTCCACCGGATGAAGAAACCTGGCCTTCGCGTTCTACGTTGTCCCATGTAATACGTGACGTCCTCTTTTGGCTCCGCTCACCTTTTGTTGGAAACATTGGTGGTCTCGACAATTCCAGAAGCGAGGGAGATGTTGTCCAGCATGTCGCCCCTGCTTGCCGCCAACATCTTCCTGTCCATTTCCTCTATGTCCATATTCTCGTCATCTGTAGTTGTAGTAATGACAGGAGGGATGAGTCGGACTATGTCCAAAAAACACGATTCCGCATAAATTCCGGCTTACAGGATCTGTAGCGTAACCAGCTTGAACTCCAACACATCTGGGCCAAATTTTGATTTAAAGCTTTCGTGACTGCAGTAATTCATATTCTTAGCTCTTTCGGTAAAGTCACGTTGAAGGGAAACAATAAAATAATAAAATATATATTATTTATTATTTTATTGTTTCCCTTCAACGTGACTTTACCGAAAGAGCTAAGAATATACATCTGGGCCAATTAATATAGTTGAAGATTATATTCGTCTCCTTGGCATTAACACTGTATATTTGCGCTGTGTATCTCACTGATTTGTTCTCAGCTGCTAAGGAAGCTCCCAGCACGTGGGGTGAAATTTGTGTTCGTAGGTTGAACTTCTTTTGCGCCGTACATAGCCAAGCGTGCTAATCGCTCGCTAACAGCACTTTTCACAAAAGTATGCTAAGGCTATATGGGGGAACTTTGTATTTGTATGTAAATACAACCTTATAACCGTGCATTTGATTACGCATTTTAAGTACACACTCAACGCACATGCCACTGATTCATTATCGCATGCACCTGGTGCGAGAGTTAATTTGGTGCATGCGTCGATTTCATTGCCACGTGCACAAAGCGTGTCGCATTCCCCACCTTCTGCGTTGAGGTTCGTAAGCACCAAGCTGGATTTCGGTGGCCGTTTCTTCGCTCCAAGTTTCAGTAGAAAATTCCTGTTGCTTTAAAACAACATTTCAAACGTGCGTGTCACTTAAAATACACCTCATGACGAAGGCATTTGAAGATGCATTGGTCTCCCAGATTAAAATCCATACTCGCTCCCAAGATACACACACGTCGAATTGCTGTGTAAATCCGGCAGCCACTAGAGGCACTAAATTCACTATAACGGAAAACAGGAAACAGATTATCGATTCAAATCGCAATACTGAAATTAATCGAACCGTGAGCGGGTGAATGTCCAGCCTTCAGCATGCAAAAGAGAAATGTGCAGCCCTGCGATGACTGCTCGCATCACTACTGGCATAAGGGGCTCCACGAGAGGAAACTCAAGAAAGTCCATCTCAAAGAGTGCGTGGCCTACTCTTCCGCTCTGGCCATACGTCTTGAATGGTGGGAGAATCCACACTTTAACCGCACCACGTGTGACCTGTCGGTCGACTGACCGCGGTTGGACCCATTTACACTGCTGGGTGGACAGAGGTGGAGAGAATTAAGAAACGTACTCCACTGTTTCATCTGCCGCGCCTAATAGATCGAATGTAGCCAGCGACCTCCGGATTGCAATTCCCGTGAGCTAACCAGTACGCCATGGCAGCATCCATCCCACCACGGTTGGCATATGAGATCTTTCCACGTGTGAATGTATTTTGCCGCATGTCACGACGCAGAGAAACATCAAAAGGCAGCGGTGGAAATGCACATTTATGTGTGTGTTTGGAATAAATCATGGGAATATTACAGAAAAGCAGACATGCAGGAATGCAGGTGGGCAGGCAGGTAGAAAAGAAATCGATGAGCAAACAAGCAGAACACCACTGAAGTAAATACAACAGTGTAGCCTAATGATAATACAATGAACGTAAACAATGAAGGTCAAAAGGTTTGTGTTGGCCCAGAGTACAGTCATATTCACTGCAATTGAAACAACTATTAATTGAAACAGAGTGTTTGGCTTCATTCAATTAGTGCTATTATTTGGCAGAACTGGGAAACGGGCCTTGCAATTTGATTCACAAAACCTTAACCACTCGTCCGTGCAATTATATATTTTTTCACGAGTCGATTGCATTAAATACACAATTTAAGGACTTATTTTTTCGTGCTTAAAATATTTTTCTCAAACGTGCCGATGAACAAATTGTCAAAATAGTGACGCAGATTTTCTTTTGTTTACATATGGCTTTAATTATTTATTGAATATATTTTTCTGAACTTTCAAATGCAGCATCGCAGGCCATCTCATTAAAGATATCCCTACAGGGTTGAATAATTGGGGGTTTATGGAGTCAATATCTGGAAAGAAATCATAAAATGCACTTTAATAAGTGAAGCCACTCGGGTCAGACCAAACAGCGGGGCAATAAGCAATAACAATTTGAAGACATCATTCTCCTGTATTTGATTTAATAGAATCATATGACCAGAAACGCATGCATGTAATTGGCTCATTTGCATTGTAAGGAGCTAATAACGCGGGTTAAAAAAAACTATTCATAAGGCTCTCTGATGCCGAGTTGCAACGCGTGTGGTTCGGCATGATGTCCGACGTTTCGCTCCACGTGCTGGGAGCTTCTTCAGGAACCGAATTGAAGAATCTCCCAGCGTGTGGAGCAAAAACATCGGAGAGCTGTTCGGCACAACCACGAACACCTATGCAGTCACGAGGAAATTCCGAGGTGAGCAATGAGGGCATTTGAGAGACCCGATTATATCACCGATCTCTTATCCCTTTGACCTTCAATATGCACCCTTGGATATAAATTAAAGGGTGTTGCCTTTTAGGGCCTGTACTTTCAAGAGCTGTGACTGAATGGAATTGCGACAACAACAAAAGCCCCTTTGTAGGCTAAAGTAAAGTAAAAAAAAAAATGTCAAACGCTTGGAACAAAAAATATCTTCGCACTTATCAAGGCCACGAAATGCATGCCGAAAGGCATCGAAGGAAGCTTGCTGACAAACCCAAAAATGGATGAGAGTTTTTTTTGCCTCAGCTAGCGAGAAAACCGACAGCGTCTCATCAAAGACAGCGTTTAAGGAAGCAAAGCAAATACGCGACCGTTGGTGAAAGACTTCAAGCCAGGCAATTAATTTACAGGCGCGGATGAACGTGCAGCAATTAAGCGCAACGATGTTGACAGCCCAGGCGCTAACGCTCGCTTGCACCTCTCCACGTGCAGCCAAGTGAACTTTGTACCAAAACACGAACGTCTGTTACGTTAAAACGAAGCAAAATAGAGCTCAAATCGCCGGGACCAGAATCTATACGCAAGTCCCAGAAAGGTGGAAAGGTAAACAAGTTTGTGAGTATTTGACAAATCACCCCTTACGGGTACATCTGATTTTATATCTGTCAAACAAAGTGCTCGAGCTTGAAGTTCAGATACTGGCCTAAACAACAAGGTATATATTCTTGGGTCTTTCGGTAAAGTCACGCAGCTAGGTTGTTGTTAGATAGGTTGTTATTTTCTTTCAATCTATCTCCGTGACTTTACCGAAAGACCCAAAGAATATGAATTCCTGCAGTCACCAAAGCGTTAAGTCAAGATTCAACAAGGCATGTATATATATAAAATCTGGGCTGGAACATTCGTTACGAAGCACGGTTGACGCTTCACTTATGCCGCAACGCGGAACCTACTTCGTGTCCATGCGAAATCTTCTGGTGTCCCTAGATTTGATGCTAAGGCAGGACATCTTAATATCGCTGAACCTGGTGGCCACCCCACTGTGCGAGCCGCTGTGAGCAGGGTGTGCGCGTATGCGAGTCCGGACAGTGTTGGTTCACCATTCGCGAGCGCGTGTGCGTGTTGGTGTCACGTGCCCGTGTCACGGGGGAGAGAGTGTGTGTGTTAGAGGACGCGCGCAGGTAGCGACGTGCACTTGTATAATTAGAACAAGGCAGTGTGTGTGTGTCAGCATGTGAAGGTGTGTGTGCGACGGCGCGTGTGTATGTGTGTGTGTGTGTACATGAGCGTGCACACAGGAGACCGTGTTAGTGTATGTAAGGGAGGAATTCGGGAAACAGAGGGGGGAGATTAATTAGCAAGGCATGACAGACAAAGCAGAGCACGCAAATAACCGATCAATCGCTCAGAGGAAGCAGGAGGAAAGGAGATGAGTGCGATGCGTGATCCATATTCGTTATTGGGTTTGACCCACATGGTATATTTTATGCAAACATTATTGTCATTGACCCTCCACCACCCGGCAAGAGTGTCATGCTTAGAAATATCGTTATTTATACGTGGCCAATGTAACGATGACATTATGCTCGATACAGATCCACATTCATGACGGAATTTCACATCAACGCGTGACGTTTTTCTCAACCAGCGTTGGGCTCCTTCGGGTGATTCACCTGAAAATCGAGTGAGCTGCAATTAACACGTTAAAAATGCCTTTATTAAACCAAGACATCACTACTGAGCTTCAATACCTAATTTTTATGAGGGTCCTGTATTGGATGATGCAGCCTGCAGCTGACCAAAAGCCAGCCTGCAGCAGGCCTGGAGCCATCCTGGAGCCAACCTGGAGTCGGCCTGGAGCTGGCCTGGAGCTGCAGCCGAGCTACAGGAGCTGCTCCACAATAGGAGTCAGCAAAGCCAGAGCACTGCCAATCCCTCCTGAAAGCGGCAGATATTTAGAGGCTCATGGCAATTCACGAGTGCTTGGCATGTGGTAGAAACTCGGAAATATCTAGAGACGTTGGCAATGTTATCCGATGGAGCCTACAAGTTCCCCATTTAAAAATTCGCTCACGTAATAAATTTACAATTAACTGTAATAACTGTAAAAAAAAATGCTCCATGCTAAAATAATTGAGGAGCAGGGAGGGGGGGGTGTTGGTACAGGACAGAGAGCACACACACTTTGCGATGAGAACCCGGTAACCTGAGTTCGATTCCAGGCCATAGCCAACACCAGTGGCGAGTGATCATCTCAACTGATCCTGGGCCGCCTCCTTTGCGAACCCCCAATGCCCAGCGTGGTCAGGTAAGACCAAAACAAACCACAATGACCCACGTGGCATGGCGAGGCTGTCATCCGGCTGTCAAACGAGACAGGGTTGTGAATGAATGAGAACCAAATAACTGTAGTTTGAATACAGAGTAATGTAAAATAGCATTCAAATTAACTGCACGGTTGATACCGACTGCTGTTTGCGAACAACGTAGCCTTTTACTGAGCAGGTAGATTTAATGTCGTAATAAAATAATAATAGTGTACGGACCTTTGTCAATCCACTGCTGGATGATAGAGTCTCGTCCCCATGTTGGGCCATGTGGGTCGTCTGATCCGTGCCTCACCACACAAGTCGGTGTGGGTGAGGCACGAACAAAGACAAAGATACCCCGCATAGTCTTATCAGAGTGTTGGGGCAAGTGCTGTTAGCGAGCATCCGATGAAGGCCGACACGGCACACGACGGGATGGGTGAGCATCACCATGCACGACCGCCTTTGTCTCCCTAGTGGCGATGTTTACACGCCGCACCAGGTACTCATTTGAAGCTGAATCGACCGAGGGGAGGCCCAGGACCGGTTCAGATAAATCGTCATTGGTGTTGGCCACGAGTGGGAATCGAACTCGGGTTACTGGGTTTGTATCACAGTGCGCTAGCTGCTACCCTAACGCTCCCCATGTTTACAGATTCAAATCCTGGTCAAGGTTAACCTAGCCCTACGATCCCTCCTTGGTTTGTAAATTGAAACCTAGCAAGGCTTTTTTTTATTTTCCCATATAATACAAATATGTGTTTTATAAGAAAAAGAACTGCCGCATGTGTCTCTGAGCCATCAAATGCTACTAATTGTGCCTGAGTTGGTTGAAAATGGCAAGTCTCATGGAATCTGTGCTTGCAGGCTCCAATTATAACATTACATAGGATGGCAGTATAACCCATGCCATTGTCTACGCAAAGCAATGATAATGAGGCTATGCGTGTGTCGAGGTCAACTGACAACATGGTAAGCTATAAATAATGTAATCTCTTTTAAGAGTGATTTTTCATTTAAATGTTGCCATGCACGCACATGTGTACACAACGTACACGAGGTCGTATAATATTGCATTAAATGCCAGTGTATCTGTGCAGGAACATACAGTAGCTGTAGTGCATTGAGAGCAATGGGACATCCAACCTGGCACACATCTACAGTTTTGGCAGCAATTCTGGATGCTACACACGCAAAACTGGAAGAAATCCAACACAATTATGTTACTGTTCAACCACTGGTTGCCCAACATTTAACCCAACAGTGGCTTTTGTTTGGAAACAAAATTATAATGTTTAAATGCCTGAACAATATGCTGTAGGTAGACATCCCAGCGAGAGCTGTAATTGGATATATTTATGAGAAGCAATTTAGAATTGTGGACCACTGAGATGAATATTCAATCTTAGAGGGCAACAGGAGTACAGAGAACGAACCAAGACCAATAACCACGATGTGACGCCATCATGCAGAAGGTTTCACTTGCAGCTTGGATTTATCCTTCTCCTTCAAAAACATTCAACCTAATCTGTAACCATAATTGATAATGAAATACAGTTATCATATTTGTGCCTGTTTTTGACAAGCTACGGATTACGTAACATTGTGTTAATCATGGCGACTTCAATCCACCACCAGATAAGAAATTGACGACACCAATTTGAATAGAAATTGATGCCTGGCATTCCATTTTCTAGTTCTGTGGCTCAGTAAGCCTTCAAATTAAAACGCCTTGGCTAAATTAATAAATGGTCCCTTCCAGCTGTCACTCACAATGTCTGCACCTTGCATTAGCATTGAATGGCAATTAATTGCATGCAAATGCACACGTGCTCTGTAGATCTGAACGTATTCCATATCGTGTCGGGCAATCGACAGTTTTTTGTGCGTTACGCTAAAAGTAAATATTTCAAAGCTTATCGCTCATAATGCGAAAAACATATATATATTCCTTAATTGACACAGGCATGGACATTTTCTCACACATATGAATGGTAATATGTGCTTGGTGAGATAAATGCTCATGCAGACTCTATGCTGCCTTTAGAAAATGGATTTCTAAAGCATTAGTAAATGGGTAAAATTCTGAAAAGAATCCATCCTATTTCCTGATGGTCCAACATTTAGTCCTCTGAATTTTCGTTTTACACCCACAAAAAATATAGTTTATTCGAATAATAATATGGCGAGTTTACTCAGGAGAACCCCAATAAGTTCCAATCTTATTTTTTAGGAAGGTATTGTGTAAGAATATACAGCAAATCTCCATAATAGGGAGCGCTTTGCATGCTGAACAAAACTAGAGTACTCCCCCATATAGCCTTAACAGATTGTTGGGGCAAGTGTTGTTAGTGAGCACCTATGTAGGCCGGCATGGCACACGATGGAGTAGGTGGCCAGCACCACGCCCGGTCGCCTTTGTCTCCCTATTGGCGATGTTTACATACCGCACTAAGTACTCATTTGAGTCGACCTGGGGAGGCCCAGGACCGGTTCAGATCATCATTACTGGTGTTGGTCTTGAGTGGGGAATCGAACTCAGTTCTCCGGGTTCGTAGCGCAGTTTCCCTAACCGCTACACTACCAAGTACTCAGAGAAAACCTAGATGTATATACACACACACTGGGATACTGTTCCAAAACTCAGTACAGGTTGGTTCACGCACCCTAAATGCTGTACCGTCACCTCTTGCCCATGCAAATTTCACAAATCTCTGTATGGGCCACCAACCCTTCTGTGCAAAGCTCTGGATGACAGGCATGCACGGCCACTTCTAGTCGAGTATAAACGTATATACCAGAGCATGTTTGAATTAAATTTTAATTTCAAGTGGTAATCCCATATTGATTATACAAAGTACTTTTGCACACATGTGTGTGCCAGGCACATGGCCATGGCATGGGAAACGTTGTGGGTTTTCTCTCCAACACACCGGTGTGCTGAAGTAGTAACTAATTGGCACGTTTTGTTTACGTGACAAACATTTATAATTGGCTGTGTCGGGTGGTGGCGAGTTTAACGACATTTATATTTACCGTGATCTAACCCCCCCCAAAAAAAACCTTTATTAAGGACAATATTGGTCGCGAAAACCCAACTACTACTACTACTACAACGTGTTAAACTGCACGAGAAACAGTCCGTGTGGTCAATCGCGTGCTGAGCTCTTTAGGGGTGCATCTGTGTGCTTCGTAAATTATTCATCGCAGGCGGCGATGACGCACGACGCATTACCGCGGCGGTGCCATCGGCAAAATTGCCTGGAGTATTAGCGGCAATTATTACGTTTTCCCGCTTGAGCGGGTGGTCTGGCCGATTTTAAATAAAGGAGCCGCATGGATCTCGATGGAGATTATCTCTGGCATTCGTGGTAATAATTGATACATCTTCACTTGAAGTGAACAGGAGTGACAGTGAGTTGTCACTGGGGTTGCCTTCATTTCAAGGATCCACGGTCTCAGCTGGATGCTTGCAATGGGTACGAATTTGCAAGGAATGTGCAAGAGAAGCACATTGGAAAACATCAGCAATAAAAGGCAGCGCAGAGAGAGCAATCAGAGACTTCATATCGGCCAGATGGAAAAAAGGCGTGGTCAGGAATGTAATCGACTTTTCTGAAATGTTTTTTCGTATAAATAAAAAAAAACAAGCATTGGAATTATGTTTTAACTGAAACATATCCAGTTATTAATGGGAGCCAGTAAGTGGTTTTGATCAACAATTTTGAAAAGATCAATGACTGGCCCTGGTTAGTGCAATGGGCTAACAGATGCTCCCAAAAAGATGTATTTTAGCTGTAATTTTAAGGACCATAAATTCGGTGAGTTATTAAATGGCTCATTTTCTGACAAAGATTATTAGAGAGCTCTAGGTATCGCTATTAAGCTCTCAAATGAGATCACGGGTTACACAGGGAAGCTACATTACAAACGGCGATAAATTATTCTGTTCCTTAACTGCCTTATTATTTTTTCCACATCATAACAATCAAGCATTCTGAATCGCTGCAATAAAACATTGTTGCTTCCTCTGAAAGAGCAACATGAAAACGAGGATTGAACTCATGTGGCCTCTGGGCGTTGTATAATTTTAAGGAGTGAGACATTTACTGTGTGGACAGAGAAGGTTTCCCATACAGTACATTTGCCGCTTCTCATACAGTGCATCGGTTTAACAAAGTAAGACAATGACACCTGCTTTCTTGACGAAGTCCTCAATATTCATCCGTGAAATGCTTTTGTTTCAGATTTTAAATGTGGCTCAACTTTGAACCATTTTCGTTTGCAAAGGTTAGTTGAGGTATGCACATCACAAAATATGAGCATACACTGGAGCCTTTCAAAGAAGGCAGCTGTAAAAGGTAGGACAATAAAAAGAAAAAAAAAGTCTGCCCCAAAAGATCATCGTGAACGCCAATAATGGTGTCCAGCTTCTCGCCTCACCTTTTTGCATCTCCAGTGGTCTCCATGCTTGGCACGAGATTCTCTGTGTCCTCTGTGGGGGTTGGGATAAAGTCCAACTCGTTCCACTGGCCGACCGTGCTGTCGAGCGCAAAGTACTTGAGTTCCAGCGTGACCGTGGCCTGGGCACGCGGGAGTAGAGAGGCGACACTGTTAGGTGTGTGCGCGAGGGGTTAGTGTCCGGCCCTGCAATAACTTTTTTTCTGGCACGTCTTGTGCATTTGGCTTCCGGTTGCCGAATGAAGACATTGTACGTTCACACTCATTACGCACAAAGTGCTTGCCACAAATTAACGACGACACCTTGTTGATCTCGTCACCATGAAATGAAAGGATAAGTTGTTCTACACAATTGTGGCTAATATACTGACAAACGCAAGCCTGCTATTACACATACTAATGTATAGCTCTGTTAATTAACTTTTGCATGCTCTTCCAGTGGTCTTGTGGATTTTTCTCCATGTCTTCCAGTTTGTCCCTCCATATTTAGAAACATTCGTTTGAGCTATCATTTGTGGCCTGTTCGCTTCTGAAAAAGCTCAGTGGGCCTTACCTTGTTACATTAAAAGTTAAAATATTTTTTTAAAGACACATTTAACATGAATATGAATAATCATACAGCATTACCAAATTATTTTCCATGGGGTTATTATTTTTAACACGGGTTAAAAGGCTCCCACTGGGCATTAATACAGTGAAATCGCAGTTATTATTTTGTCTATAAAACCTTTGAAAAACATGGATAATTACAAACTAAAACAAAAAAGCTGTGCTTCCTTACATACAATATACCATATTTTAATTAAATTAAAATATTCATGTCGAAATGTGTATTGTCCATCATTGCTGTTGTTACTTGTCAGAGAAGGATATAACATAAATCAAGAGTTACTTTACACTTCACAAGGACACAAATTCAAAGTTAATTTATAAATAAATATCTAGGTAATTTTCGCATAGTTACAGCTAAGGCAAGGAAATGGTGAATTTGTGGATACATTTATTTGCATTCAAAAACAATGTAACATAGAGAAATTCTAGATTTGAAGCTTTTGTGACTGCAAGGATCTATACTCTTTGGTTCTATTCGGTAAAGTCATGTAACAACAAAAATCACATTTTAGAACCAAAGAGTAACATATAGTAAGTCTAATGCTTGCAAAAACAGCTTGCAGAACACTCACAATTGAAGTCAGGGCATTTTCAATCCATCTACATTTTTTAAAGTATATAATTACATGTAAATCCACAGGCAACACAAAGAAGATACGCCGTTCCATCACAAAGTAACGTGTTTCATTCACCCAAGACATAAAAAAAAACTTGCAACTGCTCATCAGCACCAGCCCCGTTGCTTAGAAGAAGCAGGAATCATCAAAGATTCACGTTCGAACATTCCACGGAGTTGCCTTTTCTGGGTGAATAGGAGGTCCCGTGCATCTTTAACTGCCAGGGAATTCACCCCGTCAATCACCGACTGCTTAGCCACCATCAAACAAACAATGCAGCCGGTGACACGCGCAATTATGTCCAAATTCATTGATGACGATTACACGGACAACAGGCTTCCGGCATTAAGTGAATTGTGAATGAAATATTCACGCCCTTCTATTATGGTATTACACGTCACATGTTCGGCTGCCGGTCAAAAATCTATATATTCATTCCGTGGCTTTGTGCCCCATCTGCCCCCACTTTTGTTGGATGCAGTATGTACGAATGCAACCAATGAAGCTTTAATCATTGATTATCAAGGAATTACAATCATACCATTTTACGAGTCGTGCGTATCCGCGTAAATATGATTCCATTTAAAACCCAGTTGCTCGGCAGGCTTAGGAAGAACGTTGTTAATAATGCAAGCACTGCCATGAAAATGCTCTGTGCAGGAATGCACCGCACAGTGCATTGTAGGCTCTAAAGCCATGCTTAACACTTAGGCTTTCACGACCAATATCATCCATAAGAGGTGTTTTGGGTTAGATAGCGTAAATATATAACTGTGTCATTAAAACCGGCCACCACCTGACACAGCCAACTAGTAGGGGTTGTCACGTAAACAGAACGTGGCCAATTCGTCACTAGTACAGCACATACCGGTGTGTTGGAGAGCCAAGTCACAACATTTACAATCTGAGTACGACGTTTCGCCAGTAATTATAACCAGCTTCATCAGGCGACAGCCAGATTTGTGCTGTGCAAGTGACGAATTGGTCACGTTCTGTTTACGTGACAACCCTTACTAGTTGGCTGTGTCGGGTGGTGGCAGGTTTTAACGAAACATTTATATATTTCCGCTATCTAACCCAAAAAACATCTTATGGATAAAGCCATGCTGTTATAATCCATTTGTGTTCTCTACCATTTACCGACCTAATCACACACTTGCATCACAGCACACCTGTACAAAGTCCAGGTGTGGTGGTGGTGGTGCTGCTGGAATCATTCAGGGGCCCTGAGCAGGTATTGTTTTGGGAGGCTTCTCTTTCAATTTACAAAATCCCAAGTGAGATGACCAAAGATATAAAGACAAGATATGTAAATGTAGCACGATGTAAATACAAATAGAGATTAACAGGAATGAATATATATATACAAATGAGAGAGATGAATTGGCTGTTTAACGTTAAGTCGTCCGTTATGATTATTAAGATTTAAATCTGAGCACATTTTTAATGCACCCAGGGGCAGAGCCAGAATTTTGACTTTGGGGGGGCTGACTTCAAAATTCTGAGATATCCAGTGTAATATTTTCCAATGGGCGCCACAAATGTATAAAACTAATTTTATTTGGATTTGAACGCGGAGTTTATTAATAGGTCGGAGCCGCTGATGTGGCTAATAAGTTCGATAAGTTCAAAAGGCTGCCGCTCAAGCAGCCTGCAGGGCAGCACAAGGTGGCAGCCTGCAGGGCAGCACAAGGTGGCAGCCTGCAGGGCAGCACAAGGTGGCAGCCTGCAGCATTTTGCAGCAGCCGGATATCTGGTTATCCCGATTACTGATTTTCCCAAAATTTCAGGGGGGGCTAAGCCCCCTCCCCAGCCCCCCTGTGGCTCCGCCCCTGAATGCACCTAAAGTTTTTGATTGAATCTGATTTTCTGGGGCCCTTAGGCTTGTCCTTGGTTTGCTTGTTTCTAGGGCCACAACTGCATCCTGGTTCAAGACCTTCCTCATCCGCTGAGGCTGCACCACTCGGATGGAAATCCACACTCGTTGTTCTCTGGATAGTTTGAGCGCTTCCAAAATAACGTGGAGTTTTTTGTTTTTTTCTGTTTAGAACTATCATTGGTGGTGAGCACCCACCAACATTCAAACATTGTAAAAATGTGTACAACACACTATTGTTTATCCACTGATGGATGAAGGCCCACCGAAGCTATGTGTTAGTGAGCATGGCTATATTTTACCATACTTTATTTACCATGCTGGTCAGTGCAGGTTGACGAAGCGAAGAAACACGGGGCTAATTCAGTTATCTATTGCCAATGATGTGAGCCATGGCAGGGAATCAAACCTTTACCAGAGGTTCATCACGCAGCATGCCAAACCACAATGCCACCACTCCCTCGCAGCATATTCGGTGCATCACATTTCGCTGCGATGAACACGCGCCACTATTTGGTACAGGCCCTTGACATGTCGTTGCATTCAGGCCCGAGGATAAATCCGAAGTGCATTATTATAATTGTGGTCATTGTAACTGGTTTGGTGCTGGCAGCACACTCAAGTGTTCACCACGGTGGTGGCGGTGGCGGTGGAGGTAATCGCACCGGCGCATTCACCGTTGAGCGGGCGCGAGTACGGCCGCCCTGTCGCGGTGCCGAGGGCTCCTCTCTGTGCTCACCATGATCGAGGCGTTGTTGTCATCGAGGAGCGTGTCCGTCAGCTCCAGGTGTCCACGCTCCACCAGCAGCTGCAGCACCATACGGAAGGTGCCCACCAGCCTGGCGTGGCCAAAAGATAGCAAAAACAGAATCCGCATTTAGCCTCAATGGCCGGACGGGGTGCACAACTGCAGCGAGTATCGATTTAAATCGGAACATCTCACTCAAGAATAGTGTGGTTAGCATCACATATGTCCCGACCAACACGGGCGGAGATTGCGGGGGAGGAGGGGGGGGGGGTGGCGCACAGGGGGGCAATGCCACCCCCCCCCCCCCGCAAACTAGGCACCTTTATAAATTTATTTTCAGTAGTTTCATATTTTAATTAAAAAGAAAAAAATTACGTGCACCCGCGATTCCTAATGTGAGGGACAAAGCGAACTGTCCCCCCCCCCCCACCCCGCAAATATAGACGTCAATATCCGCCTATGCCGACCACCTTTGCCTCCCCAGCACCGAGTTGTCCTTTTATAGCAACCTGGATTTCGAGGAGGCCCAGGCCAGGGTGGGATAGTGATCGCCACTGCTGTTGTGTATGGGTCGTGAGCTGAACCGAGGGTGTCGCAATCCCACGATGTGCTTTAACTGCTGTCACTGTTATCACTCGCACAGAGCAGGCTGCAAGGGTGCGTGTGTGGGACGAGACGGCATGGAGGGAGAGTGCAATAAATACTCTTAAGGACGTTTGACAACACGACAAGAGTAGCATCTAAACGCGTGTGTAAGAAAATAATTCTGGAGTGAGTATCCACAGTCAAGTAAGAAATGTCGTGTCTTCAGTTTCAATTTCAAATTGAATACAGTCAGCGGGATGCATGGCTTGTGAAGGGTGTTCCAGACAGTGGGGACATAAGAAAATATAGTGACCTCCCATTTAGGAAGAGCTAATCATTCTGGGGAGATAAAGAGATGAGCCGAGAGAGCAGTGTTGAAGATTAGAGTAGAGGAAGATGAGAAAGGAAATGTAAGCAGGGACAAGAGCCTGGAGGGACTTTGGTGAGGATAGAATGTTGGGTGCCAAGAGAGATGAGCGATAAATAATAGGTTTTGCGTGATCTCATTGGAAGAAAATTCAACCACAAATCCATGAATAATCACATAAATTATATCACACCAGCACAAGTTCACGCATGCACAAAGTGATACTGTATGTACGCAAGGCCTTTTTAAATTCCCAAAGTTGTTGAAGATTAAAACATCTCAATCTTATTTCCCCAATCATTCCTGTCACTTGGCATTCCCCAATTTCAGCATCGGCACAGGTTTTATTCCCAGCCAAACATTCTTCAGGCTGGCATTTTGAAACTCTTTACGAGTTCCCACTATTCAATCGTTAATTGTCACCAGCGCAAGAGGCGTCGTTATAATTTCTGCAAAACCTTTTCAGCAGGGAGAGCCACTGAGGCCAATCAGTTGAGGTCACTCTGTTACCTCTTGGGGGGGGGGGGGTCACAGCAGGAGCAAGGAGCAAGGGGGTTTTCTGGCAAGTATAAATTTCAATCAATGATAACAGCGAGTGGGATTCACAGAGCCAAACGTGGGCCGCATGTCACCGCATTTGTATTCCGGGAAACGAATGCCAAATAACCTACCCACGACAGCAATAAGCTCGTGCCACCAGCAAATAACCGAGCACTCCCCGACTTTAACTTTCCCTGGGATGAATTATGCTGCGGTATTTCAATACGGCAATATCATTAAGCTCAGGAGGTGCCCAGGATTCACCCAGGCCAGCACACACTCAAAGCCGAAGACTTAAGAAATGGACAAAAAAAGAATGCTACCGGTTAATATTAATCTCACGTGAAATATCAACCGGTGCTCACAGGAGAGAGCAGTCTCAACTTCTACTGGTTGATGAGGATTCCACGTCCATAGATTTTAAGGTCAATCACTAAAGTTTCCCCATTTTCCGCTCCTAAACCTTCACCGGCAAACAAGCGTTGCTGTGCTTATCTTAAAGACATTAGTTCAACAAAAAAAAAACTTTTTAAAAAATTTGATGATGGCATATAGCATTGCAGACTGGCACACACATGCCCAGAGGGGACACAGCTACAGTGATAACATTGTCCTTAAAACCGTTGGATTTTTTGTTTTCTTTACGGAAATTAATCCCACCCGTGGTGGAGTTATGTTGCATTGACACCTGGGTAACCTGGGTAACATGAACAAGGTGCTGTGCAATGTTGTAGGTTTGGGTTTTCTTCGGACTGTTCACGAGAACATTTGACGAGGCAACAAAAGAGATGCACTCGAGAGTGTGGCGCGCAGTAAAATCCCTCCCGCGCACCTGTCATTGTGACCTCACATGCACGGAGCAGACTCACAGTGGCGCTCAGGAGGTCACACGTCACACGCACACACGCGCACGTGCGTGTGTGTGCGTGTGTGTGCGTAGTGGGGAGCGATAGTGTAGCGGTTAGCGCGCTGCGCTATGAACCTGGCGACCCGGGTTCGATGCCCGCTCACGGCCAACACCAGTGACAATTATCTGAACCGGTCCCGGGCCTCCCCATAGGTCGACTCAGCCTCAAATGAGTACCCGGTGCGGTGTGAAAACATCGCCACTAGGGAGACAAAGGCGGTCGGGCGTGGTGCTGGCCACCCACCCCCTCGTGTACCGTTCCGGCCTTCATAGGTGCTCGCTAACAGCACTTGCCCCTACAGTCTGTTACAGGCTATAGGGGGGATCTTTGTTTGTCTTTGTTGTGTGTGCGTGTGTGCGTGTGTGCGTGTGTGCGTGTGTGCGTGTGTGCGTGTGTGCGTGTGTGCGTGTGCACGTGCGTGTGCACGTGCGTGTGCACGCATGTGCACGCGTCGCTGAGCGTAGCACGTCGCTGAACATCTACACGCAATAACCATCGGTGCAACCGGAGTCCGTCCAAAGGACGCACGGTTGAGGCATTTGGAACTTCATTGTCAAAATTCACCCCACCCCCGATTAGCGTGATATTTCACAGATGAACAGAGTGAAGGTGATTTTCTTGCTCAATGAGCATCGAGGTGGCACTTCATCTCCCACTTTACAGCTCCGAGTCAGCGGTGAAAATGCCACATTGCTATGGTGCGATGCAAGTCTATCCACAGCACAACATCTGTTGACTTCTCTACAAAGTGCTGTTACATTTTATTTATTGGACGAGTCAACCCCCCCCCCCCCCCCCGCTGAGACGTCCGGCCAAAATCCTGAACACAGTAGATAACGCTTCAGAGTTAACGACAGCATTCCCTCATTGTTCACGAGGGGATACGTTCCAGAGATGCTCGTGAGCAGAAACATTTCGCGGATTATGATATTTAATTAATTACCTTAAATAAATACGTAGATAATCTATTAGATAGATGGAAATTATCATAACACAGCAATAACAAATGGATATTTTTTTTTAAAAACTAACTAAATAAAATAATTATTCAAGTATTTAATCATTGTTGATAGATGAACTTGGGTTCATCTCATCACTTTTTTTCTCTCCCTGTCTCTCTCGATGCAGTCATGCGGAGTTCCAGATGCGATTTGCGGAAAACCAAAATCTCGGATAGCAAGTTCGTTAATAACTAGGGAATACCGTATAGCCCAGCCCGAGCATAACCGCCAAAGTAAAGTGAAGCTATATTGTATTGTAATTCCAGAGGGAGGAAAATAACAAACTTTACTTATTGCCATTGCCTGCTTTGCTGCACACAGACAGAGTGCACACACTGGTTGGTACATGCACACTAATGACAAGTACACAACCATACAATTTGGAATGGTTTTAGGATTACGAAAGGTGTAATAAATATGAGATTTAAAAGAAACATAGATATATCCTTTAAACATACGTATGAACTTATACTGTCCTAACTCTGGCATTTCTCCCACTTCAGTAAAAAAAATATTGCTGTGGTTGTCACAACTGATGATGATTGCTTGTGTTGCAATCGAAACGTCGTGATTTAATTTATTTTATATTTTCACCTACGTGACTTTACCGAAAGAACCAAAGGATATGGATCCTTGCAGTCACGAAAACTTCAAATCTAGAGTGCTAGAAACTATTATGGCTGGTATAGCACAAGGTAATGATACAATTTCGATTTGTACGGCATCTAAACGTGAGCAATCTCAAGACACTCTACGGAAAGAGTGACAATTGTTTATTTATTTTTCAGAGAGACACAGTCATTGGCAGTGGACACAAAGGAAAGTCCTTGAGCCTGGGCTTGAACAGGGGCCTTGGAGTCGATACTCCCTGCCAACACGGATTGCCGGTTGGCAGGGAGTATCAGAGCATGAGGGCAGCCGAGATGAATGAGCGATGTCCCACTGAGCGAATGCTGACCGGGGACTTTGATAGGAACCTTTGATCACTAGAGCGGAGGGGGCGCGTGGAGGGGAGGAGAGAAAGAGAGAGAGAGGGCTGAGTCCACAGAGATTCTTTACGATGGGCGTGTGCAATCGCCATATTGATGTCGGATTGGATTGGGAGCCAGTGGAGGTACTGGAGTACTGGAACGTTAGGGAAATGTGATACTCCTATTCTTGGTTCTTTCGGTAAAGTCACGTAGAAGGGAAATAATAAAGTAATAAAAATAAAACATAATATAATAAAATTCTCACGACGTTTCAGCCACAACGCAAGTAGCCGTCCTCAGGTGAAGAACAGAGCTGTCGGAAAGACAGCGTCCTATTTAATTATGTTTATTGTTATTTTATTGTTTCCCTTCTACGTGACTTTACCGAAAGAACCAAGAATATGAATCCCTGCAGTCACGAAAGCTTTAAATCAAAATTGTGATACACCTGGTTATGTCAAGTTAAACTAGCGGACTAGAGGACACCCAGGCTAGGTTCAGAAAACAACGACCACTGATCCTGTTCATGGACAGGAAGAGAGCCAGGGTTGTTTCAATCATGCGGGCATGGTGCTCACTAGATATGCAATGGTTCATCCCCACTCAGCATCATATGTAGAACTTATTTTGCACCATATGTAGCTAACCGTGCTAATCGGAGGTGCGAGTCGATGACTTGTCAAGATTTGGCATCATTATTTAAATCAAGAAACTATTAG